GCGAGCGTTGAGTAGCCGCAAGGCAATAAATGCGACGTAGTCTACCACGGCGACTCCATCATCAGCTGAGTGTTGGAAAGCCTGACGAAGTAACGAGAATCCTTGGGCAAAGTTCAGCAACAAGTTGGCGGCCACTCCCTGTTTGCTCGGAACCGCCACTGCGTCCGTCATCGGAAGGTTGCGGGCCGGCGGTCATTCCCTGAGAACTGAATGATGGACAAGACACAGAAGAGCCATGGGTTTCTTTCAGCCACTTGGAATTGGTCTTTTCCGGCCATTGCAAGCAACTGTCACGAGCATCTAGTCCAGGCTGCAAAGAGCTGCAACATCCTAAGTTGATGCCCTGGCCATGATGTCCTTTCCTGGCAGTAAATACGAAGAACCTATCATACAGACACGAGGAGATTCTCGACTCGAACTCGCGATCTCTCCAAACACGTGATGATATTCCGTGTAATTCGTTCGAAGTATCGGTACCCGCCTTCTTAGGCAGATCCCCAGGACAAGCATCGGCCATCACCAAAATTACTATGGTGAAGAATGACAAAAGAAAGAATCTATTCATGGCATTATGTAGGACCGTGAGCCAGCATACAACTCCACCATTCAAGGCTGTAGTTGTACCGCTCGGCCATCGACTACAACGGACGCTGGTCGGTGAATAGCGACCACGATTTTAGTCCCCGTAATTCTTTCGACGTCAACTCCTATCTAGCAGTAGCACACATCCTTCGATATACCATCTCAATTACATATAGCTGCAACTGCGAACGCGCTTCATCAACACTCCCGGCTCCCTCCCAGCCTACGTCAACACCATTAAAGATCATCCTCACTACTTCTCCTCCCAGTGCCTCGAGACATAAGACATGACAGTCCCCGATCAGTGACCCCCTTCAAGACTCCATGGTATACTACCGTACTTCGCCGGATTTCATCCAAAGCCAAGTCAGCCCCTGCCCTTCATGTCCCGTAGGAAATCTAACGCAAGACTGTGATATGTGAGATGTGATGGTTGACGGGACACCAGTCACCTAAACATAATGCGAACACCACGTAATCACAGAGGAATGAAGACCGCCCGAGATGAACCACCCAATTTACCCCCCGCCAAGCTTCCCACGACAGCCAGTCGGGAGGGGAGAGTTCAATGGGCGGGAATTGCTACTCATAATCAAATCTCGTCGTGTTTTTTTCTTGTACCTGCCGTCCCTCGATAGGTGACGTTTGCTCAAGGTTTGTAAGACAGATGCCACTGGGCTTTTCTTACTTTGTAGTAAAACTATAGACCGTTAAGGGGGCGTGCCGGGAAAGGCGACTTGATGCTGTCTTCCTAGCCCCAGCAGCCACCGCCATTGTTTGTTTGTTTTTCCAAGTTTGTTCAACTTTGGTTTCACGGTGTCGCTACCCGCTGTAACCCGTTCCCTCTGGATCGTTTCTATGCCGGCTTAGAGGTAAGTCCGACGGAACGAGGGGCGAGGGCAGGATAAAATAATATGACAGGGCACGAACGAGTGAACGTCGTTGGGTCCAAGGCCCTTGAAACATGCAGCCTCCCGAGTGGCCTTCTCACGGCTTACCAGCCTAGGTATACGTACTTGCTTCCGTCAATCCCCATCCCGCCTCCCGTGCTCCTCGCTCATCTCGCAAGTCCAGATGGCAGGTTCTTCTCGGTACATCCGGGTCAGGTTGATGTGCATGATCTGGACGGGTCCAATATGGGACGATCGACCCGAGGCCGCGTTGGGCCTCTCTGCTTCCTCCCTTCAACCCGTCCAGTCTGGCGCTCGGGGGAAACAAAAGTCAGGTAGGCAGCAGTGAAATGGCATTGATGATGTCGGCAGGCGGTGGGGGGTTCGTCTAGCTGATCTGCGCAGCTGTAACAAATTCGTGATCCCTGATGGAGATCGATACGTTTTTTTCTTTCTTCTTCCTCACCTTGTACCTACGACCGACCGACCTCTTCTCCCCGATGAGGCTTACATGCATGTCTCAGAGGAGGGAGGGAAAGAAAAAGAGTCCACCTGTGGACAAGCAAAAAAACCCTCCCATTCCCCAACGTAAGGCGGGATCTCCATCCGGGAACGCCTCGTCTTATTTTGGGCGGCTCAAAATGCCAGAAGAGGAAGCGTTAGCGGTGGGATAGTCACCGCCCTAAATGTCTCTCGTCCTCGGAGCGGTGAGCTGCGATGATGGTTTGAGTCTCCCGTTGGGAGGGAAAAAATCAAAGAAACAGGTGGTTTGCCGCCTTGTCCCATTCCTGTTATCCGTCGAGCATCATGTCGTGCTGCACGACGGGTTGGGCGTCGACGCAGCAGCGATCATCCACACACCCATGCCATTGATGAGTCCAATGCGGAGTTCAAGGATAGCTATGCACGCGGCACGACATTCATCAGTACTGTTACCCGGGGGGAGGGCATGACGACGATTCTGCACTAGCAATCGTTTCTAAGCCCCAGCCTAGAACGGGAAACCACTTCATGAAGATTTTTAGGAAAGGCAGAAGTTTCCTACTCACCCTGGTCTCTAAAGCGATGCCAGTGTATCCCTTGACTGCTGCATGGGCAGAGAAGGTGAGTCAAAGGACAGCAAAAGAGAGAGAGAGAGCCCGCGACTCTTCTCACAGTGGCCTCCCTGAACAGAGATAGTCCTCGCGGAATGTCTTTCGCATCTTCACCCCCGCCCGTCTTCCGCCAGTGTCCGTGTCTGGTGTAACTGACCACATCGGGGAATTGGCAGGGAGTCCAGCTCGGCCCCTCTCGCATGAGCGCATTAGGTGTGATTGGATGGCAAGGGGCCCATGCAAGGGCCAGCATTTGAAGAGGGCTTCGGGATGTTCGACCGCGGAGTGCCCTCCGGTCCCGCGTGGTCGGGCCCTGGTGGTGTCAGCCCCCGGTTCCAGGGGTTCGAAAGATAAACCCTCTTTCTGTCCCGCGATCCTCCCTATGACCTCAAAAGTCCTTGGGACATCTGGGGTGGTTTCCCCGTCAGTCGGGTAGCAAGGCAGGTAGGTAAGTCTGCTGTATGTTCATCTAAGAGGATCGCGAAGGCGGGATTCCCATGGCCTACGAAAGCTCTTCCCGTAGATAAAGGCCGTAACGGGTCTTCCGCATTTCGGCCGTACTAGGTGGCACAGGCAAGATGCCTCGCATCAGCCATCTGGCGGTTCGAGAAATTGAGAAGTGACAGACGTATCACCGTGTTCGCGGATCCTGCCCGCCTCAAGGGCCATCTTGCCGGTCTCCGGACTCCAGAGTCAGTATTGTCTCTCAAGAAGGCAGAAAAGAGAGTCCATTGCTTGTGCGGGTGGGAGTGGGGGTCGTCGTGGGGAGAGCCGACGCAGTCATACCCAAACTTCAAGTCGATCGAATGTCCCGGTCAAGATCTGGCATGCAGGCAGGGGTGAGGTATTTGGATTTCGGGGTCGCGGTAGACCTTCTTTCCATCATGACGAGGACATGCGCAGCTTTGTTTGCACCCAAGATCATGTCAGCTCCCGAAAAAGCAAACCTGGGTGTCCTCTCAGCCCTCCAATAGGCACTCACCATCCTGGTCGAAGATCCCTCGACCCTCGGATGTTCAGCTCTCATGGCCAATCGTTCTGCGCCAGCCTGACCAACCGCGGTGTTGGGAAGACAATGTCAGACACTCCCGCTCATTCATCCCTTCAGAGACACCGATTCCTGGAGCGTTCGTTGGAGAGCCAAAGTTTTGCTGTCGGTAAACAGGCAAGACAGGCGAGCCTTCTCTATACTTGCTTTTTCTCGTCAAGTGGCGCCGCGGCACGTGCCTAGGCAAACATTTTAGTATGGCCAGGACAAGTCGATTACGAATTCGACAGAGGAGCGGGCAGAAACAGAAACTCTGGCCCATTCCAATGGTCGCGGATGTTGATGTTGCCGTTCTTGCTAGGACGTTTTGGGCGGAAACCTCAGCGTCCAACTCAAACTCCCCAGGCGCGGGTATCCCGAGTCGAAAAAGTGTGTCGCTTTCCAGTCTTGCTGCAGGTCTCTTCCCCCCTTTGGTCCGGGTGACTACCCCCTTCGGCTTAGCGGAGGTCAACCGTACTCCAGATTCTGCTGAGCAAGAATATTAGCCAAGAATGTCGTCGGTATTGAATGTCAGGCCCCTAACGGAGTGATCACGTTGCCAGGGTAAAGATGAGGCGGCTGCAGCAAGGTCATGCTCTTTCGACACACCATATGACTGCCGGACAGTCGGGTTGGCGAGGTTGCGCGCACCATGCCTACCCCTACATCCAGACGCCCTCACTTCTTTGGAGAATTGGGTTGCGCATAGGAAAGAGGGAGATATGATCATGCTTGAAAATTGCTTCCGGACATGGAATATGAGGGGGTTTGTGATTTTTGACCCAGGAGAAAACGCCAGACGCCTGCAAAAGCTCCCAGGTCCCAATTATATCGGTTCTATCCAGTCTGTCCTGCCATTTCCAACGCCGCCAACCCGAAATCAACCGTATGATGATGTGCACCAGTGAGAACAAACAAATTCCCCATGAAAATCGCGAAGGGAAAACATAAGAAAACAAGGCCAAAGACCACTATTGAAGCTCGCCGAGCCCACAGGCCAGAATGGGCAATTGACGCCCGACGTTGTAGATCCGGGGACCCTCGAGATCGCAAGGTGCTTCAGCCCGACGTGTGCAAGGGCGGGAAAAGCAACCAGTGTGGGCCGCTGAACTGAAAGCCCGGTCGAATAATGCAAAAAATAGAGCCCCCCGTCCGGTCATTGCGGACCAATTAGCGTACTTGGACAAGGTCGCAGTCGTTAGTTGTGCTGAATAGCTTGTGTTGCGAGACACAAACACCTTTCTTGTAGCCATGTGTTGGCATGACAGGTCGTACGGCGAGACAAGACTCTCTTCCCAGGGTATGCCGCCCCAGCCAGCCTGACGTACGGCTAGGTCTCACCGGTTCATATCGAGTACCCATGGGTGAGACATAAACCCGGTCGAGGATGCGCCAAGAGCAAATCGGTCAAGAGCCATCCATAATTGCAGAGAAGGCGTAGCGTGGGTCGGGTTGGCTCCGAACTCTAGCTATCTCGCTCGTTGCGAAGATTTCGCTGAAGATTTTGAAGTCGCTCTTGTGACTGGATGAACTGCCGCTAGAACTGGACGATGACGAGCTCTTGGACTTGCTTTTCGAAGAGCTGCTACTGCTGCTCCCTTTCGTCTTCTTGGCGATGTCGTCGAGGATGAACTTGGCTGTGCATTGCCTGTCATCTTCGAAAGCAAACATGACGGCTAGGAACTGCCCCCTCAATTCCGGGTCGTAGAGAAAGACCTCGCGCCACAACTCTGCCAGCTCCTTGGGCGGGTTGCGGTAGCCGTTGCCGAGGCCAAAGTCGCCAATGACAACGTGGTTGTAGCCATTGAACACGCAGATTCGCAAGGCAGCGCGCATCTTGTTCCGTACCAATTCTCGCTCTTCCGCAAAGGAGTACTTTCGTCCCATGTCTGTCAGCTTCGGCCATCGCGCTGGTGGCATGGAAATGACTGGCAACGACCTCCAATCCTTCATGTCGAGCGACTCGATTCTGTCTTGAAATTGGCGGAACCGAACTGCGCACTTCGTCAGTCAAGAGTAACCAGTATGTTAGGTCATTTGCATGTGCCTACCAACGTCGGGAGAATAGATGGCTCCTTCGATCGGAATCGGGTAGTTGGTTGACATGCATGTATCCGGATGAGGAGAGCCCAGCGTCGCTGACAGATTGCTGCGTCGGCATAATCTCTCCTACATAGCGCCATCGAGTCAGAGTTGTGTCATACAAGGCACACCATTGTTAACATACCTCGTAACCGACAACACCCGTTTCCCAATCACCTCCGGGTCGCTTCTCGTTCGCGGCGCAGATGAAGGGAATCCGAACTCCTTCACTTTGAGCCCAGCCCAGCGCGCAGTCTACAGGGTCGCTATGGACAACATCTGCTACGGTTAGCTGTTGTTCCGAGAACGGCCATGGGTGAATCTTACAGAAATTGGGTAAGTCTGAGCTCATGAAAGCTGGACGGCTGAGCGGAAGCTGGAGCAGTGGTTGAGAGTAGAGAATCGAGTAAGGCGGCCACTCCTCGCGGAAGTACCTGTTGACTTCTGGGATCAATTTCTTCTTGGTGTCCGCCGCAACCTCGGAAGGCTTGATCTTTAAAGGCTTCGAGGAAGGCATTGTGAGCTCGCGAAGGCAGTCCAAGGAGTGCTTGGGGCGGTGATGAAGGTTACGTTGCTGTGTGGAGTTGGACCTCGATAAGACGTAATGCGACGAGTATGACTTGGGAACGAGAGACCAGGGGAGCATCAGCCATGGGTGCCCTCATGGCTTTAAATACGTCCCTCACAATGAAGAGCCGCTCGGGAGGCAACTCTAGCTGCGGCTGGTAGACCAACAGCGCGGATAGGAAGAAAAGAAACAATAGCATGGTGAGGTATCTTGGGCCCCTTTGCAGAGGAATGAATTGCTTCGCCTCGCCAGGAAGCGAGAGCGGTGAAGGGTGTATGAGGAGAGTGTAACCAATACTTGCCGGATCTCAGTCAAGTCTGCGACATTCCAGGGTAGTGAATAGGAAGGGCGCGTAAAGGGTGGGTGGGCTTGCCGTGGTTGTGATGAGATATGTCTTGCTTATACAGAAACCCGGGTCGTGTCACGTCAGTCTTCCCGTGGTCTTGGTAGGTGGGATCCGATCGAGATACTACTGCAATCTGCCGCAGTTATACGAGATCTTTCTGTCTCCCAAGATCTCACTTGAGGCGTTCTTGCGAGCCAGGATAGGACGATTGGGACAAGCAGTGCTACCGGGGGTTGAAGCCAGGGTCCGTACATATTTTGTTGGCTAAGGTAAGGCGAGGTACCCGTGGAATCTGAAGACAGTTTGGGCGGGGCGGGAGCTAAAGTAGGGAAAGAAGGCGAGGGAGAATAGTTGCGAGGTCCAGCTGCCCGTGCCGTGCCTTGCTTAGATCGCGAGCTAATAAGCAATAAGCTGGGCATGGAAGAAGCAAAAAACCCAGCTTCATGGTTCTTGGACCCCCACTAGACAGGGCTGCCTGTCTAGGGGTTGGGCGCGATGAAGAGAGGTGAGCTCATCCTAGAAGTGAGGCAAGATGTACTCCGTAGACGGGAGATGGCAAGGCTTCGTTGGTTGTTTGGTTCGCCCGCCCAGGACGCGGACCCATGCTGTCCACGACTTGCATGTTGCAGACAAATCCCCACTCGAGTGTGCGGCCTCGATCTGAAGGGAGAAGAAGTTCGGGAGCAAGAAGAAAAGACTGTCCTCGATCGGATTCCAGATCCATGTCATGGGGTTGCTAGTCGACAACTGCATTATCCCGAAGTCGTCATCCGTGTCCGGTGTTTGGTGTCTCGGGAGTCGAGGGCGGAGCTGATGGTGATGAAGTTGGTCACTAATTGGACTTGATCAGCCAGATAAGGACGACTCGGGGCCCGGGTTCCTGCGACCACAAGTCGGACCGCGATTTGGATCAACCATGGTGTAAGGTGAACGATTTAACAATTACAAGTCTTGTCCAAAGGGTTGAGAGAAAGTCTAGAGCTGAGGCATGGGGAAGCAGTCGAGTGCCGGGGATGTCATCCGATTCGAGAGCAGATGTTTGTGGTGTGGAGGGATGCAGACGGGAGGAGCTGTGTGGCTGTCTTGGCCGTCGAGGAGACAAGAAGCTCCCGTCTTGGTGGTACGTACCGGGGAGATGACTGAGATAAGGCTGTTGTTTTTCTTATCTTATCGCAGCGTGCGTGTCTGTCCCGAGTAAGTCCGACTACTAATCAGTACACACAATTTGGCCCTTTAGTGCATGTATATCTACTTCGGTATGCCACGAGGCCCCACTTCTATGAATTGAAGCTTCCCATTCGTAGATCTTTTTTCGAGCTCCGACCTCAGTCATCGGTCGCATGTCGTCGCGAAAGGCGCCGTCCCTTTCTTTGCCGTCGCAACCCCTCCGCTGTCGAGCTATACCGTTCACTTCTGCTGGTAGCAGATCACCAGGGTTGAGTTCTTCGATTGCCACACCATGACGCGGTAGATAGACGCATTGCACTTTGTTCTCACCATGCGAATCGTGGCAACAATCCCTTCGCGCGCGCTCGCGCGCCCATCTATGCTTCTTGTCCAACCTATTCACAATCGATACCTCTCCACAGCACCGCGGAAGACAATTGCTCAATTTCTAGAATGGAAGCCCGAATCCGAAGTCAGAAATGTTGTCGTCAATGGATACGTCCGGTCTGTTCGGAACATGAAGACGGATCGATTCGTCAACATCGGCGATGGGTCTTCGCGGTTGCCTATCCAGGCACTGGTGTCGAGAAGCGACGACGAAAGGTGTGTTCCTCCGAGCTCTCCAAGTTTAGCCACTGTCTCGGAAGCTCTGATTGCTCATAGTTTCCCAGCGCAAACCTGCGAGTTGGTGCTGCAGTCCGCCTACGAGGTGTCTGGACTCCCTCCAAAACAGATGGTCAAAGTCACGAATTGAAGGTCGATCATGTCGAGATCCTAGGCCCCTCTGACGCAAAGGTAGGCCCACTGTCATTCTTCTTTTCTCTAAACTATCGCTAATGCCGCCCTTGAAACCAGACGTTCCCAATCCAGAAGAAGTACCAAACACCTGACTATCTTCGCACCATGCCCCATCTTCGAACCAGGATACCATTGAATGCCGCAATCTTACGATTAAGATCAGAAGCCGTCGCATTGTTGACTCAGTTCTTCGCCTCTCGAGACTTCACCCAAACTCATCCGCCAATTATCACATCTTCAGATTGCGAAGGGGCAGGAGAGGTCTTCAACATCGTTACGGGATCGGCCAAGGCACCGGAGAAGGGCCAGGACAAGCAAGCAAACATGTTCTTTCGCTCGCCCAAGTATCTGACGGTGTCTACTCAGCTTCATCTTGAGGCCTTGGCCCAATCTCTGGGTCACGTATGGACATTATCACCGACCTTTCGAGCAGAGCGAAGCGACACCTCAAGACACATGAGCGAGTTTTATATGCTAGAGGCGGAGATGAGCTTCGTCGACGAATTGGACGAAGTCACAAACCTTGTTGAAGATATGCTCCGCAGTTTGGCTACTGGATTGTATCAGACTCGCGCTGCGCAAGAAGTGCGCCAACGACAAGCGCCCGGGGACACCCGTACGGCAGAAGATGACCTAGTTCCGATAGACGAAGTGGAGCGTCGTTGGAAGGGCATGATGCAGAACCCAGCTTCCAGATGGCCACGCATCACGTACGCCGATGCAATCAAATTGCTTCAGGCAGAAGAGCATCAGTTCGAGATCAAGCCTACATGGGAAGGCGGCCTGCATTCCGAGCATGAAAAGTTCCTCGCCAAGACTCTTGGTGCCACCAACGACTCCTCTGCCTATTCTCCCGTCTTCGTTACCCACTACCCTCGGGCGATCAAAGCATTTTACATGAGAAAATCAGATACCGCAACCTCTGGTCATGATCTGCCGGGTGACACAGTCGACTGCTTTGATCTTCTGGTCCCCGATTTGTGCGAGATCGCTGGCGGCTCGATGCGTGAGCATCGCTTGACGGACCTGTTGGAGACCATGAAGGCTCGCGGCATGGGCGGCAGCGATCTCGAGTGGTATGTTGACCTCCGTCGTTGGGGCTCCAATCCACACGGCGGATTTGGTCTGGGCTTCGACAGACTGCTCAGTTATCTCGTGGGAGTTCCTAATGTGAGGGATGTGGTGGCCTTTCCGCGCTGGTATGGCCGGTGCGACTGCTAAGCTGGCCAGTCGACAGCTCAGGATGAACCGGAGCCCAAGTCTTACCAGTTCATGACGCGGTTGCTCGTTAAGCTTTGCCTACCTGGGATTCTGGAAGCCGGGCTTGATGAAACCTTCACGACAGAAGTTGCACAGCGATGCGCGACTTTCGTGCAACATGACTGAGCATGGCCGGCCTTGAGTCTCATTGTGCATGTGCGACATGTAATCGAGCTACCAAGCGCGACACCTGAGACCCGATTGCAGAGCTCCAAGCTCTGTACGCCGGTGGCTTGCAGTTGACAGGATTCGATACGCATGGGATGTTCACGCGACGTTGTACGACGGAAGGCATCAAGCATCCAGTGGCTCGGTCTCACTTGGTATGCAACGCGAATCAGACCACCTACCTGACAGTGTTGTACAAGTCGATGTTGACGATTGTCCCGAGTTGCTCATCAAACTAACGGAAGGGACCAGGCAGGCCGCTATCATAAGTGAGAGCCACGGAAGCTTCATTTGGTTTGGCAGTGTATTAACAAGAGTCATCGCCGTCTCTCATCGCCTACTCTCAGATTCACGGAACACATGTTTAAATATTCTGTAATTTTACCATGATCTTGCATCGTGTGTCACATAACACGGCGCCGGACTCTGTATCAACACCGTGTACACTACAATACCCATACATCTAGACCCCTCAATTACTGGTTGAGTCACTCGCTGGATTCAATGTTACAATGAATGCTATTCAAGAAAAGCGATGTACATCTCTTCCAATCACTCGCGGCTGTTTACTTCGTTGAACATCACAATGCATTCTCTTTAGGATCGCGTCTTCACCATTGGCATAATAGTATGATATTCGGGCTCCTATACCTCGGGAATTACTCAAAAAGTCTCGAGGGCGTGAACCAGAGTCACTCTCAGTGCTGCAACTTTTGTACCCTTTGTATGACCTGCTGCGTCCGATGATCGCATATGCCCTCGCGGACTTAGACGCCGCATCTCAGTCTTCTAGCAGGATTGCTAGGCGGCTGCTTCAAACAACAATCGGATGTCGTAATAACCGGTAGCGTCTCGTGGCTACTGGTAGATTGCAGAGGAGCTCGGGCTATGAGTACTGGTCGTGTATTCGGAGCAGAATAGAATACACTGGTCCCCTACATCCTCAAACCGACCACGATTACGAGACTACATGCATGTCGTCGCATCCGCTGAGGCTTTGCACCAGGAGGGTCATGAATCCGAACAGGACGACGGTAAATGACCAAGATTAAGGCACTCGATCTACCGCTGAACCAGCCTATAAAAAGTTCAAGCCCATGAATATGTGCCAGCAAGGGATAGTACGTCCATCAACTAGCAGAGTTTGATTGAATGATTCGCCGTGGAATGCGTCCTCTGCATAGGCAAATTACGATCCTATAATGGGCGAGACACTGGATGGAGACTGTGGCAGTGTTCCGTGTCTGGGGTCTTGGGGCCCCTCGGAAAGCAAGACAGATCGTGAGCATGGCCATTGAAGATCGCAATACTTTGATAATGCCAAGCCCATCAGCCTCTCTTGGGGCCTTCAACGGCTACGACGTCTTCATTTCAGCACTGCTAGAAGGGTCGAAGTGATGTGATGAACCCCCCTTTTACCTTTTCTCGAGAACGAGATGGATCATGGATGGACACCCTTCCTGTTTTTGGTATGCGCACGCCAACTCTGCCAAGCATCTTGGGCGATGCTTGGCACGAGCTGTTTATCAAAGACAAGGACGCGAGCTTTTGGTGTCCAGCTCGGATTCGATCTCCTAGATTGAGTCGGGAGGGCAGAATATCACCGAGCCCCTGGCCGGGCGTCGTTCTTGATCAACACCCCGAGCAAAAGGGCCGCTGACCTACCTGCCCAGCCAGTGACTGTCACCACCATAGCAGGGAGATGGATGCTACAGTTCCTCTGGCCTCTGGATTCTTCACTCTAGAGACATGGCCTCGAGTCCATGTCCGAACCCCGAAAGGGAGCGACACGCACTTGGGACCCGGAAAGGGACAGGAAGATCAGCAAAAGCTTCGCCTGAAGTGGGGGGAGTTGACCTTGACTGGCAGACTGCCATCCGTAGCCAAGCATCTTGAGAACCACACGGCGGCCGTCCAACGTGGGGATGAGGGACATTTTTTTGCACGCACGCGGCAGTCGAGGACGGCGTATCTCCCGTTTCTGACACTTATCACTTTAGTCAAGTTAGTTGGGAATGTGCCCGCTGCAACCTGACAGCTGAGCATCACCCGTCGACTCCCCACAACCCGAAAGGTGCGAGGGGCTATCAAGAAGGACGCTGACTGTGTTCGTGGTCGGTGGTGGTGATGGATATTCAATGGGGATGGACGCGGGAATATCCATACGAGAGGGAACATGCGGAACCGATATTGCCGGCGCGCATTCCATTCCCAATGCCACGAGGGAATCTAGGATGGCGCTATCGATAGTTCCCCGCCGTCGAAGATTTAGTGCGAATTTTATCCGTATCTTCCATCCTCTTTGCATTGCTCCTTGCTCAAGAGACTAAAAAGATTTGCTCCGGGGTGGTGGTGGTGGCCGCGTCAGCAAAATAAACCAACCGCTCCTCAATCCCACATGGTTTTTGATGATGTGTGATTTGACGAATCGCCCCCTGAATCCTTATTACGCCGCGGGCTATTGTTCAAAACCCAGGTCATGCCGGGGCAACCAGACAGGGCCTAGGTATTCTCTTCCTCCACCGCGGAGGCAGCATTCGCTTTCGGAATCAAGTAGGGGATAACGAGGAGAGGAAAAGAGAAAAAAAGCAACAGAAAATCATTGTGTGGGGCGCAACCCGGAATTCCATCGAACGAATGAAGGCCGATATGGCGTGGTGGCTGACATTTGAGTATCGAATTAAGCTTAAGCACACCCTCGGGATCCCGATGGGAAGAGGGAAAAAGAAGACCCAAGCCAAGCAACCAAGGAAGTCTGCCTAGCTAGGGAGTGTTACGGCCTGTGCGCTGCGGCGGCGCTCTTCTTCACACACACACACGCCAGAGTTGGTTGGACGGATGGCGCACCAACGCCCGTCTGTCTTGTTGGTTGTTGGAATTTGGAACTTGGTGTTGGTGTTGGTGTTGATCACGAATTCTGCAAAGGGAACTAAACTTCTTTGGCCGAGGTTTATGTTTTCCATCGTCTCCTGGGTGGCCTGACACTGACAGGCAAGGTGCGTGACTTCTTCACATCGGCCCATTTATTTGTCTCTCGCAAGGTCTCGCCCATCCTTTTTCGATGCTAGTTTCCAATACTAAGCGGACGACTGCGTTCTGCCGCCTTAGCAGCTAATAGTTGAGTTTTCGTTGCGTTCCTACATGAGATGTCAGGGGTTGTACAGATCGATAGGTATGGAGAGCATAGTTTGAACTACACAAGGTCAGGGACGATGCTGAAGACCAGCGAGCCGGAAGTTAGAACCGCCCCGAAGTCGCCGGGCTGGGGGCGTGAACGGCGACACCCATCAACAAACCCTCTTTTGAATTTTGACAAGCAAGGTTGCCAAGGCATACCCGAGAAGGCGCCCTGAACTCCGGGGTTCATCGACGACGGCCCTCGTCTAGTAGTCAGGGCGCCGCCAGTAGACGGGCGATAGAGTAATCACCAAGCACCGGCGTTGGTTTAGACAACCGTTCGTATCGGGGCCGCGGATTCGCCCAGCGTCCAACAAATCCTTCAAAGCTTCAACACCCCCAAATCTCATCTCATCAAGTCTGACTGGCTGGGCTTGGCTCGGCTGCAACTGGGGACTCGGGGAGGGGGTCCAGCACTGCCTCAATGCCAATGCATCAATCCGGTGGCCAAACGGCACTAGAGCAGTTGGTTTAGTGTTGTCTCTCTACGGAGTTAGGCTGCCAATCTTTCGGGACCGTAGGGACCTTTGGGAGGAGGAGGAGGGAACGGTTGGATCTTCTCCAAGGGCCGCCGACGTATCCGGGCATCCGCCCGTTCAGATTAGAGTCTTCAATTTCGTGGCCCGGCACCGTTCTGTGCCGCTCAAGCGGGTCCCCTCGTCCCATGTCAGCCATCAGTCACCGACGCCGCCGCACCCCCGTCGTGAACCTCCCATCGCCAGGCACCTGCCATTCTCGATGTGAAAGGATTGGGGAGATGATGGAGGCTTTCGATGTCGGGTGGCGCATTATCAAGTCAGGATTTTCACGCCGCAAAGGCTCTTCCTTGACATTGTTAGGCAACAGTGAAATACCCAGCTCACGGGGACCGATCACCGATGCAGACATCCGTATAGAGTATCCGTAAAGCCAGTTCCATGGAAGCTAGTGAGTGGCGGGGATGTCTTCGTTCTTGACCTTGCATATACGGGGAATCTACGGGGAGCCTCACCATTCATCTCTGAAAACTCAAAAAGTCTCATACGCGGATACTCGGTTGGTAGTTAGTTCACTTGCCTCGAAGTGCGAGCTGGAAAGAAGCGCAGCGTCTATACGAGCAGATGAGACAAGCCGAGAAAGGCACAATAACATTAAGCTTACGAGCTTGTCATCGACGTTACTCATGCATCACATTCTCGGATGGTCGGCCGCTAACTTGGGGCCGTTCTTTCATGTAACCATATAGGCAAATATCCCAACAGAAGTTGCAGTCCCCACGGGGTAGCTCCTGAGAGGATCGCTCGTGACAACCGTTCACTTTGCTTTCGAAGGCGATGATACGATGCGTCTCTCGTCGTGGATTACTCACTTTTCGTGGCATCTTAGACTCCCATCGGAGGTTAGGCAACCTGTACCATCAACGGCGAAAGCGGCATCCCGGCCAGCTTCCCGAACTCGCCGACGCGTGGGCGGTATCGCTAGACCTGCCGACCTAGGTAAGGTGAAGGATGATGGATCATAAAAGGTAAATCCATGCGGAAATTCTTTTGGCGAGCTGAGTGGAAGTCCGCAGGCCCAGCAGACCGGTTTCTGGCTCAAGTGGCTAGTCCTGGCGCCCGATCTCGCCCATTGGATTCGGGCTGCATGCTTCCCAAAGCAATGAACTGGTCACCTCTTCAGTAAGGAGAGTTCTTGAACCCACTGTGCTAAGCCTTTTGGTAGACAGTTGGTCTTGAATCCTCCCTTGGGATGGGCGGACGAGGACGGAGCACCACACTGATCAGGCTGAGTCCGTGTTCGCGACCGTCTTCACTTGAAGTCATTACTTTGCCGACCGCTTCTGCCTTCTTGGCCCACGTAGAACCATCACAGGGCATTGACGGACGCCCGTTCAATCCAAAGACGGAGAGATGGAGTCATTCAAGTTGCCTTGTTGCAGGATGAGGCTCGTTACTCGTAGGATGGACACCTCCAAATCCAAGATCAGCAAGCCCGTTGGTCGGGTTCTCACGCCAAAGGGTACTGCATGAGAGGCGCGACATTAGCTCCGTGCCATCGTCTTTCATTAAGGTTGAGGTCATGAGCCATGAGCAAGCGATCGCTCAATCTGTTAGCTGGCATCGAATGTGCTGACAGGCTCTAGAGAAACAGGACGAACTGTGCTAGAGCCGCTCCGTCTCATGCAGTTGAACTGTGACATTGAAGTTAGAAGGATTCCCTTTCGGTGGAAAGACCATACCTCTCGCGTCTGTCTGCGTTTCAACATATTCCCGAATAGACGACAGACATGAAAACAACGCATCCACCAGGTGAAGCAACTGATACATTGGATGGCTGCATTCTGGATGCACCGCCCGAGAAGCTTGGCTCACTGGTGTGAGGTAGTGGTGGTGTCGAGTCTAACTCAAAGATGTGGCGCCTATCAGTCGGCAACATTGGAAAGACAACTCTCCCAAAGCAGCACATTACGACATTGTCTCACTTGACACTTTGATGGCAAATGTGAGCCAGGCTTGTGCCCTCGGCGGTATGGATAAACTTCTTCATGATGCTGACCCCAGTTGAGCAGACATCTGGCTTCTAAGCCGCCTTGATGCCATGACTAAGCAAGGTTATCCTCTTCCCTCTTGAGCCGCTGACTGAGCGGGACATTCGGTGCTAGAAGTGATCCTGCGAGGATAGCCAGCAGTTGTGAACTTGTGACACGCCAAGCGTGTATCAGAGTCCCCGAAGGAAGTCGGAATTAAGATCGATGTCTAAGATCTACTCTCATTGCACGTACGGGAACCGAACCTCGACGTTTCTATTCCTATCCGATTCGCGAAGGTGGGTATATTTGACCCTTAATGACGTCTATCCTTATTCTCCAAAGGGGGGTGTGAAAGGCAGCACCGTTCCAAGGGGACATCCCTTCACCTGGGATTTACACTTTTATTTAGGGTTTGCTGTCACGGCTTATCCTTTATGCAAACCGAGTCATGGGAGCGGGCTGCGAGATGCGCTGTCCTTCAACGCTGGCTTGCGCGCGGCACTTCGCAACAGATGAACGGAGCCCCGACTGGGCCGTGGACCGAAGGGATGGCCACTGGGGCGGGTTCCCGTCGCGATTGCAATTAGCCAAACATGAACTGGCGAAAATTCCTTTTGGGCTTCTCTTCGCCGTTATCCAGGTTTTTGGTGGACTCAGCTGATCCGTACGGTGGAGAGCTTTCACGAGAACAGCCCCCTTCTTGGACCTTTGCTCGGGTTCGGCTTGGGAGCGAACGGAGTGGGGGCCCGGGAGGCGATGAATGTGCCGAGCTGGAGGCTTTTCTCTATCCAGCTGTCGGCAACTTCTACCTCCTTTCTCTGCGGAAGAGTGTGCTGATATGCCGCATTTGCCTTGGTCTCCATCTGCGTATTGTGTCATCTTGATGTCGAGCTGACGCCGGCGGCATGCGTTGGACAGATCGGCCATGTCGGACGGGGGGTTCCAACGGCGGGTTGTGGGCAGCGCAACAGTGCAGCGTGGGAGCCGGGTCCAGAAGAGGTTTCGTTTGCCCTGCGGCTTTGCGGCGAACCAAGGCGGGATGCACATCGGCGGGGTCCCCTTCACACAAGGTACGGATACCTAGATGGGCAAACTGGAGGCTGGAAAAGGCGTATTCGTACATGCACTCGTGCTCCATAGGAACATAGGAGCTACCCTCCTGAGGGATCGATTCTCACAGCAGTCAACGCTCCTACAGCCAATGAAGCTGCGCCCTGCAAGGGAAGCCTGTCAGGTGCCGCAGATGTTGTGAGCCTATTCTGACCTGTTGGCTCAGAGTCGGCGTTCAGGGACATGGGATGGCGGGCCAGGCTCGATTAAGGTAAGATTGGGCGAGATGGCCGGCCAGTCTGGGCAGAGAACCTGAAGTACTGTCCCTACTGCGGATACTCTATTCGTACGTACGGATACAGTAGGTTTTAGGCTGATGCCGCCGTCATCTTTTCGCCTTTCTTACACTCAGAATCACATCATCCGACATCCGTAAGTTGAGGCACAGTCCATCGTCTCAGCATGAGAAGGAATCCAGGCCAAGAGCGTAAGCCGAAAAGAAAAGCCTTGAGCGTGGACCCTCTTGGCCGGCACCACTGGGCAGCCTCGTTGGTCGGTTCGGGTCGGCCTGGGAGCCCTTCGCATCGGCACGCCTCGTCTCATCATTATTTCCAGTGCGGTCTCCAGTGATCAGACGGGGCGGGAGGAGGAGGGGATTGACCTTGACTCGATGGCCCTTGTGTGAAGTCAACCAATGAAACGCGCAAAGATACGCAACAGTACCTGAGATAGTGAGGCTCTCTAGACTGTTCACTGTGCTCATCCGCCCTCTGGACTTACGCGGCTGGTCCGGATGCCTAGCGGGCAATAACCTTTTTGATTTTGCTGACCTCCACGAAGCCGATATTTCCATACTGCAGGCACTAACAGAACTCAAGTCATGAACGATTATTAGCGATGTGATAAGCATTATCATCAACTCTTACATGTTGGGGAATCCTGTCAGGCTGTCAAGCAGAAACCGGCGCTCCCCACGGCACGACCGAAAGCGAGCAGGGGGCGACGGCGGGCTTTTATTTGGGTTTTTGGTAATCTTAACCATGAACCTTCTCCCGCAAAAGCCACAGACGCATAGTTCACTAAAGTCAAGGCTAACTCTTGGGAACTCTGATCGCCCGTCTGAATAAGCATCTTACCTTTGTCGGGACGGAAGCAAAAGAGCAGAGACCGGGGAAGGTTTCTGGCTCTGATGGCGCACTTTATCTGCTGCAGAGGCAAACCTTGGACGGACATTTAACGATGGGCCGCCCAGCTCACGTCCCCATGCCAAGAGGACGGTTATTTCGCGTTTTATGATGAGCTGCCGCCTTAGAGACATATTGCTGCGCGCAGAAAATCCAAAGAGGAGGAGACTAGAATGACCCCGTCTGTCCCCGGACGCCGAAAGAAACGGCATCCGCGACGTATTGCTTTTTGGGATATTTGGACTTTTTCGAACTGTACTTTTTCTTCTCTTCCTGTGGGATGTGTCTCTCGCTTCGCCTTCTAGAACCGTTTCTCTCTCGGACCCGGTGCTCATCGAAAAGTCCGTTAGGCTCCATAACTTTGAAATAGCCAAGACATTGCCGCTCACCAACAGGGCGTAAGCAAGAAAATCGTGCTGCCTACTCTGCTGCCCCCCCTCCTTTACTCTTACTCCAGCCACCCCCTCCCCCCGTTTCCGACCACAACCTCCAGGACAGATCCCAGAGGAGCTGTGAGGTATGCCAAGAAGACCAAGACGGCGCTAGGAGCAGTGGCTGACAACGCTTAAATTCATGCTTAAACCTGCTCATGGTGCAGTGGCGCTGGCCTTCTGCTTGGCTTTTTCACAGTGGCAGCTCTCAGCAGCTATCCCTTCTGGCTCAGCCAAGCACCATGGCTTTCAGGCTATTTATTATCCAGTCGACATCTCGTCATCTTGGTATCCGGTCACGTAAGAATTGCTGGATGGGCATGGTTTAACCCGAGGAATGTACTGATTGGCGCCTTGGGCTAGGCTTGTCTCTCTACTCTGTCTACCGTCGTGATTTGATGCAAGGATACATCGGCCTATTGTGTGCCCCCTCCTCCACCCCTTTCTTCGCTTAACCCGTCGAGCGAAGAAAACCTTGGCTCTCCCACATTACAGAGTACTCCGTAGGTACGGAGTATCCGTACTCAGTAATTAGATTGTCGGATTTGTGTGTGCGTATGCGGCACCAGTGGAGAATCGGCCCAGTGGCACGCCTTTTCTTCCTCTGGTCACTCGTACGGATATAATCGGCCGATGGGTATGCTACTTTCAGGTCAATGTCTGCTCCTCTGGCATTGAAAGCAGGACTCGGTTTTTACTACAAGCCACCAAATCCGAATGAACATAGACAAAAAAGAGTCCATAGTGTCACCCACCTCCGTGTTCGAGCCCAGAAGGATGCGAACGCACCAAACATGTGCCACGGAATGCCCAGCAGCGCCAACTCGGTCTTGGCAGCAATAGAAAGAGGCCGAGCCTCGTTTGTGTGCAATGGTTCGCCGTTTGGCAGGGCACACATCCTGATTCACCCAAGATCCAAAGGATCACCGCCAAGTCCAGGTTTGTGCCTGTTTGGGCAGGCCAAGGAGTGGACGGCTATGTTCTCAAATTGATACGGATGCTACGGGGTCCGCGTCCAGACAATCTGTGGGTGATGCCGATGCGCCGATGATCGTCGTTTATCTTACACGTGTACGGATATCTGTAGGTACTTCATGAGCCCCCTTTGAATTAGAAACTTTCTCGATCCGTAAAGAACAGACTCCCGAACTCTGGCAGTGGATACGCTTTCGTGCCGTGGGCCGAAGTGGCAGGACCTAAATCCCTCTACAACTCTACGATACCTTGACTCGAATGGTCGGGCCCAGGGTCTCCCGGTTACAAGAAGATGGGGAATCAAGCTCAGCCGACTTAGATTAATGAGCCAATCCCGCAAGCCAACGCAATCCCCATGTCGACTGAAGCATTCAACTTCCGAAAGGCAAGTCTTCAAGCTGACAATCAAGCGAGCGTGAACCGCCCCCTCCTGAAGACGGAGATATCCTAGGCTGGGATATAAAGGAAGGGAGATGGATGGCGGGCTATCCTAAAATGGGGCCTAGCTTTATCGACGGGCATTCCTCCTGGCTGACTCCTGCTGACTCTGCTGACTCGATCCCGGGGTGGGCGCGCGTGCCACACCTCCTTCGAGTCTTTCCCTCCTTCGTGCAGCCTACAGGGCTGATGGTCCTGCAAACAAGCCTTTCTGCCCTTTTGTGATTCGTCTGGACGGATCTCGCGAGCCGTAGGCTCGTTAAAGTAGAGGACACCCTAAAGTCTATCTGGGCTCATCTCCGAGGGATTCTGCGCCATCGCTTCCCAAATGCGCGGGCGCGGGCGCGCGGGTTGAAAGGCTTGCAAGCCTCGCTTGAGAAAGCTAGCTCCCATTCTTTTCTTTTTGTCATTCGATAGCCGCTGTGCCGTTGGGTACTGCTTTCCAGGTGCAGGGAAGGGATGATTCAGACCGATGGATGAGTTTAACCTTGGGAGTCGCTACAGACTATATTACAGCGGCGTGATCCCAACGGCACTTCTTCCCGTGCAAGAAAAAAAGAACAGCTGTTTTGATGATATCTGGTTCATGATGGCAGCAGCGAGACGGGTCTCGGCGTCGTTCTCCGTGCCTCTGAGCGCATTCGAACGATTTCATGTTGCCTTGATCCGAGATTGCGTAGAAGGGTGACGAGTACCCGGCTCTTCGGCTCGCTAGTGATTGGTTCGTGGCGCCTGCTTCTGACGATGGTCTCTACGGAGATAGTACGCTACTCACTCTCTCCCTCTAATCCCCAATGGTCAAGACTGCAAAGGGAGGGGAACCTAGAGGGCCCGGGGGGAGGGTGTAGAGACGATGGTGGGGGGCGATTCACGAGCCGGAATCCCGTTCGTCCAAATTCAGTTCGAGGCCAAAGGGAAGAACTTTGAAAGAAAAAAGAGAGACTTGAGCCAAGGTAACCGGGTGTGAGGGGTGTGAGCTCTGAGCCAACCTTAATGATGCTGCTGGTATGGGCACACGCGCGGATACAGATTGCCATTTGAGTAATTACCTTAATTTACCCAACGGTTAACTTTTGCCGTTTGGTCTGCCGTGTTCCCGTTGTGTAGACGGGAGACTTGGCAACGGTTTGCTGGATTCGGGGAACGGGGAACTGGCGTCTGGTAGCATTGAGCCCTTTCCCTTCCATTCCGCTATCCATGGTGCAACCGTGAAGTGTTTAGCAATTCGGGCTACAGGTATCCGTACAAGTACGAACTATTCGTACATTGCTTTGGCAGCGTGATGTAGTTCTACCCATACTGTTATCATGCTCGTGGCCCGCCTGTAAAAGGTCAAACTTGTCTGCTTTGGGAGACAAAAGTACCCGATTCGCCTGACCTGAGGAGCCAGGGGCCAGGCATCGCACACATCAAACCACAAGTGCATCCTGCCACTGGATTCGCCCACATCACGCAGGCAACAAGAGCAGGTTGGTTGGGTTGACTGGATTTCGTCGTTGGTTTGGATTCGCAGAGCGAGTTATTACAGACTTGCACGCAGATACACCTGCGCGCAGCACACCCACCCAACCACCCGTCCACCTTAGCCTGTTTCGCTACTCATGCATCCTGCCGGCCAAGACGTTCTGCAGGGAAAAAAAAAACAAAAAACAAAGGCGACATGTACGGATACTAGTAGCCAGAGGCCAGTTGGAGGCGTTGTCCCGAAAGGCACCTGTCTGTGTTAGGTTATGTTTCTCGACAGTAGCCAGGTTTCTGAGATCGACGTACGGTGTGCGACAGGTCAAAGTAGGAATCTTGGGTAGCAAACGTCTCACGAATCGCATGCCGTCCCGTCAAACAACGCCAAACGAGAGTCACATGTGGAATTCCGTTCCCGCTGGAAACACTCCCTGTACGTTGAAATCCCCTCGAGTTCGCAACACCGTTTTGGAGGAAATGGTTAGCGGGCCGGTTTGGGATAGTTCGAGGGTTTACCAGTGTTACCGGTAAAATCGTCAAATGTTACGGTGCAACCTCCGTTACCCACTGCCTTTCCCACCCTTTGTTATACACTGCAACTTGACATGTCTTGGCGCCAGGCTGTGTAGTGTCGTCGTACGGATCGTTTTCGCCACATGAGAACGAAGCTCATTGGGGGTCCAACGAGGATCATCCCAGGCCGGGGGCTATCCCCTTCATTCAATGACCTTTTTAAAGCTCGGGGACAACAATCAAAGTGAGGGGAGGAAAGATCTCGGATGGGACGGTCAAGGTTGGAGTAGGTGAACACTGAACGAAGCTTGAAGGGATCTCCGGGGCTGTTTGCGGGGGTCCCCCCCCTTCTCGGAGACTGCGGACGCCGGGACGTTCGGCCTGCAATGCAACGCTGCGGCCGGCCTCAGCGCCGATGCTTAACGAGATTCTTGGGGAGATTTGGGCGGGAAGTAAATTTGAGTGCTTGAATAAGTCTGCCCGCTGCCGATCGGGGACGACTGCTGCCATGTAGACATACTAGCTTTGTCCGTGGGAAATTTACTTCACTCGTACACAGATGCTGTGCGAAGGACATTGTCTATCGTTGTTCAAGCTTGCTGCGGTTATGATTGACATACAAACGGCGTCTGCTTTCGGGCATAGGAGACCCGTCAAATATGCCAGAAACGTAAAAACCAGCCGAGTACGGAGTACGTAATACGAGAGGGGCAGCCGCCGGCCGACGGGCTAGCACAGTATGAGGACAAATTAAGCTTGATGATCCGTGGAGAGAGGGACAGACAGGTAAAGCCTTGGAACTGATGGAAGTCGAGAGATTAGACTGAGGGAAAGGGGAGGGTCCTCTTTCGATTTCGGCTGTCAAAGGGTTACGATTACGCCGTACTACGGCTTTTGTCGGTTTCGCTGGTGTTGGTGTCGCGATGCTGTGCCGTGTTGATGGTTGCCCGCCCGTTACGGTGGTGCAGCTTGTTTGCGTTGCAGGTGTCAGCCGGGCTCTGTCTCACCAGGCTGCTTGGGACTGAGAATCTGACCAAGGGGGCGGTGAGATTGGGATCTGACGGATGACTGACGGGAGCACGGGGTAAGGACTCGGCGGTGTGTATTGTGACATGGTGTACTGAGGCGTAGCTGTTTGGCATATGGGGGTTACAGTCCACGGAGAATGACGGTCTCGTGGGACGGCGTTTGTGGCTTTTCGTGGCTGGCTGTTGACGTTGGCGGTTCACGAATCTGGGCCGATATTGCGGTATGGATTCGTTCAGCCGCATGACCAACGAGTCCAAGGTATTCTTTGATTGCCCCTCTCCCATCGCCGAAGCGGTGCCGTCTAGCACGAGCGGACGGACTTCCATATGCGAAAGAGGGCTTCATGGCGGCACCGAGCACGGATAGAGACGCAACTTCTCAAGAGACTAATAGAGCACCGATGCGATGGTTCCAGGGCTGTGCGCGCTCGACGCGCTGCATGCCTTGCGTGATGCGAAGGGGCCCGGATCCCACAGACATCAAGAAGCTGACGACGACAGTATGGCGGAGGGCCGGGAGAACGGAGTTAGTGGACAGTGCCGTTGGATGCCGCTTACTTTTTGGCACCGGTTCATCCTATACATCTGACAGTGTGCCAAAGACGCTCGAGTCACGGGAAACCTAGATGGTGAACTTTACGCTGACGGGAACGTGTTATTGTTATTGGGGCGTGCAGTAATGGGGAAGAGGGAAGCGGATGTCATGGTCGCACTGATCATTTTGGCGCTCGCTTTCTGGGACACGCTTGAGAATGTTACACGGCCGCTGGCTGGCGCCCGGAAGGACCTCGAAGTCCGGGTCAACCCAGGTGGCCGGGTTTCCTGCTGGGAGATTTCGAGGTTTGGGTTGCGTGCGCTGACTGACGGCATTCATGCGAGGCACGGGATATCAGATGGCAAAAGACCGAACCAGTTGCCAAACGCAGAGGGTCAATGTGAGAGAATACCTGAATAGTAATTCCTACAGAGAGTTGGTGGTATCGCCCATTCGTGTACTCTGTTTCAAACGTTCAGAGCTTGGCTGAGGCAACCTATACAGCGCCAACATGTTAATTCAGCCGCGCGGTTATCGAGAGGATGATCCATCTATCTGGGCTTTTAAGAGCCACGATGCGCATATCAGCTGGGTTGGCAGTCGAGCTGAGGCTGAGAAGACAGAAAGCGATAGAGAAAGAGAGCCAGGGCCCGGCGATCATTCGCATGAACGGATGTGCTATTTCGGTTGAACACATTCCCCACAGTGATGCGTTCCTGACATGACATACGTACGCGCGCATCCTCCACGCCTCGGGGATTACCGTACTATTGGCCGCCGTTTTCTGATATTGCGACCTTCCGGCAGGGCCATTTTATTAGGGTTTTAAGATTTGGCACTGACAGGTCGACCTTAAAACACACAGCCCTTTTTTCCCCCTCAGCCACCGCTGTCCCGGTGGGGGCCAAGAGAGAGAGAGAGAGAGAGTCAGAGAGGAAGCAGTCGACTCGGCGGCCGCGGCGAAATGGCGACGGTCGGGTAGGTGGGGGATCCTTCTTGGCATTTTCCTTTCCCTTGTGTTATTGTCATGGGGATTGTGCGGGACAGGCCAGTCTTTCGTTCAGGGCAATGATGGGCATGGTGATGATGTCGATGGTGGGCCAAGCCCGAGGAGGGCGTGGAGGGAGTGGTCTTCAGGGTGGTTAAATTGGCAGCTGGCACACTGGCAAGACTGAGGAGCCAAGATGTCGGCTATTTGGAGAGTGAGGAATGAATCGAGTAGGACCCGAGTTACGAGTATCTGTACGATGGCCTTGAGTCGTTTCCGTGCAGCTTTTGATGCTTTCCCTTGCCCTTCGATTCCTCGGGTTGATTACGATAGCGAGACTGCTTAGGTGCCCTGGTGTTGTGTTTGAAAGGGTGTGTGAGATGGCTGTTTGGTCCCGGGTATCTGGGTTGCATCCCCCAGGTCTGTTTGCAGCGTCTTGAAGAGAAATAAAAAAGGGAACCGGAACCGAGAGACTGGGTAGACACGGACGGTGTTTGCCCACTGCAATTATCCGTATTGTCCTTGGGTGATCTTGATAGGCGGCTGACATGGACAGGCTCATACGTTCTTGTGTGAGTGCTTGCTTTTCCACGGCAAAGGGATGGGATAGCCGCATGATAGTTAGATTTCCCGCGTCCTCGAGAGACACACGACTCTTACCGTCTCTCGCCGGAATGCTAAGAAACTACTTACCAAATGTACCGCAGCGATGGAGAAATAAGTCGATCATGTTTCAACGTTTTTGGCGCGCCTCATTTCAGCTGACTGCTCATGTGCCTTGCTCAGCTCAGCTCAGCTCCCACACACCCACCCCCCAGGCTGCAGCGCAGCTCGGCCCCAGCACACAGCACGGGCGGGCGGTGTGCTGACCTTCCTTCCATCATCCTGGACTGCGGACTGCGGCATGGTATGTAGGCGGCGGGCTCCATCTCCAGTTGGATCTCGTTCGGAAGCAGCGAGATAGGCTCCCCCGTATGGCTCCAGACGAGGATCCTGTTCATCCTCCTACTGATCTAGGCAAGTCGCTGAAGGGCTGGTACCGCTGGCTTTACCACTTTACCTGGGAGTTTGGGACGGACGGCACCGGCTTTTCCTCTTATGCGCGCGTCGACTTTCCGTATGAGTGCTAGTTTCTGCTGGAGTTTATTCGTAATAAGGTCGTATTATACGGGTATGCAAAGGACACGTTTTTCTCTCCTGACTGTAAACAAGGGGAGGGGGGGTGTGAGTGGTGTCGGATTCATTCAAAGTGAACTACATTGGATCGAGCCTGGGCGCCGAGAATTTGATAAGTTCCCATTGTGTCATGGTTATTGCTAGTCGTTCGACGAAAGGGCAAAAGTGAGTGTGAACTCGTGAAAAGAGAGAGGGGGTGAGGCATAGGCAACCGCTAGGTATGCGCCTCAAGATACCGGTTGCGAATCTCTGAATCAACGATCCCATGAGCTAGTGGAAATCGGGAAAAGACAAAGAACGACGATGGCACGATTGTCGAGCGGGTTGTTGTCCAAAAGCTTGGTATCGCTAGCCCACGGGATGCGGGAGGGCGAGACTGGCACGGGAATAAAGTAGAGTGAGCAAACATGAGTCGGGAGACGACTGCCCTGGGAGTTTGTGTGGAAAGGGCTGAGGCAGTGGGGGGGGGGAGGGATCTCGAAGCCGATTCAGAAACCCTGGCGGGCAGCCGAAGTCTTGATATGGCGATGCCCGAGGAAGATGAGCCTGTGACTCGTGAGAATTTTAGAAAGGGAGAGGGCCGGTGATGAGAATCATTCTGCACCGTCATATTCGGTGTGGCCTATCTATCATTCACTAGACAGCGAGAGAATCACGAGAGAAATAGCGATGGTCCGATGGTCGATTCTGTCATAAAATAAAGTGATGTTCCTCGCTGAAATAAGCGTTGCCTGTACGGATACGGGTGGTTTTTCTGTTCCCATAAGGAGGCCCTTTTTACAAGGTTTTTCTGCCCAGCACCCCAGCCGGGCTCTGCTTTGGTCTATCAATGGTTCCCGACTATACCGAGAATGGAGGATTTGACGAGCGAGAAAGACGAGAACCAAAGAGAGAAGAACTAAATTAATGTTGGCTTTAACTCTTGCCTAACCCCAATTGCTTGGCGATGCGCGGCCGCCTGTACGAGGAGAGGGAATTGAGTGAAATTTTAGGTAAACCTTTTCTTTGCAGAAACTTCGTGATCCGCTCTCGCTAAAGCACCTTTAGTCTTCAAGCTGAACCCGGCATGCCTGTCTGCCTGGGACACTAAGGCAGACGGCGACCTTGTTTGCCTGGCGGGATGAGGATGAGGGAGTTCTTTTTCTGCACGGCCAACGTCGGCTTGGTAAATATGGGTTGACCATTGGTCATGGCCCCTTGGTAAACGAGCGGGATACGGCACGAGGAGGGGCGGCGCCGCGAGGGCAGGGGTTTCTGGTGCGGCGGGCGAGGCTTGGGTTGCGGTTAGATCAGCTTTTTTAGTCTTCTTATTTGTGGCTAAGATTATGGTTAATTCCCCGTCTAGTGAGGATTGGCAGGATTGGCGATGGAGTATCTGTACGGAGTACGAGAGAAAGAGAGAGAGAGAGAAAGAGAGAGAGAGAGAAAGAGAGAGAGAGAGAGAGAGAGAGACTTGAGACCTTGATAGAATTCTCAGTCTTTGCAGAGCTGCGGACATGGGAGTGTTTGCTTTGATTTGCCCATCGGAATGGTTTGATTGGATACAGGTCTTTGAATCCGTGTGATGTGTGCCCGGGGTGGGCGTCATACTAAGGAAAGATTGAAGCCTGGATTGGATTGGAGTTTCTTGAATTTCGTCTATCCGTATGCAGGCCTGTGGGATGGACAAGGTTTTTCTGTCTTAGTTTTTTGTCAGATCTTCTCTACGACTCTTTTTAGGCGATGCATCTCCGTTTAGGGTTATGCTTTTCGGCTTGGCTAAATGACAGAAGTGAGCGTAAGCAGGTTTCCCTCCCGTACGCCGGTGCATCATGAATGTGAAATGTCCGTCTGGTCCGTGTAGGCTTTTTTAAGCAATTGCCGGTGTCTTGGCTTGGGCGCCGATGACCTCTGTGGTTCATGTGGGTTTTTTTTTTCTCTTGGATTCAAATGAGTTAAATGTCTTGGACGGAGTGGCTGAGCACACAGAATGTCTCTCCAGAAAGGTCCGCTCGGGGACAAGCCAAGCAAAAACAATCACCCAAGCCAAGAAAAGTCAAAAACGAAGGGAAATTTTCTCAACGGCACATGAGAGAGCAGCAGAAGCAGCAGGAGATCATCGATGGACATGGACCAGTTTCTTCGCGCATTATGTCTTATACTCCCATCCATCCCGGTCCTTAGGTATACTATACTCAACTTTTGAATCCATGTTGACTGGCATACTGGCTCCCAATGTCTGGGCCTCGGGGTCTTGGGACGTCCACATAGCCTTCTTGGTATGTGTCATTTCGCCAAGACTGGCCGATGGGCGCCAAATGGCAGATTTAGGGTTTTGTTCATTCTTTGGTTACGCGGTCGGGAAGAGGGGACGGGAGAGGGGCGTGTGTATGTGTATGTGTGTGTGTGCAGTGCGGCGTATTGGGCGGACGGTTGATTTGGATTTTCATTTTCCATTTCCTTTTTAGCTTTCTTTAGTTTAATTTGGACTTGACATCTGGTTTGCTAGTGGCTACCAATCATAGCCTAGACTGGCGAGCAGAACGGACTTAACCTTGTTCGCGGGCTCTGCTCTCAACTGTGTCCTTTTTGATGATTTTCTGCTCAGTCTTGCCGCTGGCTGGATACTCTATTTGTCTTCGTCGGGTGTTTTACCAGAGGGAATAAGAATGACCAATGCTTGTTGGGTCAGATGGACGGGCAGAGTTTAGTGGGAGCCGACGTACGCCCCTCCCCCCGTCCCCCATCACATCCTCTGCAGAACCTTGTGTGTTCGCTATCGCGGAATGAGACGTTGGCGCATCCTTTTCCCGAGACGGAAGCAAGGGGGAAGAAGGTTAGTGATTTAGCCTTCAGATTAGGTGGTCTGTACGTAGTCAGCGCGGCCAGACAATACCTTTTGCTGGTAGTGATTCGCAGACCCAGATCCCACTTTGGCTTTTTTAGTCAGACGTGCGTTTGCTTATACGAGGCTAAGGTCATGTATGTTCTCGTTAGAGTCTGGTCTGACTTGCTTTTTTGGACAGACGGCCGGTCGGCCGCGGGATAATCTTTATGGTGCAGAACGAGGGTCTAAAGAAAAGATTTAGGTACAGATAGATGGAATGGGTGTTCCTTTTCCTGGAACGGGTTTCCTTGTTCGTGTGGCCCGGGAACAGTGGAAGATGCGGCACGTTGCTCAGGCTCATGTTGTAATGAGCAACGAACGCACGACTCGTTTCGACATGCCGTTCGTTGCGGCGGTGGTGTTGTATTGGTATTGGGGAACGGAATAACGGAATTGGAGGCAACACTTTATCGGTGATCGATTCTCCACCTGGTACGGATATTTGGTGGCTATTTTGTTGGGTTCCGTTTCTTTGCTTCCTTGTTCCGCTGACAGGCTATCCGTTCGGGAGGGACTTGTGTACTAGGAAGTAACGTTTTGGATGGATGTGACGGTAATTCTGCTGACTCTGAGTGAGGCAGACGGGAGCCAAAGAAGAGAAGAAGATGGGGCTGGTGGTGGGACCCTCGATCTCGGATACAGTGGTGGTGACGTTTTGTCGGCGGGAAGCACGGAACAACTAATGCAGATTTCTTATCCACACTTTGCATTCTTGAGGATTACAACAGTAATCCACCCACGCCGACCACCGCTCTGAAAGGTCAGCGATATACCTTCTCTAGTGGGGCCGGCGGTGGCTGCGGGCTTGTCTTGTCTTGGCAGCCTTGGAAAGGGCGCTGTTCGAAAGGTGGGTGTGGAGTTAAAGTAGGTATACTTTTGCAGGGGCTGCACCAAGAAGTGACTTTGGTCTTGTGCCTGCTTGGTGGATTTGATGGATGATGGACCCTGCTGAGGAGGAATGCCATTGTGGTGGAGCATTGAGCCTCGGCGGCGCATCGTAATCGTTCCTTTTCTTGCGTTTCTGCGTCTGCCACTGCTTGGCCTTGATGCTCTACCTACCTTAATCGATGTTGCAACATTGTCGTGTTTTTACCCTTTTCGTATTCCTCTTGCTGATGCTCCAGCTCGAGAGTCTGTTTGAATAGGTACACCTCTCATTGGTTGTTTCCACCCCTCTCTTTTGCAAGGCGGAATAATCCCACGCCCCCGACTCGGCCGGACATTCCCACCCACAGAACAAGGGATGACGGCGTATGGTTCAGTCCCGGTACGTACCTTTCCGGATACATTGGCCTCCACTTCGAAAAAGCTTGGTGCAGCGACTGTCGAAATAAGCTTGAATTCTTTTCGAGAAGGGAGGGAAGGAAGGTTGGGGGTACGTACCCACGATACGTTCTGGTCAGCCTGCACCTTCCACCCTGAATTTGCACCCGCTTTCCATACTGCGTACCCCGTACCTGCCATACACCAGTTGGTGCCTGCCTTCCAAACGGAGTACCTGCCCGTCCATAACTGTGTCTAGGGCTTGCCTGCCACATGCACCCACGTATCGTAAGTGCTCCTTCCTTTCCACAATGACCGAGACCTTCCTCCCTTCTTCCATCTTGATTAAGCAAATAGGAAGGACCATGGGGAGATCAGAAAGGAAAAACAGGAGAAAAAGGAAAGAGGAATGCGATGCCGTGCCTTGCCTTCTAGCAGGGTTTCTCCCGCACATCTACCCATCCCGGCTGACCTGAACCTTGACCGGCATGCAATTCCACGACACAGACATCCCATCTTGCAGACTCCAGACTACGTATGGCCTCCCACTCATCCCCATTGCATCGCTCTCGATCTCGTCCCAAGAATTCGTATACCAGTAGGTATCCGTAATGAATAGGCTTTTTGTGTTCCTCGTATCGGGTAGAACGCTTCGAGACTTCCCACGGCACTCTCTGCTCCTGCACAGCAACAAACTGATAGAAAGGCGGTTTCGACGACCGACGCCTCGCACAGAGTCAGACACATAGATATCGAGAGAGAATTATGTGTGGACAGCCGATCTGACTACGAAATCAAATCATCCATGCACCGACCGTCACATCCATCTTGACGGATGCAACGCCTACACCCTCCCGCTCGCCGTCACATCCATCTTATCGCCCTCATTTGCCTCTTTTGCCGGCGGATGTGCTTGGTCCTGGTTTAAATTATTATTCGCGGCCTTGTCATCCTTCATCTTCGTCCCCGTCCGCCGTCCATCAAACATGCCCGGTTTTTTCCATCCTCACCAGTGTCGTGAAAAGACTATCTACCGACGGAAACGGAGTACGGAGTACTTTGCTACCATTCGATTCGTCACATAGAGACATTCGGTGCCACACCGGTTTCGCCATCCGACAGAGACCAGTGATGGGCTTTCCGGATGGGGTTGGCTTATTTCACCGCGGAATCGGCCCCCCATTACAGACGGAGCACTCCGTTGCGTCTTAAAGGGTCGCACCTAGCTGCCGGGGAAACATTCTCACGCATCGAAGAGCCTGAGGGACTCGGGAAAGCGCCACTGCTGTGGAGGGAATCCGAGCTCCGAGTCCGAGTAACAACCAGCTCAACCTGCTGCCATTTCGGCACCGACAGTATTCACCTTTGGTGGTGGTTGGGGGCTGAGGCACAGCAAACGCGCTATCTGGATCAGTCGGCACGCCAGACCCAGACCCTGACGACAATCATTCCGCCCAAGCCAACTCCAAAATTAAGAGACAGCCTATCGGTTTGAGCTTATTCCCGGTTGGGAGCTCCAATTGTGCTCCCTCTTCTTCACCACAGGCTACTCCGTACAGCATCAACCATCAACCTGACTCACAAGTCTTGCTCCGTCAGTCACCTCTGCCGGATACCCGCACAAGTATAGAGCATCCGGCTCCGCGGCTACGGCTGCGGCCACCGGCTGACCAGAGACAGCTGAAGCTTGCATCAATTTGAGGACCTTAGCCTGACGAACCATTCATTCTGCTCTCCAGACAGGACTCCATACGCCCCTTTCTCTGTCGACCGAGGCAGGCCGCAGAGAGGCTTCAACTAGAAGGGAACCTCCTACCGAGGAAAGGGAGGAGACTTGCCTACAGTTAATTAACATCCGCCAAAGACATACGTACGCTTGCCGGCCGACTCGTCGTCATCATCAGCCTCACCAACCTACGCAGCGTTCCTATTGTGTACAGTCTCCATCCCCAGCGCCCAGATCCCAAAAAAAGAACAGACCGACCGGCCGGCTGGAACGTGGGAGGACCATCGATACTATCCAAAGTAAGTTAAGCCATCACGCTACACCATGCTTTATTCCCTTATTCCCCCTATCGGATGGAGCACTACTGCGTACAGAGAAAGACTGCGTAGCAGTTCATCCTCACCATTGCCTTGGGCCCCTCATTCTTGACTCCCGTTTGTACGGATAGGTATCCTCCTCCGAGCACCTCCCGCTTCCCGAAGACGTACGCAGCTCTCCCCCCATCGTGTGGCTCTCCCCTGAACCCGTTGCCACGCTTGCACGACGGCTCTTTAGCTCTGGGCCAGAACAAGCTCTTTTTCGGGAGGCCTGGCGGCGTGGGAAAAGTTGGGGCTTGAGCCTTGAGACTCGCTGGGACACTGGACAGATCGTTCCCTTTAACCCACTCTCCCACATCCCGATCCCGAAGCCCTCGCGACTCTTGACACAGCACGCCTCTGGCCGTCTAGTAGAGTGGAAGCCACTTCCGCGGCCTCGTCTTTGATGGGGAAACCGCCTGCATAATCCTGAGTCTCTGACAGCGTACCCAAGTCTCTCCTTGACCTTAAATTTTCCGCCCCGTCAATCGTTGTTCATCAATCTCAGCCCACATATCCGTACGGGAGACTACCATTATCATCCTGTCACCCTCCAATCACCTCAAACTGCGCCTAACTGGCGTCGTCATCCATCTCCTCCCCCCCCCCCCGTTGCTCGCACTATCACCACCGCAGCAAGGGTCTCTGTAGTACCCGTAGTAGCATACTGTATCCAGAAACACCAAGCACATTGCTTAAGTTGATTGTCGGTGGGGTCCTCGGGATTTCCTAACTCTACTTGTGCCTAGACAAAGTATTCCCGTCGTTCGGACTCTTGCTCATTGCCGTCACGGTCCAACCAACACACGCCATCTCGTCCCAAAGCTTGTCACCACCTACCGCAACCTCCAACGGCTTGTCCGCGTAAACCGTCGTCAAGTGCCCATCCCGGACAATCCCCCCCCCCCCCCCCCCAAAGGCCGGCAAGGAATCCAAAAGTATCGCTGTGCACTCAACCTTTTCTGTCCTATGTCCCCGATCCGCCGGGCCTTGACTTGCGGCGGTACCCTGGTCACCGTTAACTCTGTGTGGTGCCCTCCCAGGCTCCCACCCCAAGTCCCAAGAGGACGCCCGGCCGCAGGACTCGCCCTTTCGGCACTGGATCAAGCATAAAGAAGTCAACGCAATCGGCAGCTCCTGGGCCGCCGCAGCCAATCTCGACTCTTGCCTTGTCGTTCATCTCCCGCGGGTCTCAATCTTATAACAAGTGTCAAGATTCCCCATACGCCTCAATTCGTGACTTTGGACGACGATCCGACACACGACTGTCTACTCTAACGCATCCACCCTCGTGCCCACATTCGCATTGCTGATACCGATACAATCAACTCATCCATCAAGAGAAGGAGAAGTCTGTCATTTTCACCGGCAGGCAAGCTTGGCATCCTCGTCACAAAACACCACAGGAAGAGGTACGTACGCACTTCATTGTTTTGATACTCACCACCCATCCTTCTACCCCGTCTTATACGCCCCGTTTGTCTCCATCTCGGCCCCTCTCCATGTTTTCGTCGTAGTCAAGCTTCGTTGTCGATCAGGTGCATTGTCTACCTGGTTGGAATGGGCGCCTGCTGCATCTGCGTCACCCACTGCTCCCCTCGAGTGTCTAGTGTCACCCTCACGTCTACCCTGATGTGGGAAGTTTGGGGGCCGCGGTATTGCAGGGGCTGATGGACGGCACATCACTCTCCTGCATCAGCGCTATCAAGAAGTTGCAGTGCAACCGTCGAGGACAAGTCGTCCAAACGAGGCATCTGTCAAGAGGTGATCACACACGTGTCTGATGAAGCTTCCTGGTGCCCATCCATCACCTTTTGCACTACTAGCCGGCAGAATACCGTCCAACTTGATCACTCTATCTTTCCCCCTTCTGTCCATTATTCTTCGAACATTTTGATCGTCGTCCCAAGTCTGCACGCAATTCAACCCATCTACCCTCCCATCATTCATGCACATCGCCTCTTTTCCCACAGTTAGCTTCCAAGTACGACTCGGCCATCGGTCATCTCGGCCTCTCTACTGAGCCCGCTCAGGGATAGCCCAAGAGGCAATTTTAGTCGAGAAAGCCAGTGACCCCCGTCCCCGTCATCTTCTTCAGTGGATCGGCTGTGACGGCGCAGAGAGAGACAGAGAGAGGGAGGGAGAGAGAGAGAGAGAGAGAGAGAGAGAGAGAGTGTGTGTGTGTGTGTGTGTGCGCGCGCGCGCAGGGTGATTCCAGAAGGAATTTTGGGTCACTCGGGTCGCCTCCACTTTGGTTCGAAGCGTACGGATAGTCTTCCCAAGTCCCAAAGTCACTTTTCAACCCATGCCCGGTCTTGGAGGTCCTGTCTTCTTGTCGACACTCCCGGGTCTCCATCACACCCCCCTCGTCGTCGTCGTCGTCGTCTTCGTCTTCCACCCCTCCGTCTCCCACACGCCCCCTTTTTTGCATTCGTACCCCTGCCACCTTGGCTTGCCCTGGCCCCCCCTCCCTTACCATGACTCCCCTGTCGCCAAAAGCTTGGCCTTCGCCGGGGGGTGCGACTGCTAGTGTGGGCTTGCGCGTGTTGTATCAGGATATATATGGTACAGGTGCTGCTCCAGCCCAGCCAAACGTCTTTGAACTCCATACCTGGCACGTCTCGCAAGCCTGCCAAAAGCAGCTCTCACCAACTCTCCAACATCCCGTTCACTTTCACCATCTCCACCCTTCCGAAGCTTGACGTGCGACTCAATGCGCCTCAACCCATCTCTTTGTCGAGTTGTGAATAAGCTTCTGTCATCACCCATCACCGCCTGCGAAACACCTTCATCCTATCGTCGAGGAGCTCATCGTCGCCCTCACCTGCCGAGAACCTGAGAAGCTAACCCACTTTGCTCTGCGTCATCTAGCCTACGCAATTCGTTTCTCTTTCTCGAAGCGTTTGTCAGCGGTATCATCACCCGCTGCTCACCACCCACGCGTCCGCTTCCTCACAGAACAAACGCTCTTTCAGTGGGAAAGCTTGGACCTTCAGCGTTTTCCGACGAGACGTCTCACCCTGATTTGCCTTGGACAATCTCTTGGCGTGACAGACGGACACCACCAGTCTGGTCACACGGGGTTTTAACCATAGCTATCGGCTTAACCCAAAAAAACTCTCTTCTCTTGACCGCGGATTACCCGTCTTCTCCATAGGGCGCACCTGGCCAAGGATCTTTTTCTGTCGAGGGCAACTTGTGCCGATTTCTACTCGAACTATCCCTACCCCAAACGAACTCAGTGGGGCCGTAGTGGAGGACCACTAGAGAGTTACTTTCGGACCAGCCTTTTCTTCTCACCTTGATATAAAGGTTCTCCCCCATCCTACCTATCAAGTCTTCTTGGTAGCTTCACAACTTTCCTTCTCCTTCACCACTCAACCTTCATCACACTTTATCCATCATCACCATGGAGACATATCACGGCTTTGTGCGGACACCCGCAGACGCTATTAAGCTCTTCGAGGCTTGCAGACTTGGCCTCTTGCCTCGTGTCCAGCGCAGATTATCAGAGAAGGAACGCCAATCTATTCGATCCGGCTCAGTTTTTGTTTGGGACGAGAGGGAAGCTGGTATGCGGAGGTGGACTGATGGAAAGTCATGGAGCGCCAGCAGAGTCTCCGGTAGCTTTCTCACCTACCGCGAGATGGAGGGCAAGCGTGGCAGCGGCTTCGGCGGTGGCAGACGCGGTGCCGGCAAGACTCCCGACTCTGGCCGCGGCAGCGACGAGGATCAGGAAGACGGCGAGCCTGAAGGCTACAGATACAAGGCGGATGGCCTCATGAAGCAGTCTTTCAGCATCACCACCTCCACTGGCCAGCACCTTCACCTCATCTCTTACTACTCGAGACCGCACCCTGGATCACCAGAGCTTCAGCAACCAAGCACCGATGCCCAGCTCAGACACATCACTCCCATGAAGGGAATGTACCCCGAGTCCAGCCTTCACGATAGCAACCCTACACCGGCTCTCACAAGAGGGCCCATGCTGCAACAAACTCCCTACATGACACAACAGCACCCTCAGCAGCCCATGCCGCCACAAGCCTACCCTCCGCAGTACGCACAACAGCCGGGCTACTCATGGCCTCCCTCGCCGGTGGCCACGCCTCCTTACAGCCACTACACAACATCACCTTACCCGCCGCAACAACAGCCGCAACACCAGCTGCCTCCTCCTCAAGTATCACACTCGCCCGCGCAGCAGCCGCACTACGTGCATGCACCTCCTCACCACCACCTGTCTCCCTACGACCGGGCACCTCTCCCTCCGCCCACGGCCCAGAAGCCTCTGGCTCCCTACGCTCCTCAACACCAGTCGCCTCGCCTGGCTCAGATCCAACAACCGCAGCACCAATCGCCTCGCCTGGCGTCTATTCAACAGTCGCGTGCGTCTGAGTCCCCTCGCATCTCTCATCTGCAAGCTCAAGCGGCCCAGGCTGTGATGATCGACCCTAGGCTCGGCCCCCGCAACCCTAATACTCTGCCGGGAATCAACGCTGTTTCCAGCGCTCCTTCTACCAGCCACCCGATCACACACACTCCTCCCAACAGAACTTTGTCTGTCTCGCCCCCTAGAAGCTCGCACTCCGACAGCAACAGCACAGCGCCCCTTCCCAACAAGGCCAGCCTGTCTGCACTTCTGCTGCACCCTACTCCGTCCAACTCTGAGCCCAGCAGCGCCAACGGGGGCATCAACAGTGCCAACAGCTCACCGCGGACTGGCGGCGCCCTCGGCGGTCTCCCGCCACCAGTTGATCGCCCTGCCAACATGAGCCATGACGTCAAGGCGCTTCAGGCTCTGGACCGCAAGTTTTGCATCTAGAATGTGCCCGACTAGGAACAAGAGGAGTAGAGTCCTGAGAGACCAAGAGGAAACGTCCACGAAGACGTAATTGGGTTGCATTGGCACAATAGCCTGCGAGCAGTGTTTTTGGTTTTTTTTTTTTTTTTGTCATTTCTTCAGCATCGCCGCGGCGTTTGGGAATCACTTTTCAGGCCAGCCACTTTGGGCGGTCTCAACAATCGGGAAACGTGAGATCACGATATCGGATCACGGGGTTTGGTTTGCATCACGGTAAAAAAGGGGTTAGCCAGGGCATTACCACAGAGAGGTCTTGCATCGAAACAGTCGTTACTTTTTTTTTATACAGTACATAGCATTACGAGATTGCCTCATCCGCGCCATCGGTACATCACCGGGCGAAATAGACTGGCACTTTTTACCAACACTCACTTGCGCGTATTGCTTTCCCACCCGTGACTTGAGTGAAATAATCAGAAAGGTGTCACGTTGCAGAGTGGTTTCGAACATGTGGCTCTATAGGATCTTACGACGATAAGATGGTGACTTTTGAGTCTGAGGCTAAGCGGATGGAGTCCCCAAATTTCTGAGGCGAACTGACAGCGGAGTATTGGTTGACGGAGACTTAGTTGCAAGCTTTGTTTTTTTTTTTTTTTTTTGTCCCTAACGAGGCCCCGAGGAAGCATGGCCGGTCGGTAGATCATGTCCCCCCTCGTAACACAACGAGGAAAAAGGTACGAGGTTCCATTTGCCAATTGGTATGTGGTCAGTTTAGGTTAAAGTCGCGTTAAGCATCAGGCGGTTGGCAGGGGAGGAGGGTGTCGGGGAGGGGAGGGAGGGAGATCCATCATCCATGAGACGGAGAACGATGATGGTTTGTTGTAGTGTAGGGTAGGGGTCATGGTTCGAGAAAAGACGGACGGAGAAAGTTGTTGCGGCGCCTCGCCTGGTGGACGACGATCTACCTGCCTACCTGTACGAGGGCTTCGGTGGCCGAGGGAGAGCAGGTACGAGTGTAGCGTACGAGTACAATGCTTGCCGCACTTTCGTAGAGTAGATACATCCCAAGCGGCCGCCCTGGGTATGACCCTGGTGGGGAAGGGGATGGAGAGCCAGGCAGGGAGAGAGACGTCTGTGGGAATTTAGAGTGACGAGGCTACCGACGTTCACTGCCGATAGACGCGTAGATGAAACGGCCTCGTTCGAGGGTGTGGGTGGGAAAAGGTGGGAAAGTGTGCTAAGGGGGGAACAGTTCGTGGTTTGTGTGACTGGGGTTTTTGATGGGGACGTGGATGGGGGAGGGGGATGGATGGATGGATGGGAGGCTCTTTTGTTGGTGGTGTTGGTCCTAGACTCAGTCTACCTACGTTTATTGGTCTTGAACATGAGCACTGGGAGCACGATTGTCAGATGGGAAAGACATGGTAGAGAGATGTGCAAGACGGTGTCATTTAGAGCAATGTCCGAATACTACTTCGAAAAAGGCCTATCTCTAGAAAGAGTACTCCGTACCGTACGGGGGAAGAGAGACGACAGCAGTCAATTTACCATTCGGGGCGTTTGTGGGGTGCGCCGGCAGCATTCAATGCTTCTGCGTCGGTTTCTTGGTGCCGTTGCGGTCGGTCGGCCGGCAGGCAAAGACAGGGTCCGGGGGTTCGATTGTATTGGCCGTTTTTGGACGTGTTTTCTTGGGATCCTGCCCCCGAAAGACTCCATTTCTATTGCTTGTGTGGGTATTACTCCGTTAAATATGATGTTTGAAGGAGACGGTTTTTTTTGCGACGTTTGGGAGCAGCGTATGATTACGGCAAATATCTAGAGTTGGATTTCGAGGGGTATGATGTGAAGTCTTGGCTTGGCAATGTCCTCGCCGTCTCTGGTGTGGAGATTGAAGAGAAGCCCGGAGATAGAGAGAAGCATCAATGATCATCGTCACAAGGTGGCCAATAGCGTTGGTTCAAGGGAAGTGGGATGTACGCCATAAGGGAGATCAAGTGTGAGATTTCCCGTGAGCGGAAGGATGGATGTTGCTTGTTCGTCATGTTTTCGAAACGAGGCAAGATGCTCATCATGCTCAGACGGTCGGTCCCTCCACAATCGGTTTCTCCCTCTCGCGCGCGCGCGCGAGTTACTTTACGGCGTTGGGATTATTACAATGGAGAAGGAAGAAAAAGCCAAGATCTGGACAGGTTTCTCCACTCCATGCATGAGACGACCCTCTGATGGATTTCATGGGAATGGTAATGCTGACTGAGGTCAAGGGACCGGACGTGGTGGGTGCTGACAAAAAAAGCTTGCGTTCGTGGGTACTTGTAAGTTGGAACGGGAAGCGTCTACCGTTTACGGGGAGGCTCGGTTTGCGTCGTTACAGGTGGGAGGAAAAGGGCAAATGTTTTCTTGGCGTTCTGTCTTGAGGACAGGTCGGTGGTATCATGGCTGCTGGTATTCTCAGTCATTCCTTTCTCTCTGAAGTGCGCCAGCCATGGACAACATCTTCATTCTCATCTTTTTGCTTGATCCTGTTCGTCTTTCCGGGAGAGGGTGTTCAACATTTCCCAGCCCCGGGACGCGGGACGGGATCAAATTCCGCTTGCCTGTCCTCATTGAGGCGCAGCAGCTTGCGACCCCCTACCTGAGCTACCTGAGCTACCTGAGCTACCTTAATTTTACGTATACCGACGGATACCCAGTGCCGCTTGGCGGGGGGGTGTCGGCGGTGGTTGACGCGTAAGGAATGGGCATCGTTGCTGAATAGTGATCAAGGCCGGCGTCTGTGGTGAGATCGAGAGGGGGCGGGACTGATCTGATCTGATAGAACGCTCTTCAACCTTTTTCCCTTCCCATAGAGGCCATGATGATTGCGTTTAGCCCGTGCCTCTCCTTCTTCGCTTTACCCCCATAGTTGTCTTCTAGGCGGACTTGTGATAGGTTCACGTTATGACTCGTGGGGGTGAAGAAGGAGGGTGTGCGCGCGGGCGCGCTGACAAAAAAGCCAGCTTGGATCTTTGACGGGTAGTATGCTTACATTCGGCACAGAGAGCCGCTGGGCTGGGGGGGTAAATCAGAATAAACTTGGGATGGACTTTGAAGCTTAGCCTTGACGGACGCGTAAGTAGGGGGTCATAGGTGGGTTGTTGCTTGACCTGTAGGAAAACTACCTCGCCCCAAGTCAAGCCGGCCCACTTGTGCAGTAGAAGCGCCGTCTTTGTCAGTGCATCCTGTAGCTTGTATCATTTCTCGGAAATCTTCCAAGAGCTCCTGACCAAGTGGTGTTCGTTTTCTTGGAATGCGCGCGCGGCCGTGCTGTTGGCGCTTAACGTAAACTTTGACGTCGGAGTCGGGGCACCGCACTGCACCGCGATCACGACGGCGTACAGACTACATGAAAGCCATCGAGGCTGGCTCGTGTCGCTTGGAGGTCAACGTGTTGAACACCACGGTAGTCGGCATTCACTCAAGCCCACCAACTTTATGTCCGTTGCTCAGGTCACCAGATACTACGGCAAGTTTTCCGGAATTTGGTCTACCATCGAGTAAGTCTTTGGAGATCCGGTGCGTGCCATTGGGTGAAATGGCTGACGTTGCCAAGGGCTGGGGTTCCCTCGAGGGGGAAGACATAGTGAGGAAAGACTTGCCGGACATGGGAAGGGGCCCCTCAATAAGCTATTATGGATCAAATGCGAGCCAAGCAAAACGAGCTCAGTGTCTGTATGGTTCGGAGTCGGGAGGGGGCTCAAAGTGAGATTAGGACTCTGAATAAGTGGTGATAGGAGCTCTCCATACCTACCATCACTGAACTCGTCAACACTTCGTTTTGGATTCCGAATGCGCATCCATCGTCCCCTTGGGGAAAATGTTCGCCTTCTCCAAAAAAATACTGGATGCCCCCCCCCCCCACCAAAATCCTTCCCACATATTCGATCTCGTGAGGGTCATAGTCACATCAAGAGGAAGCCAAGTCTCAGAATGCGCAAGTAAAGCCGACCAACTGCCCAGGGGTGCCGACGGACGGCGGTAGAGACGAAAGAGAGAAAAGGCTTCGGGTCTGGTGCCTGTAAGTGTACTGTAGCCTGTACGGTCGCACTCCGAGCAAGGTGCGCTAGCCGCCGTGGATCTGATGTCCACTGTCATCCTCCGTTCTCCCATCGTCTAGAATCGCCTCCTGAGACGACGTCCTTCGCCAAATGTTTCCTCCCGGGAACAGAACGCACATGCCCCCTCTGATCTCTGGGGTGGACGACAGCCAGAACAGCACACTCAATCGGTTCTTTTGGTTGAACTTGGACGGGTGCGAACATCATGCCTCTTTCTCTCTCTCTCTCTCTCTCTCTCTCTCTCTCTCTCTCTCTCTCTCTCTCTCTCTCTCTCTCTCCCCCACCCCCTGTCGATTCATCCACGGTCCATACAAAAGCACGGTCCTTGACAGGCACATACTCAAAACACCATCGAGGCAAGCTTTGACGAATCTAGCTTCGGTACGGTGGGGAATGAACGACAGGAGCCATGGGTAAACTTGCTTCAGGAGGGAATTTGGGTTATCTTGGCGGGCCCGTACGGCCAAACGGCGCAGGAGATTGGAAGGATTAGGAGAATAGAGGAGTCTTGGCGAGAGATAGCGTGTCGCGAAAAGTTGCTTTCTGACTAGGGGGACGTGAGGTAGTACGGTGGATTTAACCTCACTGATTTTCCCAGTTGCTATTCTCGTCCGCTTGGCTGCGTGTTCGTTTTCCTCACCATTGGGCCTCTCGAAGCAGGGCCAAGGCCAAGAGCCTGGGAAAATACAGACTTTTGCCTTGCAGCATGGCAGCGGTTCAATGGGAAACAATTCAGGAGGTGAGCGATGTTTCTTGTCTGGTTGCCCCGCCGCCCGCCGCCTCCTGGGTGGTCCAGTCTCCAAGCTGGAAGACTGACTCCGTACCTATTCGATGTGGTCAGTGCCGGCTAGTCGTTTGTGGCCGAGTCTCCGACGAAGTGGTCGTAATACCCGATGGTTGCGTCGACGAGCGATTTTGGGATGCCAAGTGTTGATTTGCAGTTTCACCTCCCCTTGATGGATGAGTTTATCCAAAGCTTCGCCTTTTGACGTGCCCGTACTCCCCTATGCCTCTCACAACTCATCAGAATGTTGTTGATGTACCTCAAGGTAGCTGTCTATGTATCTTGGAGACACGCCTCTCTTTGCCATTCCGGACATTGTAGAATCACGCCCATCTTGTGAGGGTGGAGGCGCTGGCTAGTGTATCATGTCGTTGACAAGGTCATGGGATAGTTGGGTGCTATGGCGGTCGTCTGTTCAAATGAATAGTCTTGATAGACTAATAGCAGACTAGATTCATGAACAATAGGAACAGCTATGTTCGCTCTGGAAAATTCCGATTGACTGTTCTGAGCTTGAAGATGAGGAGGTCCGCCATTGCGGTAGCTCTAAGCTTGATAACTTCACGTAACGACCTGCTGGGAGCTACATCTGAATCGATATATGTTTGTCAAAGAACACAGCTACACGTGCTACCGGCTTCATCGTTCGGGCCCTTTTGAAAGGTCTGATGGTAATGGCACGACCATTAACCATGAAATACATTTATATCTAAAATTCTAATTCTAGAAACTTAGAGGGCTTTAGAAAGTCTTATCCATGGGCATTCGTAACTTGAACAAGCCTTTCGGAGCCATAGGTTTCATCAAGCCAAAATTTTGCGATTGCTGTGATGCAGTCTTGGGGATGGCGTTGATTGTCTGTCAGCTTTCTGAAATCCAATGCCCCCTAGGTACTGCGAGCACCACATGCCAACTCATTAGATGTCAATCAACAGCTAACATCTCGTGGACCCTTGACGGGGCTATCATTGTGCTTGGAATATATAATTTTACGTTTGGTTTGGCTCTAATTGAAATTGGTATGCAAAACTGGGAGAAGACTCTTTTCTGAGATTGTTCTGACCAGCATCTGCGCGTCATGGTATCAAAAAACACTTCAGACGTCAACTCGCCCCCATCGAAAAAGCCAATGGCAAGCAAAGAATCAAACTATCTTCATTGTAATATATGTTAGAGCCCATTATTTACCTCAATTTATTGCTTCATTGCGCGGTGTTTCCTCATGCTACCAGCCGAATTATTGACCATTTGTCGTGTTGTTTTCGAAGCGGACACAATGTGCGGACATAGCCTGAGGATTCATTCACTATTTGACGTACGGAGCCAGACACCGCGACATCAAAGGATCCGTCAACTTGGCTTTGCAATTCGTTCCACGGACAAAATATCGTCCAGGTAAATGCGGTAGTCTTGGAATTTTCTTTGTAGTGCTCTAGAACCGCTTTGGCTGTCCTACACCGTCGCCATCATGATCCACACGCTGAGACGCCCGTCGAGTCGGTTTGCTAGTTTCTCTGGCGACTACCCAGTGAGTCAAAAATTACAGTGTCAAGTCAACTGATCACTTCGGCGTATTATCTATCTTGAAACGGCACAATGCCGCGCGTGTCCTTTCTTGAGACATTATTGTGGAGAGGGAATGGCCCCCTAAAGAGTGCAAGCAAATCCCAAGATAATAGTCATGACCGCTCCCGAGTTCCGAGGCGTTGCTCTAGAATTGCATTTCGATTCCAGTCTTCTGCAAGACAAACTTCTACCGTCATCGCTCGGCCAATATCCATTGCGATTTGCCCCTGAATACCCAACGTACTTTGGCCAGTTGGGAGAGCACCAATTGCTTGCTGCACTCACTTATTCCGGAAGCACAAGCGTAGCAGTCGCATTCCGGGCGGAACCCCCGGCACGCGACACGCAAGCTCTGCAGGGCCAATGAACCTGGGCCGGTGGCATGGTAAGATTATTGTTTAAAAAAGGGCGCCGTGGGTGCTAATATGGAAATGGACAGGCGCCCGAATAATGCCCAAAAGGAACAGAAGTTGTTCCGACGTTTGGATCCGCTAAAGAAGCATACACGGCAAAGATCTTGACAGCATGGGTTTGTAGTCCGAATGAAACGAGCCAGGGCAAGTCATGCCGAACAAAAGGAGAGGGGATGGGATTGGTGGTGGAAGGATCGCACTTCGTTTCGAGTCCTGGTCTGAGTGGTCCCATTTCCCACCCTCACCAATAGATTCGGCAACTGGCCGGAGGAAACCTGTGCAGAGCCCTCCTCACTGCAGCAGTCTCGCGGCTTCGCGTTCAAGATCCTTGGCAATTTGTTGGTGAGAATCGGGGGAGAGCCAAGATGCAAAACTGACCAATTGTCCGAAATGAAGTGAACGCGGCACTGCACTGCCTCCATTCATCTCCATGTCGCCTGCAGGCCTTGAGGAGCCTTTTACCAGGGTTCGAGAGGGTTAGACTAGTTAAACCCACGTGGGACTACTCCGTAGATGGGGAGGGGATACTCCTTGAACAAGGAATTAAAGAGCTTCCAATCTGCAAATCTCACTCGTTTCCGGCGGTTTCTTTGCCTCCTTGACCCATAATCTTTGTACGTCTTCAGGTGAGTGTATCTTGACGATTGATCGATCATACACAATGTAAGGGGGGATGAGGCTGAAAAGCACCACATAACCGGGTTTTCCGAACATGCCAGTCTGATATTATGGGCCCGATCACCCACTTTAGAAGTTTAGCATCAGGCGGAGGACGTAAACGGCCCGCGGACATGGGACACACAAGATCAAAAATAAGGCCGAACCAATGTCTGTTCTTCGAAATCGCCGCGCGCTACAGTACCTTACCCAGTCTCCAGCAGTCCCATGCGTGTCGAAAAAAGGGCTGTTACCCTCGGCCGCGACGGACTGGGGCCGGCTCCGGGCTCGAGTGTCGGGCCGGTGGGGGTGGATACTGGGTGGCTCGATCATGGCCCCAGAAACGGCGCCGAACTCGTCACTCAAAGGGTATTGAGCTTACGCGCGTTCTTTGGGGATCCCGTACCCAGACGTGCAGTTGATTTGGTGCCGGGTGGTCGGAGACTCGAGTAGCCAACCATAGACCTGAAAGAGCTTCCGGCCATGCATGCTTATGCGAGGGATTGTTACCTGGTATGCAGGGGCTTACAGTTGAACCTGTATCTGGGACGGTCGAGATGCTCGGCGCCTTACGCATCTTAGTTTAATCTTCTCGGAGGATTTTCCATAGTCGTACACGGTATGTGATCCCACGACTTTGCCTCCGATTTTGAGGACCAGCTGGCAGCAAATGCTTATGCTCACGCCCCATGTCACGGACGCAGGCGTACGTCAGGTTTCTCGGGGTTGTGTCTGCTCGAACCCAACCACTGGGATGGCATCCCATGTCGACGCGGGTGATTTTAAAGTGCCGCGCAAATTGCCCAAACGGCATGAATTCGCGGAGCTAAAACCTCCCACGCGGGAAGGGGAGCCTGGGATAGCTAAGAATAGAGGGCATGTCTAGACGAGACAGTTCGTGTGCGGTGTCACTGGGAAAAGCGCGTGCGTCGTAACCGTTGGAGATGTGCTTCCAGGGGTCGGGAAGGTGGGAGGCGGTCTCTCTCACTTCCTGAAAGTCCGTTCCCTCGGGCCTGGGAGGGCAGAAAAAAGCTAAATGGGTTTAAGGTGGTCGTGATGGTGATGGTCCCGAGTAAGTTTCCTCCTTTTGCGTCATTCGTGAGAAAGTGAAAAAGTGGGGGGGGGCGTGTGCGAAGATCAGACGAGACAGTATGTCCTGAGACGACCGCTGTTCGGCACAGGTTTCCCATGCCCAGCAAGACTTTTGTGCCGATCATCAAAAGAGATGCTCGGTGCGAGTGTGCCGAAGATGGTGTCGTCTGTAAGGTTAGCCTTGAGGTGTCCCCCGAAACCTTGGTGCCATTTAGCTTACAGTTGCGTGAACCAATACTCTGTGTTTTTTTTTTTCCAACGAGAGTTTCTTTCCCAATCGCAGAACAAACGGTCCATGTCGTATTTACGAAAAGGTTGGCAATAGAGTTGCCGTCAAGGTTAACCTCAAGGTTGGGTTGGCAGTCCTCGTCATCGATCTTAAAGTCTCGGTTGTTTGCCTGAAAGGTTCAAATAAAGGCGGTTAGGCTCGCGAGAACCTCAAAGGGTGTTCGTTCCGTAGGTGGTAGCCAACTCCTCGTCCCTACGTCCGTGAGAGGCCACGGGCAGGTCCAACCGGCCACTTTTCTCGAGCTTAAGCCTCTGCCCAACGTCGGGTGGTTAATTCCTCTGGACGACTTGATCCCACTCATCCGAGCTTTTGAATGGTCGGGCATCACGAAGACTCCAGATGCGCCAAGCCACAGTCCGTTACAGCCAATATGTTCTCGATTTCGAAAATGCTGTAACTGAGCGCGAATTTGTCGTCTTTTCTTCGGTTCACTATGACTCTTGGCAAGTCGCAGCAATGTCTGGTCCGCTCCGATGTTAAGAGTATTGGAGATTACCAAGGGACTGCCTTGCTCGAAATATGCTTGAATTGATGAAACTACATTATCGTGGACGTCAGACATGCAACTCTATCGAACTACCCTGATTTCAATTTACCCGCTGGAGTCAATGGCTAGGATGGCAAAGTAAGTTTAGAGGTTCAGAATTACCCCGCAAGAAAAGCGAGGCACTCGCATCTAAAGCGGGATAACGATCCGTGTGGGATGCTGCCATGCATCCCCAAGTTCAATGCAGAGAAAGCTTTTGCGTCTCTCGGGAACTCTGAGTCGGCTTATTACAGGTGTTATAGATTGACAAAGTGATTCATAAGATGTATGATACCGTGTTAATCTCGTCTAGTCAACCTTAACAGTATTTGACGAGCGGTAGACGTTCAAGGTTCTGGAACACTAACTTTAATGATACATTTAGCAGATAGTTAATTAGTCTTCATCGCCACCCAAAGCCTCGCGTAAGGCGAGGTATTGGCAACCACTCCGAAAGCTAGTCCATGTAATATAACCTTCTGTGATAGCATTTCCAGAATTTGAAAATTCTATCCCTGGCACCATGCTGAAAAGCGTATGCCGTCAGTGACGATCAACTGCTGGTTCCTGTATCACTTGTGTCGTCCACGGCCAGGATGTCCTGACACTACCCGCTCTTTAGCGAAACTCAGCAACCTAAGAAAGCATGGCGGTCTTCTTAATATCCTCGTAGCCAGGGTGTTCCGCAGGAGCGCACGGCAAGGTTGAGACTTTGAGATTATTATAAGCATACATTCCTGTGACACGGGGGAGGGTCGAAGAGGGGGCAGGAGTTGGCGAGCTGTCGCGTGGTGATCAAACAATTCTGTGGGCTTGGCGGCGTCGATATGAGACCGCCTGCAACTTGACACGACGATCATTTCCGAGTGCTACGTTGCGCTACAGCTGCGAGGTGGAGCGAGCTCGAATCAATCACGACTTTCAAAGATTGAATGTAGACACGGGAGCAGCCAAGTAAGTATCCGGCTTGGGACGAGTATCTTTAACGTTAATTCATATTGATCCGGGTGTATATCCCAATGCAGATGTAGGTTCAGAAAGCAAGGTTTACTTTGGAACATGATTGTGTCCTGTGTAGAGATGCCTGCTATAGTCTGATTGAGGGCAGCCACTTGTATGGAGCGAAATTCAATCAAATAGCGAACATGAATACAAGGGTATTACCCTTGTGACTAAAGCACAAAGCAGGAGTATTGTTATTGAGGACTCGACGTACGAGGTAATAGCGAAGTTTGTATCATACTGGCAGAAGTATGAACTTTGACTATTCATTGCTTCATGTTGTATAGTTGTGCCGGCCACCTAGGAAAGATGGTCTTGATGACATACTGTAATTAAACTACAGTCTCACAAAACATCGCGTCCATGTAATCAGGTAAACATTGTATGACTGTACAAGTTGATTTCCTTTCCCAGTAATACTGCATGCTTGCACCGCCGATGGCCTCGCCTAGCTCCTATCTAACTGCAGTATACAAGCACTCAAGTCCTGAGTCCTGATTGCGTGCCAGGGTTCTCTTGAAGTGGTTTGTCGCCTCTATATTCTGTTCATCCCAGGCTAGTGCTTGTGAAACTACTGCCTGAAGTCACTCATCGTTGATACAAGCTTGACGACAGCTTTGACATCCAGCCCTTGTGAAATAATGACTTGAATAATGTGGAGACGTTCAAAGAAATGAAGTCCTGTTCTAGGGCGCTCTTCCATAGATGCTAGCATCACTTTCATCATACTCTACCGCCATCTCGAACTTACTGATGCATCGTTGGCAAGGCGAGCAAGAATTATGTGTCATCACAACTACCGAACTCAGCTTGTATGGTGAAGTAGCACATGCATTCCGCTCTTGACTATCTGGTAGAATTGATCGGACCTCCTTAGGACCTTAGCAACATTTTCACCACCTTGAAAACTCGTTTCGCCCGTGCATGTTAAACTGACGAGAGTGAGGACGTGCGGTAGTTATTTCCATCGCATTGTTCGCATTCACACATATGTATTCAGGATGCCCACCGAACGTTCGGGAACACTCTGATGTTCGGTCTCAGCGGCGCAGAATGACTTGTCTGGACTGAATCGGTGATAAATATACGCTACTTGCTAATATTATGGTCATGATCTTGTCAAGACCGCGAGAAGATGCGACTGGGAGAGATTGGTGGCCAAGTCTTTCAACTTCGGACGTGGCTCTATAGCATATCGGGATACAGCTCAGAAGGAACTCGTGTCACTGAACAGACGCTGACAAGAGTATAGCACTCGAAAATTGTCAGGGCAATCTCTATATTGTCAACACGCTGGTAGGTGTCCTTCCCTTAAAGTTGTCGGTGTCTATGAAGTCCCTTTCATACAACAACTCTCCAGTCACTCCTCCGATATCCTGTCCCGAGCCGATGAATAGCAGCGCTTTATACTACGAACTGAAAGGGCTGATGCTATGTTTAGAAGACTGACAATAAGTTGGATCTGGCTTCAAGATGCCATGTGACAAGCACCATTATTCCTCCGTGAAAGTGGGTTGAATTAATAATACTATAATTATTGGGGTGGCCAAAAGTGTGTGCGTTAACTTACACACGGCCTTTGAGTACTTGTGCAGTCGAAGAAGAAAGTGGAGAAAGCAAGGTACTGTCAAGTGACATCCTGGTGAATGCGATGCAATTTTTCCTAAACCAATGACGGAGGCGATATTAAAGCGCAGGTGGTAAGCATGAATGACGGCCTTTCGGTCGTAGGTGATGACCGGCGGGGGTGGGGGTAGACTCCGGAGCATCTTGAAGTGGGTCCGGAGGAACCTCAATGTCGCACCGGATTGGGCCCCAACGTTCCGGCGGCCGGCAGTGAAAACCCGGCAGCTGTGCCGACGGAATCCTGGGAACCGACATGAGCACTTGGGAGATGACTTCGGTCAGGTTCGGTTTCTGCATGGAGTTAAGAAGTCAGGTAATGACTGTATATTGTTGTTACCCTAAGCTTCAAAGATTGGATCTTCTTACAGGTCGTACACTGACCAAACGTCGGCCGTTGTGATCCCTTGGACCAAGGGCTAGTCTAGTAGAATACAGTCAATCGTTGTACATGATGGCAAGGTAGGTAGATGTGCATTCATAAGTATTTGGATGCCAATATTCGAACAAAGCTATGCACGGCAACTTGATCCACCTCTTCCAGTAACGATTCACCGGGTGGCAAGTGTGCCAGGCCTGAGACGCCGGAGGATCCTCTGGATGCCCCGCAGGTTGTGATGTGCCGGTGCGAAGTGAGGAGAAGTCCTGAGCTCAGATTCTCCGACTTCCCCACAAAGACTAGAGCAATGTAAAATCCATCCAGGCTCAACATAAGGTAGATGAAAACCTTGGGACGGTGCACTGTATTTTGGTAATCCCTACTAAGTCCCCGGGTGTAGAGTATATATTGTTCATCACCCGACGACTTACGCTACACAATGAAACTGCATCCTTCTCCTACACCCGTTTTCAAAGTTAACCATGCTACCCATCGATTCTCATCACGCTGCACTTGGGCTCTTATTTTTCCTACTCGTCTTCTTCGCCAACTCACTGCGAGTAGCTTTCCGCCCCGGCCTCAGTAAAGTCCCAGGGCCCTTCTTCGCTAGATTTACTCCGCTATGGCGCGTATTTTTCGTCTGGAAGGGCAATGCCCATACAGACTACCGTAAACTTCATGACAAGTACGGGCCAGTTGTTCGAACTGCACCCAACGTGGTGGACATTTCTGACCCGGCAGCTCTGCAAATCATCTATGGCATAACTTCTAAATTTATCAAGGTATGCGCAACTGAAAGATGAGCCCAAGCGATATAAATTAACACTGGCGGCTCACAGTCCAACTTCTACAACACCCTGGACGCCATCTACGAGGACGAGACTATGCCCAGCATGTTCACGGCGACCAGCCCCGAGTTGCACAAAGCTCTCAAGCGACCAGTGGCCCAAAAGTACTCCATGACGTCCATCCGAACCCTCGAGTATCTGGTGGATCCCTGCACGCAAATGTTCACGGATGCAATGGCCGACATGCAGGGTCAGGTGGTCGATCTGGGCACCTGGGTACAGTGGTACGCGTTCGACGTCATCGGCGCTATCACGTTCTCCCGTCGCTTTGGGTTCATGGAGACCCGTTCCGATGTCAATGGTGTCATCTCTGGAATTGAGAAAGGGCTCAGATACGGCGGCCTCGTTGGGCAGGTGCCCGTCTTGCACAAATATCTATTGGGCAACGTGACGTTGAGAAATATACTGGCTAAAATCGGAATGGATGATCCGTTGCCTATAGTTCAGAATGTGAGTATGGACATCATGCGTCATTCTTCATTCTTCGGGTCGAGTCAAGCTGACTAGAAGTAGATGGTAATGGAGAGCCTCGGAGACTACGATGCCAAACAAGATTCTTCTGAACGAGGGGACTTCCTAGCATATCTTCGACGAGAACAAGCGTCGACTGGCGAACATATGAGTACTCGAGACATGATGAATCACTTGATGAACAACCTGTAAGAAAGAATAAATATCTTACAAAGTGGCTTGTACTGACTATTTGATTCAACAAGACTGGCCGGCAGTGACACGACTGGCATCGCTCTCCGAGCTCTTTTCTACTATGTCTTGCGCGACAAGCGCGTATATGATATTCTGCAGAAGGAGATCGACGAAGCACACGCAAGAGGAGAACTTTCACCCGTTGTCACTTTTGGGGAGAGCCAGAAGCTCGAATACCTGTAAGTCTTTCCCCCCACCCGAGTCTCAATGACTCACTCTAATGAACTGATGCGACGCACAGCCAGGCATGTGTCAAAGAATCTATGCGAATGCACCCAGGAGTATCTTACCCCCTCGAACGCATCGTTCCCGAGACCGGCGCCGAAATATCTGGGGTTCACCTACCGGCCGGCACCGTCGTAGGCATGAACGCTGCCGTAATCCATCGCAACCGGAGCATCTTTGGCGATGATGCCGATACGTTCAGGCCCGAGCGCTGGCTCAGTGACGATGTCGAAGCTGTCAAGACGATGGAGCGGCATAACATGAGTGTACGTTTGAATCTTCTGACGAAGTCGAGACCACCTCGAAGGAATATGCTGACTGTTTGCTTCGCTAACTGTAGTTCGGGGCTGGTGTCCGTACTTGCATCGGCAAGAATATCTCAATTATGGAAGTTGGAAAGGTGGTGCCTCAGATATTGAGACGGTTCAGTCTTGATTGGGCTTCGAGCGAGCCGGAGTGGCAGGTGACGACGTTCTGGTTCGCGAAACAGTCGGGTCTGCTGGTTCGCTTTAGCCCGCGGACGCCGGAGATCAGAGCTAGCAAGGAATAAGGCAGTGGCTGGTCTTGATGTTTCGTGTTTGTGTGCGGATGCATATTTAACAATTCTTTTGAATACTAATATGCGTTGCTATGTAAGCTGTGGTGAAGTTCCATTGGGGTAGCTCCGAGGTTAGAGAAAGTCCGAGTATTCTTGCTTAGTTCGGCGTGGCTCGATCGTAGACTTTGTTGTGGATAAATGTTGTTCACCCAGAGTTGAAAACCGTTGCAAATGAAGTGCGATTGTTTGATCATCATAAATCAATTCACTGCAGAAGGTCCCGGGCCGCTCCTAATTGCCGAGGCCGAAACAGAGACGTCAGAGTGCGATGAAGTACAGAGAGCCCCATGAAGATCTCCCGGCATCTCCACCGGCTACCCCGCAAAGAAACGGGATTCCTAAGCCTATTCCAGTCCTCTGCATATGTCCCGCTGGCTGCAGCACGAAACGCCGTCTCCGTCTACATCCCCCATAGTAAGCAGCTCCGACTTCTAGGCTTTTCTTTTGTCTCTTGCCAGACAGGCTGTTCCTAGGTTCACATTGTACACTACCGGATTTCTTCTTACCTGTTTTGAGTACGTGGGCTTACGATTCGGGGTATCATTGAGCTACCGGGCTCTCGGATCGTGATGTCGCGTGAGTCGCCTCAAATCCCGGTAGCTAATCATCTTACCCCAGACAATGGCTTGAGTCCTCCAGAGTCAGATGAGGCAAAGCTGCGTGTCTGTGACCACTGTAGAATGTTCGTCCTCATCCATTGGCTCGCTTCCAACTGTCCCCATCTGAAGGAGGCTTCTCAACTGACACTACTTCCATAGAAAGAAAACGAAATGTAAGAGGTTGAGCTGCTCAGAAACGGTGGCATTTCTCCCACCACATAGTTTTACTGATCGCGTGAACTTGGAATAGGTGACCAAGTTCGTCCTGCTTGTGGAAACTGCCGTACGCGTCGCATAGGTTGTTCATATACCAAACGAAGGAGAAAACCAGGTAATTGTGTTGCACAGAGTCTTCCTTCGACTTTGTTTCCTAATATGTATTGCGGCGTATCCTAGGACCTCCCAAAGGATGTACCAAAAGACCCAAACACTCGACTGTTGATGGGTCGACCACCTCTCCAGAGCGCAGCTCAAGTGGTCGAGCACGGGACACTACGATATGCACCGACGGCTTGGTCTCTGAACCATCTAGAGCTTCGAATCGAATAAGCGCCATTGATGATGTGTCCCTCCTGTCTTGGTCTGGAAATGGCTTGGGAAGGCCGCTGTCATACGGCTCAAATTTCAGCATCGATATGGAGACTTACCTGTGGGTGACCGGCATCTATCCTTGGGGTAAAGAGACGTGAGAAACCAGTGACTAACGAAGCGCTCAAAGATTGAATCTCTACTTCAAACACGTTCAGCCAAACTACCAATTATTCGAGCCTTGTCCAGACAGGCGACTCAGAAACGCGATCCACATGTCACCACGTCTCAAAATCGCACTGTTCGCTGTGTCATCACGATTCGCTACCCCAGGGGTCATGCCATGGTCACCAGAAGACTTTGCCCAACGAGCTGAAAGTCTCTCAAACGACTCGGAGCTCAGCGTCGACGAATTGAAAGCGTCTTTCCTCCTGTGCCTTCACGCTATGTCTGACTCCTTGACGTGGGCAACTGTCACCGAAACCACCAAGATCACCAGGATGGCTGATCTGTATTACACGATGCACCTCGGAGGAAAGCGTAATCGTTCGGGGTCGGTCTTCTATCTCGGCAGCGAGGAGGACCCGGGCAGCGGGGACGGACTGTCAGCGAGCCGGAATAACGAGGTAGAGGACCTTGATGCCGAGATGGAGGAGTGGAACAGGGTATGGTGGTGTATCTACCGCCTCGACTCCTGCTGCTGTGCCATCACGTAAGTCAAAGTTGGGCATAGCTGCAAAGTTGGCTCTACTGTGCTGACTTAGAGAAACCGCAGGGCTTCGCCAAACCCGATCTCAAGCCGCCTCGAAGAGAAGATCAAGTTCCATTCCGAATCGCTCGCCGAGTCCGAACTTCAGCCAGGATCCAACTTAGAACAAGACCGGGACCTGTTCCGGCACGGGTCAAAGCATCGAAAGCACTGGCGAACGATGAGGGCCATGTTTTCCCAGCCGGCTTGCACGAACCAGAGCCTCTATCTCGGCGTGTGCTCCTTTGTGAGATCTGTGACAGAACTTAGGTCTCTAGCAAAGTCCGGCCGCGGTCGAGGCTTGGAGAACTGCCTTCAAGAGCTCGAGAGCGATAGCGCAGCCACGGCGTTTGCGCTGCCTCCGTGGTACTTTCAGCCTGTGAGGAATATAAGCATAGGAGAGACGGGGGATGACCATGCGTGTCGGCTGAAGAACTTGCTTGTCTGGTCTTGGTAAGATTGTGTACCTCGCTCGATATCGTACCGCATGTTATTCGGAAACGTGAGCTAATGTTCCAGTTCCGACTTGCTACTCGCCATCTGTGCTGCCGAGATGAGCAGCTCATCGACCACAGCGGCTCCCGATCTCACAGCGCACTGGCACTCGATTCTAGACAAGGCAAATGATGCGGCTAACGTCGTGGGCAAATGGAAGCCGGCCTACCTTGACATCGTCGACCCGATGTGCTCCTACATTGTTCTTTTGGTCGGCGCAATCTTGGCTTTCCAAAGAGCGCTCTCGCCCGAGGCATCCCCGAACTCCTCCCAGCTTGACCTACTGGAGTTGTTTATGGTGCAGATAGGGACTCGTTGGCCTATAGGTGAGCATCGCTTCTACCTGTCTCCTCCATGACCCGCCTTTCTGACATGCTTGGTACAGCAAATCGTCTCGGCAGTAAGTATATTTCTTCATGCTTTCCGACGATGAGCAAGCTGACTGAAAGGGCGGGAAAGAATCCCTTCAATCGATACAGAGAAACTTGGCTTCGTGCAAGTCTACGTGTACGCTCGAGACAGCGCTCACTTATGTCCGTCAGTTAACCCACCCTTTCGATGGCCAACCTGTCCATCCCGCCATGAAAGGTGAAGCCCCTGGAGTGGGCACATCGGGTTATACAGAGGCAACGGGCACAATCAACGAGGACTATCTAGCTAGTGCTTACGATGAGGGACTCGGTCGTCACTTCGATCTCAACGATGTTGATTTCGCGAGTTTGGAGGGAGCTTTGAGCGGTATGGATCCGATGGATATGCTGCTCCAAGTAGGCTGTTGAGCAGAGGCGGAAGGAACTTGGCTTGCAACCCGAGATAGTGCATGGACGATGTATCCTCGCAGTATCACCTTAGCTGCCCTGCAAGAGACTGAAATTTGGGCCTGGAATACCCAATCGCCATTTTCATGCTTGATGAAGGGCAGGACTCGTGACGTAGATTATGAGATGAACTCAAGTCTCAAATCAAGCTGGTGGAGCGCATAAGCTTGAGGAAGGCGGGAATGCCATCTGGTGACAGGTGCGGCAACATCAGATGCTGCGCATGAGAACCTTTGTGCTATCCGTAAGTTGTTTGGAAACAGCTTTCTTACGATTCCAAACAAGCATGTAAAAGAGTGTCTGTTCTGTGCATATGCCCCATGGGGGCGGCGGCTTTGTGTGTGGGAAATGGGAGAAATAGTGGGCCAATCGTCCGTTGATTTTCATCCCATTGCCAGCATCAAAATGCTCATCCTGGGTGGTTCCAAGCAATTGAAGGAGCCTGAAAGCCTTGTTGGTCTGTTGTTTGCGAATTGCAGCATGAGGTAGGTGAGGTAAGTACCGTAGGTGAACGTGCTCGGAAACAATCATTTGCATTATTCAATTGCGGTTTGTCACGGACGATTCAGTCACAGCTCTGATGTATGCACATAAGGGCATGAACAATGTCTGGGGGCAAGAGAGACGGGATTCAATTAGGTTCAGGGGGAACGTTGAGTTCAGATTATTGGAATCCCGAATGAGCCGCCGTCATTACGAACTGCACTTGGAGGCCTCGTGTTGGCGAGATGAAAAGAAGGAGGACTAAAGAACAACAAGATAGAGAGTATGATATCGAACAGACGTCGAGCCTTCAAGCTGGCGACCCTCTGAGTGAGAGTCACTTGAAAAATCCAGGACCAAAATTGAACATCTTCATGCCCACGGCCAGCTTGCACTGCAGAGCATGAACGACCTCATTGCAAGCACCTCTTTTCGTGCCGTGCCGCGATGGGGGCCAAAGCTCGATGCAACCACTAGAATATTTACCACATCTTTTTCCATTTAGCACTGCTGAACAGCGCTCCTGTTCTGGCGGCTGAAAGGGCGGGCAGGTAGGAAAGGATGTGGGCGGTACTTGGAAGCAAGGCACACGCGTAAAGCATGGAGGTTCATCCCAGGCGCGGGAGCCCGGAGCGGGTTCTGTGAAGTGAAAATGTCAGGGAAGGGACTTGTTGTGTGAACAGCCTTTTTGATTCTTTGGTGATAGAATAGGCGGTGGTGGGTGTTTGGCCGGTGAGAGGGCATCCCTTCCACGTCATGCCGGATGGAGATTGTACTACCGGAGGAGCTCGAGGTAGTGAGTGGATAATTCATTTTGCAGAATCTTTGTCGCAATCCATTGCTATTTTCCACGTGCGGCACGACTGGCTCGACTGTTTAGTGGGAGGTTGGATTGAGTACAGAATCGACTGGGCAGGTGAGCCGTGAGGTCATTGCATGTTTGGCGGTCCCAGAGGACCATCCACGTTCTGGCGATCCAGGGAAAATCAGGGACTTTGCATTCTTAGTGTGGTTGTAACGGTCAGAACTGGCACGACGTCATGGTTGGTCTGTTGGTCTGTATAAAGGATCGACAGGTTTTGGGCTGGCACGCTGGCTAGCTGCTCATCAGACGGTGTGTGAGTGAGTGTGAGTGTGTGCCTTTCACCTTTCCCGAATCCCCCCGGGGGAGGGGACTCATCATCAGCAACTTGGAGGATTGGCGGTCAGGTTTTGGGGGCGTGTGGTGCGAGTGTGATGTGTGTTGTGTGATTTGTGGTGCGTGATGTGACTTTGGACGATCTTTGGGCGCCTGATGAGTTGGCATTCTTTTGGGCATACGCAATGTTCTACCCGTCTTTTGGGGATCCGCGGCGGTAAGACCTGGCTCAGTTGGATGAGATTGAGAATGGCACCCTTAAAACACTGGCGGTGACTACGGCTCGTGGGCTCGGCAACATCCTGCTGCTTGGAGGGAAACCTCCCCGAATGATACCATTTCAATAATGCTTCCGATATCCGTAAAGATGAGTTGCTCTATCCGGATCTGTACGAATATCTGGTCTAGTCATTGCCCGGCGCGACCCTCGGGATGCGGTAGCTGCCGCGGATGACCAGAACTGATTTGGAACCAACTTGGATGGGGGCGCAGGTTGTGTATCCCCCTTCGGATCCATGCGTGATTGGGCACTCGCCGGTCCTGTCTCCCATGGATAACATTAGCTGCCCCTGAAGTGTGCTTAGATCAGCCCTAGAGTTAGCAACGCAACATCTGTGTTCAGGACGACAGTGGGCATTTAGGAAACAGGCACATGTAACGGATAGCTATTCCGTAGTAGACATGCGAATATGAAGAGCCCCGATTAACTGCTGACGGCGATCGGGCCCGGGGTTCTTTGGATTCCCGTGCCCCGCGGCACTAGCGATGAGGTGAACAATACTAGAGAACGAATGAAGGCCAGGCCAGACCGGAGTCAGTATCGGTATCTATGAGTGTACGGAGTACAGGTTGCGTATTTCGAGCCTCTCTCGTTGCTGTGAAGCTGTGTCACGGAGGAAAAGGTGTCTTTGTGTGTGCTCGAGTAAGTCTACTATTCCGATAGATGTGAGCACCGAAGACGAATGCCGACTCCATTCCCATAATTTCCATCTTCTTGTTCGTCACGTTGTCTATTCGGGAACAGAACCCCCATAGGATCCGTAGCTTTGCGACAAACAGAGACAATCAAAGGGGGCTGACCAGGGGAGAGATGAGGATGCAATCCAACATTCTGGTGGTGCACCCCGCTCTGCAGGAAGATAACGAGGGTCTTCCAGCTGCGCAGGGGGGTGTCCGTTCTGCAATCTGTTGCTCTTACCTATACGAAGGAGAGGGGAAGGGGGGCCCGCCAATGGGGCGGTAATGCATGCAGAGTGGCAGGACGTTGATATTAAGGTGTTGACGGGGGGAACAGAACGGTTCTGGACAAGTGTATCTGTATGCAACATGTCACGCGTACCATTGCCCAGGGCCCTTTGATCCATTGCGGCTCCCTTTGCTTCGGTGAAGTTGGCCCCTGACTCCTGAGATGTCGGAATGAGTTGGATAGATTGGGTAGAGGGACGGGATCGTGTACTCCGTACACAGTAAGGGGCGAGGCGAGGAGATGAGACGTGTAGTCGGTAATCCGCCATTTGAGCACAATATCAATATCTAGCGAAGTGCTATCGAATGCATGTCTGATTTCGTGGCGGCATAGGGATATGCAGGAACACAATGGGAGTGTGATTGTGAGACACACGGTGGATCAGTGCAGAGACGTAACTTTGGCAATGACGAGATAGGATGATGAAGTGATGGGATATCCGTAAGGAAAGATGGGAAGATGAGGACTCAGGAGTTCCATCTTCCAAGGGCTGATGTGATGGCAGGTCGATTAAGGAGCTGCACGCATACTGAGGCTCAGTCGACGATCCGATGCTACCTACCGGTGTGCATATCCACGTATCCACGGAGGAGGTTGTGGGATGGAGAGCAGCGGTGCTATGAATAGTACGGATATGAGGGAGTGGGAAAGGGGACCGCTTATGTACGTGTATGCAAGGACCGTGGGGTCTCGTGTCCCATGATTTTGATGCCTCATCATTCATGAACTTGAGGAGATGTATCGACGGCTATCAGCGACTGCTGGCATGTTCGGAGCTCCTCTACGTAGTAGACTCCTCCCCCTTCGAGACGTGTTCTACGGCCCTTGACAAGTCGAAATTGGATGCCGTGGCTTGGTGGTCGAATCTGACCCAGTTGGCCGGAAACACGGCGTCAAGCACGTCTTGGGCCTGGGCTGGGCGGCGGGACATGCTGTAGTCTCTATGTGGTTCTGACCAGTGAACAGTGACCGTCTCGGCGAGAGCGAGACGGGGGCACGGGAAACACTGGCGATGGACGATTACCTAAGTGCGCCTAGCTTCGATTTTGGTGTAACTCGGCGGGACAGTGAACTCTGAAAGGCTCGTGGCTCTTGGAAAGAGAAGAACAGAAACAGAGAAGTCGAGAACAAAAAGCGAGAGGTCGCCGGCTCATTTCGAGCCCCGGCAACAGGACCCAGAGGCCGGTGAGCGGCCAAGCCTCATTTGGCTGTGGAACCCACCACGGGAGCCCCACCGTCGGCCACTCAGAGGTGCGGACTTGCTTCTTCATTTGGAGTGGTGGATCCACAAGTATCTCTCCGAGCAGATTCTGGTGGAGGGATACATATCCACAAAGTCCCTTCTCCTCCCTCATTCAGGAACCTGGCTTTGCAGCCTTAGGTGGCATTCCCCAAGCAGCTTAGGTAAGGCGCGGGAGGTGGACGACTGGGCAAACATCCAGCCGAATAGTGGAGACCATGGAAGAGTACGTACCGTGGACCTCCTGTTGCACCCGCCTCCCACTTTTATTCTCTGCTAAGGTATTGCGGCACTGCCAGCGTCTCCCGCCCCTCTGCTGAACATCCTGCTTTCAGGTGAATTTGAGGTGAGGTGGTAAACCTTGGAGTACGTACCTGTGGAAGGACTGTCAGTCCACTACGATTGAAGCCCATGAACATGTCCTGTCCACGTCTGGCTTCCGGCGCCTCTCAGTGGTTCTGTATCGCGATCAGTGGTACTGGCAGGGGCCTGGTGGCATTCTTTTAGTGGACCGGGCCGCCTGTTCCTGAGGTCCAGTGTCTCCAGCGTCTCCCTTCCGGCTGATGAGGCCCTGCCCACATCACTGTGACCCGTAGGTTCGTACTGGTACCTTAACGAAGATGCCCTGCAGGTCGTCTCTTCCACCGACGTGGACCCGTAACCTTGCGCGCTCTCTCTAACCTGAGTCTCTCTCATCGTCAAAACCTCTCGTCCCCGGCTTTCCTTCCCACTCCCTCTCTTCAACCAACCGGCCTCAACCACCCACCTCGTCATACCATGCGCTGCGCCGCCGTCGAGACATGCCCGAGCCATTGATTTATTCCCTTCCATCTCTGTCTCTGTCTTCGTCTCGACTCGCAACCCTTCACGTCTTCGCCGACGCTTCCTCCGTTCTCTTCGTTCAGTCCTCCATCCCGACAAAGACGAGCCCGACGACGTTGACGACATAGTCAGGAACGACACACCGTCCCTAATTTCCGATTTCTCCTTCTGCTACTCGTCGATCCTCGCCATCGATAGCGACACCGTCACCCCCCGTCAATTGCACGCCTAGCGAAAGTACGATACCCCCAAACCTCGACGATCCATACGAACGACGGCCGCATTGATTCGACTTTTGCGTTGTTTTTTCTTTCATCGGAAAACAATGTGTTGAGGGTTTGCTAGGCCTGCTGTTCTGTTTCCCTTTCTTTCAATCCAACAAACCACAATCCAAGGACTCGATAAAATCGCCATCCTGCCGCTGATAGCCCCCACGAGTAACCGGGAGAAACCAGAGACAAAATAACGACATCGCTCAGAATAGTAGCAGTAGCCGTCAACACCCCCCGTCACATCCACTCCCACATCCAGCTACGTCCAGCCTCCCGACGTCTCGAACCCCGGCCGACCGACCATGCCCACCTATCTCACCCGCGAGAACGCCCCCGTCTACTCGCCAAATTCCGACTTTCTGGATCTCGACCCAAACAACACGCTAGATCTGTCTGGCCACAAGCACCCAATTGACGGGCTCTCCCATACTTTACCCCTTCGCCCATCGCGCTCAAACAATCTCCATGATAGCTTCGACGAAAGCTCAACCTCATCAACCCACGCCTCGGACGTCTCTGATTCCATCCCCACTCAGATGAATGGGACGAGGCCGACTAGCATGAGCTCGCTGCCCAACGGCTCGGCAGGGGCCGGAGGAGGCCCAGACTTTGATTATCACGACCACGACTCTCATCACCACGACCAGTACAACGATTACAAGAATCAAAAGCACCCTCTACAAAATGGACACACCGTTACCATGCCCGACCGGACAGCTCCGCCGCCCCCCATTACTATTATCAAGAAGCCATCTTCCGATACGGAGCAATCGAGTCCGACGGATAACTATCTCACGCCGCCTTCAATTGGATCGCCAGCGGCCGGATCCATCGATCATGCTATAAAAACAAACGGGACCAGCAGTCCCAATTATGCACCTCCAGCAATACCCTCCCAAGGTAAACTTGCCAACGGCCACACAACGCCTGTGCCAGCAGCCAGCAACGCGTCGCTGTCCCCAGATCCCATCGCCAATAACCAACCGGCATCACCGCAACGCTTCTCTTCTCCACCGCTTTATCAATCTGGTGGCGCTACCCCCAACGGATCAACATCAACGGGGCTGCAACCGCCCAACGGCGGACTCAAGCATCGGCATACGCTCGAAGTCCCAGGTACCCAATCCAACCGCGCCTCCAAGGATGGCTCCGACACGGGCTTCTCCAGCGGTCGCTTCTCTCCCACAAGCACCACGCAAAGAGTGCGTAGGGCGTCCCTTAATCTGGTGCGGAGAGATACCCGCTCCATGCAATCCGATGTACCGCGTGACGAGGTGGTACCCGACGAAGAAGCCCTGCGTTGGGCCGAGCATTATCGACAAAAGCGGGCGAGCAAGAGGAAGAGAAAGGAAGAGGAGGATGACGATAGAGTCTTGGTCGGCACAAAGGTCGACGAACATCACACCAACTGGGTCACCGCCTATAACATGTTGACAGGCATCCGTGTTTCCGTGTCCCGCACGAACGCGAAGCTCGACCGGCCCCTTACGGATGCCGACTTTGAGGCGAAGCAGAAGTCGACTTTTGACATGTACGTCAAGTCCCGCGTAACCCACGTGCTTTGCAAGTTTACTAATTTCTTCAGTGCCGGAAACGAGTTGGTGCCCTCGGCGAAGTACGATTTCAAATTTAAGGATTATGCGCCTTGGGTCTTTCGACATTTACGCGGCCTGTTTCGCTTGGATCCCGCAGACTACCTCATGTCTCTGACGGGCAAGTATATTCTGTCTGAACTGGGTTCTCCTGGAAAGAGTGGTAGCTTCTTCTACTTCTCCAGAGACTACAAGTACATCATCAAGACCATTCATCACGCCGAGCACAAGTTCCTCCGCAAGGTCCTCAAGGACTACTACCACCACGTCACCGAAAACCCAAATACGCTGCTCTCTCAATTCTACGGTCTTCACCGAGTCAAGATGCCCTACGGAAAGAAGATTCACTTCGTAGTGATGAACAACCTCTTCCCTCCCACCGGGACATCCACACAACTTTCGACTTGAAGGGATCTACGATTGGCCGCGACTATAAGGAAGACGACCTGGACAAGAACCCTCGGGCGACGCTGAAGGACCTCAACTGGATGCGCAGACAACGAAACCTCGAGCTAGGCATCCAGAAAAAGAAGCTTTTCCTGGAGCAGCTGCAAAAGGATGTGGTCTTGATGAAGAAGCTCAAAATCATGGACTACTCTTTGTTGATTGGTATCCACGATTTGCAGCGCGGAAACGAGGAAAATCTTCGTGGAAAGACGCTTCAGGTCTTCAACCCCGGCGGCGAGCAAGAAGATGGCGAGCCGCCATCAGTTCTGTTGCGAACACCTTCCAAACTGGAGAATGCTCGTAAGGCACGGGAGCTGCGCAACATGATCAGGCACGAGCGGCCAGTGCCCATGGGCCAGACTGCAGCTCAAATGCCAGATGAGCTTGATGAGGGACACAGCAGTCGGGATACATCTTCAACCAGGATGATGGTGGATTCCAGGCGACCCACGAGGATAACTCTCCAGCCGACGAGATCTACTACCTGGGTGTCATTGACTGCCTGACTCACGTAAGACTCATGCCCTTGCTCGCTGTTTCACTGCTAACTTTTGCATAGTACGGAATGATCAAAAAGATTGAGCACTTCTGGAAGGGATTGACAAGCGACAAGACCAAGATTTCCGCTCTGCCCCCTGAACAGTATGGCGACCGATTCTACAACTTCGTCGAGGGTATAACAATGTCCCCGAAGAGGCGATTAAGGAGAAGATTCGGAAGGACCAGGAGCAGATCGAGGCCGCCGCGGCTGCGGAGAGACAGCGCGTTGCTAGTTGGAGTTCGAGTATGCGCCGGCGGTCGGGGACGAACAATATTCCCCCGATGCCCGACTACCGGCCTCCGCCAACCCCGCCTAGCGCTCCAATGTCACCCGAAGCACGCGAGACCGTCGAGCGAGCCCAACAAGATGCCCGAAGGGTCCGAGAGACACGGCGCCTCCGAGCTCAACGTCCCGGACGTCGTTCTATCGACTACAAAGATGAATGAACGACGAGAATCGGGTGGCCAAGGGGCTCCTATCTTGCCTGTAGTCGAAGAGGCAGGAGAGGCTTCGTCCCTAGGGGCAGAAGCAGAGACGGGGCAGCGAGTCGGGATGGGGATGACTATCGACCGGCTACACCAGCCAAGCCTGGTATGGAGAGTAGATTCGCCGGACTCAGGGATTACGCGCCGCCGACGCCGCCGAAAGGCCATCATCTGAAGCCCGAAAGCCAAGACAGCGGCTACGGGGCGCTGCCGAACGGGAACGGTTCCACGATGAGCAGAGAAGACTCTCTTAATATCAAGCCTCGCCTTAGTAAGACTCGCTCGACAAGGCCTTGCCCCCACTACCAAAGGAGGCGGGCGGGCAGAGCAGCTTCCGCATGGGCCTTGCTTAGGGCGCAAGCCGCCTCTTGCGGAACAACAGCAGACGAATTCGTGTTGTTAGGAGTACGAGTGGGAGCAGTGGCGATGTAGGGAGGGCACGCGACGGGAAGATAACGGTGGATGAAGCTGCAGCAGCAGCAGCAGAGAGGGAAAGGGGTCGACAAATCAACAATTGCATCAACGGGGTCAATGACAAATTCTGCAAGCTCGTTCAACGAGGTCTCACAGCGACCGAGGCAACAGAGAGCCGAGACGACCACAGAGTTTTTTACTAGTGTTTTCTCTCATGGATGATACCACCATTGCATTGAGCATGCTTCTTCTTTTTTTTTTATTCAAACTTTTTTTTTCCTCTCCCACCTTTTTCCTCGGTTTCTTATCAAACCTCCTTTTTTGTTTTTTTTTTTTTCCGCCCATACAGAAAGTCTCTCATACATAAAGGTCATCACGTAAAAAATCATTGTTTTCCCCCGGTGATGATCATACCCCTGCTGGGATTCATAGGCAAAGGGAGAAAAAAGAATAGGAGTCGGGATGGATGGAATTGGTGGAAAACTTTATAGCGATATTCAGAGGGTGCTTTCTCCTCCCATAATATGGGGTTGGGTGCGTCTAGGTAGCACAAATAGAAGAGTCGGTTCTAAACTATGTTGAAGTCAAGTTGTTTATTGTGATGTGCCTCGGCCAGTCAACTCCTCAGCAATGCGACTAAAGCTAGGGTTAAGCCTGAGTGATAGCGGATAGATGAGAGGTTGTTTGCCATTGTGGTTTACATTATTCTACAGACGTTATTTTAAATACCGCCGGCCCCCAAGGAGAGGAGTATCTAAAAACGTAATGTTGTACACCAGCTAGTGGTAGCTGGAGAAAAGGGAGTTATTCTGGTATCAAAGGGGGCCATATACAGCCGCCGACGGTTCGCCTTTTTTCAGACATCTTTGCTGGAGGGAAACCATCCCACCATATCCCGCAAATCCGATGGGAGAAAGGGGATGGTTGGTTCGTTCGTCTTGAACATATTCTTTGCTTCCTTCCCCTGGGCGTACAGCCTTACTGCCTCCTCGAGGCGAGCATATCTTGCAAATCAATCTTTGTCGGCGTTGATCCCTTGGAAGGGGCTGAGGGCTGGTCGGCGAAAGTGGTGGTGACGTCCATCTTGATTGCGTTTTCGGCTTCGAGCTGGGCCATGCGCTGCTTCTTTTGGAGGTCTGCTACGCGCCATTGTTTGAAGTATTTTACCTGTGAAGGGGGTGGATGTAAGTATGAACTGTTCAGTTACAAGGGGATCTTGCTTTCTTGTTTTTGCTGCATGGAGCAGGTAGAGAGCTCTGGTCAATGGTCTTCCCCGCTGAGCCGGTAGAAGCTACATCAACGACCTGAGGTATCTCCCACGACCCAATGACTGCACAAGGAGGAGGTGGAACCCCAAATGTAAGAAAGACAACACATACCCAAGCAGCAGCGCAATCCTGCTCAAAGACCTGGTTCTCGGCTGGACACGCCTTGCGGGCTTTCGCATCGTCCTTGAGGGCGTCGGCGATGACATTGCGGTCGAGGCAGCCAAAATAAGCGTCGCGGGCTTCCCAGCACTTGCGGCGTTCGCTGCGGTCCGGGGCGACGGCGCCGGTACGGACTTCCTCGGCGCGCTTGGCTTCTTCGGTTTGGAAGGAGGAGAAGAAGCCCATTGTGGCGATGGAGGGGAGGGTTCGGAGCTTGGGGTGTAGGCTTCGATATCGGGAGGATCGGGAAGGGGGGTTGATGGGATGTTTGCTTGTTGGCGAAAGTCTGGGTGTTGATTGATTTGAAAAGTTGGGTTTTATCGGTTCGTGGGTTGATCGGGTGTGTGTGTTCAATAAGTGGCGGTTCAGATGAAGTCCCGGATCCTTGGATGACGACTTCTGTAGATCTCGAGCAACACCGCGCGAAGTTCGAATTGAAGGGCCGGCAGAATATCGAGCGGTGGCCTAGAATAGAATAGTCTACTCAACCGGGGTGGCTCCGTCACGGCTCAGCTCTAATGTGAGCCTTGCCTTATTGGTCCCTAGCGCAGCGGGTGCTTTGCCGTTGCGATTCTAGGCAGGCACAGGCGCACCGGCGCGCCGCAAGAGAGGAAGTGTGGCGCAAACTGATTGTGCGCCAGCTGACTCCAGCCACCAAAACTGTCAACATCCCGCTGCTTCCCTTGTGGCACATCTTCCCCCAACGTGACAGCTTGGACGAAACAAACTACGAATTACGCTGACGTACAAAATCGAAACAATCTTTACCAGAAGCGTCGCCGGGGTTTGAATTTTTGCGCAATCTCCCCAGCCTTTGATTGCCAATAGAGACTCAGAGCCTATAGGCGACGCGGAGATTTGCTCCCCAGGAAGAAGGGATTACGAACCGGGGGGTCTGGGAGTTTCTTATTGCGAACCGCAAAGGAAAGCTCGATAATGCTTCGCCGGTAGCGAGATTCGAACAACACCTTGACAAACCTCTCCCTTCCGACGACGACCACCACGAAACAACAACTCGAACAACCTATTGACATACCATCAAAATTCCCAAGGAATCCACTAAGATCAACCCGAAATCCGAAGCAAACACACCCTCCGAAGCAACCGTTGACTTCAACCCGCCATGCCCCGCCGTCGCAAGCCGCCCCGGCCAGGCGCCCTCAACGATCTGCCCCCGCTGCGCATCGCCTCGCAGATCGCGGCGCTACAAGGACTGTACTATGCCGGGGCGTTGGTGCTGATGCTCTTTTCGGCGCTTGTCGCTGGAACGGGGTTCACGCTGGATCTCGTCTTTGGGTGGGAGGCTGTTCGGGGAGATACGACGCAGGGGTGGTTGGGGGCTTTCTTGTGGGTTCTTGATGGGGGTTTCTGCATGTGAGTTTTTTCCCTCGCTTTTCGTCTTTTATACAGAGTGTTTGGGCTAGTTGATGTTGTTTCCCGGAGCTTGTGGTCGCGGGATGAAGAGAGAGAAAGGCAGAAAGTTGAAGACCAACGCTAACATACAACAACGGGCTGTCGCAATCATCATCCTCATCGGCCGCTCGAAACTCGTCCCGACTTCGCGTTGACAATGCACGGTGTGCACCTCGTCGTCACGAGCCTATACACCGGCCGCATCCCACGGAACGCAATGTGGTGGGGTGCCATGGCGGCCAGCTCGGGTATCTGTGTCGCCTTGGCGGTTTGGGGATCTAGATACCGCGAGTTGAGGCCAATATCGTTTGGTGGAGGGGCGGTGGCGGCGGAAATGCCGGTGCTGGGAGCAGCGGTGACGGGGCCGCGCAGAATGGCGGCGCCGGAGACGAGGAGGATGGGCTTGGGTTCTCGAGGGGACGGGGACGAGGGAGAGGGAGGGATGGGGAGGGCGGGTATGAGATGGTTGGGATGGATCATGAGAGACGGAATTCTTGATCGAGCTGAAGAGCTTCGATGTTCTTGGTCGAATGGGAGAAGAAGCTGTGGTTTGGGATTGGCCGCGAGGCTGGAGGGTATGACATATCATTGCTTGGCGTTATCGGGATGTACGAGTATCGAGGATAGACGATCCGGATTGTGTACAGTTTACGTGGCTGTGATGACGCAGGAATAGACGCCCTCTTGAAGGGATTCAGACTTTGCTTTGGTTGAAATGAGTCGCGAATGTCGTCCAAATTGCGATGCTGCTTCTCGAGCGCTTCTGGTGACTTGGGGGTCGGTCTTGAGGTTGCCTAAGATCTGCCGGAAACCATCATAGCTGAGCACCTGCTAGTATTACTGTCCTTGCACCAGGTGTAAGGTACAAGCTAAAAAACACAATGCAAGATCATTGCCGTATAGCTAGACCACTGGGTATCTAGGACCCTCTGCCTTTAGCAGAGAGAGCCCCACGAGGACAGAGGAAGGCGTGACATGCTAATTTAAGATCAAGGCGCTCGTGATGTCTCTCATATAAAAGGAGAAAATATTTATAAGAAAAGGGATCGCTTCGTCATGCACATCCTGCTCGTGGTTCTGCTGGTGATCAAGTATGATGCTCATGATGAACAAAGGGTGTGTATCAACTACCTATGCGAGGCATAAAATACATTGTACTTAGTGGAGTTTCATACTCTGGCAGTCATTTTCGTCTTCCGGCTGGACATCACAGCTTGTCTCTTGTGCCGCCTCCTCATTGTGGTCACTCGTATTCGCTTGCAATACTTAACGGAATGTGCGGAAGCGAAAGGAGCCTAGGCAGAAGAGTCTAGGTGTGTCCTCACGAGCCTTTTACCTAGATATCTTTTAGATACAGACTGAAGTGATTCTGACGTCAAGGAGCAAGGTAGCCTTAGGCCTAGGCCAGCAACCCCATAGTCTTGGCCTAGACTCGGATGAACTGTGGCACATTGGTTTTCGGTCAAAGAGACTTCACCCATTATGTATGCCAACTTGTTGAGGCAGAAGGCGATGTATTCATGAAACCAGTGGCTGAAGCTTATTAGTGATCGCAGTTGTTCTTTTGGCTCAAGGTAGGTTTACAATGTCTACCTGGTTTCTGGACTTACCTTTTGTGAAGAACATATGAAGCCGAAGAGGAAGTTCTAGCCACTCTGAACAAAGGCGATCCTCATGCATAGTGAGATGTCAAGGAACAAGGATACTATTTTGGAACCTCCTTCAGAGTATTATCTTTAGTTGAAATGCAAAAAGATCAGATCATCAGGATAATGCATGACTTGGGTTGCTTAGCACGGGGGGGGGGGGGGGGGGGGGGGGGGGGCTCCCAGTCGAACATAGCTATCCTCGTACGTCTACCACTCGCTTGAATACCTGACATCTCTTCTACTGGTGGCCTAGTCTATTTCAGGTGCAAGCTAATCTCCATGTCGAGGTCCCGGATGCTCTAGTAAAGGCTTCAATGTTCAGTTCTATGACCAATTGTAGTGTGTGGCTGTTTCAATTATAAAGACTTACTAGTCTCTTGGCTTCCAGCCTTATGTCCCGATTTTCTCTTAGACAGAATTAGTTACTTGTCGCCAGAGATGATTCTGATCCCGGCTGATTTCTGCTATGTTAGTGGGACAGAGAGGCTGAAGGTGTAAGCCCAGTCTCAAACTCCAGCTCATGTGCGCCGCAGGACTGCGTTCGTAGGGCGTTTGAGGCCGAATCTAGAGCCTGATTTCATTTTTCATACTCAGATATTTGCATTGCTGAAGTTACACCAGAACTCGTAACTATTTTGGGTCTCACACATGGCCAATTGGAACCGCATCTGCTGCTGACGCGTGGTGAGAAGAGCGAATCACATATCTTACAACACGCAAGGGGAACGCCACATCTGCTCGCAGCTCAGGCCTCAGCCGAATGTATTAGAACATATCTCACCGCAGGTAGCCATCTCATATACATACTGATCTCCCTCGATCGAGCCTTACCTGCTCTCGCGTGTAGTTCTCTTTCGCAAGGTGGTCGAAGGCCTCTCTCCAAGTGCCATGCATTCTCCTAGCTTGCGTTCGATGCGCGGGAATCCGAATGCCTCTCCTGAAGAACACCTCGATCGGATAGAACTGTCTCCTCGCCGCCCCGAAACACCCATCGAAGAACAATGTGGCTATTCTTTCCAGGAAATCAGAAAGATGTCTGCAAACGACGAGTATAGGGCTTTCCTTGCCCCAAGCATGCTGGACTTCTCTGATCAACAGTCTTTACACCTCAACTCCGTCCCAGAGGTATCCTCGCCGGACTCGGAACAAGAGCTTTCCAAGCATATGACCTCAAACGACATCGCGAATCAGAGACATCCAAGTACACCACCAGACAGCGGGTTAACCATAGAATGGATATGGTCAGTGTGGTGGGTGGAGATGTTCAGCAGCGTTCTAGCCCTGGAGTGCATCTCTGCCATAATGATTATTCTGTCCATTTACCGAGGACAGCCTCTTCCCCACTGGCCCAAGCTCATATCAATCAACTCCTTGATCGCAGTCTTCACGGCCGTTTTCAAAGCTGCACTCATACTTCCTGTGGCCGAAGGTTAGTCTTTGCCTCTTACTGATGAGTTTCTTACATTGTACGGGAAGCATGCGGACGTTCTAACTTAAAACAATGTCTAGGCCTGGGACAGCTGAAATGGAACTGGTTCGATCGATCCCAAACGCTGGGCGACCTCGTTCTTTTTGACAATGCGAGTCGAGGGCCGTGGGGCTCATTGCTATTGATGAAGAGTTACATCCTGAGGCCGAGCATAAGAGGGTAGAGACTACTTGAATTATCTTCTGAGATCAGTCTATTGACAATCAGACAGATACTTGGCAGGACTTGGTGCATTCATCACTGTTGCAGCCCTCGCCATCGATGCTTTCTCTCAGGCCACCATCAGCCTCGGCTCTTGCAATATCACGGCAGACTCTGGTCTAGCCCAAGTGCCTAGGACGAACAACTATTCAGGCAATCCTCAACGTCGCGATAGCTCCCTTGATGCTGCACCTATCACCCTGAATCAAAAAATGCGGAAAGCTATTAACAAAGGTCTTGTGGATCCTCCAAAGGCTGGAGAACTCATCAAATTCGACTGCACCTCTCGTAACTGCACTTTCACTCAAGATGGCGGAGGCGGCTACTTCTCATCCCTCGGAATCTGCTACTCTTGTGATGACATAACGGACCAAGCTGTCTTGAAGTTCTTCACCAAAAAATCGGCTCCAGCTGTCAACATCTCGATGTGGTCCCTTCCATGGAGTAAAAACACATCCGAGACGATCCTCCAGCGCGAAAACGGTGGCACACTTCTGACGATGAGGCCGACACCCATCCAGACATACCATAACAACTCGCCTCCCATCTTCAGCTTCGACATTTTGTCACTCACATATTCCAAGTGTGATTCTTGCGGGCCTGGAGTTCCATCGGTGGCCAGGAAACCATTTGCAGCTCAGTGTAGAATTGACCCCTGCGTCAGAAAGTACAACGCCACCGTCACTGATGGAGTTTACACGGAAAAGGTTGAGGGTCACGGTCAACTCCTGAAGAGACGCCGTGCAACTTTGGGTGAATCCAAAAATGAAAATGCCTTCGCATTACTTACGGAATCTGTTTTGGTTGATGGCACTGAGCGAAAGTGCAAAGAAGTAGAGGAAAGGGCGATTAATTCCGTTCGAGTTGGCCTTCGGCAGGATGGTCATTTCCAAGAGATCTTTGATAACTCTAGCGAGATCTCCCACTCGGAGAATCTGTTCTGGAAGACATATCCGCAAGAATGCGTCTGGGTTGTAGACCGAAACTCTTGGCAGGGGATGAGGGAGACAATGACTGAGCTTCTGAGTGGCAGAGTGATGACACCGGAGGCCGACTCCTTTCAATGGTTAAATGGTTCCGTCTGGGGTCAACAGCTGTTTGCAGCCGGAAACGCTTCGATCTCCACGGTCAACAATCTGGTTGCTGGGCTGGCCGAATCAATGACGGCTACCATACGTAATGATCCGTATGGAACATCAGAGGAGTTAGGTAAGAACGTACCTGCTGATCTTAAGGTGGCTACTGGACGTGTCATTATCACCCAAACATGCATTTATGTTCAATGGGGCTATATAGCATACCCTATAGCGCTTCTTGCTCTGCAGTGGATATTTTCAACCCTGGTGTTGATCGCGTGCAGCCAGCGCAGAAGGACCAGGGACGGGCCAGCCCGCGCAGTCTGGAAGTCCTCTCCACTGGCACTTTTATTTCACGGCCTTGATGAGGATCTGCGCGTCAGGAGCCAGAATCTGGAGACTTTCAGGCAGATGAACAGCTTGGCAGACGATGTCAAGGTTCGGTTAGTACCGATGAAGGATTCGCAACGGAAAGGATGGCATTTTGCAGGTGCCTAAATGTTAATATCCCTATTATAGGGTAGTTCGTTCGAACCGTAGGTTAATAAAGAGGTTAAATTAATATATATTGACTTTGAAGTAAAGGTATAAAAGGGAGGTTTTAATTATAAGTTGGGTAGACTACGGTCCTTCTAAGTACGGTCTATAAATGGCCCTTGTGCTGGCCCCTTGCCTCGAGGTCGAATTGGACTTCCAATCCGACACTAGATGATAGATATCATGTAACAATAATGCCGAGACGGCCGAATCGGATACTGGTGAAGGTTTTCTGACCTGACGCTGCTTCTGGGGTCTGCTTCCTCTTACCTCAAGTTGCCTTTCGCAGGTCGAAATACTAACCACCAAGCCCACAGCATGATTCGGGTTGTGTGTCGGCCGGCAAGTAAATAATTTGAAAGAAAACCGCGACCAACGAAGTAGCGTCACTGAATGCAGTTCTTACAGAAACCCTTCATATTGTCAGGGTAAGTAATCATATGTGTTCGGACTAATTGACTTGGACTATTTTGGTATATTGGTATAATGGTATCCCGGTGAACGTTACGCTATAAATCAATGTTCCATCCCCCATTTGCCCCGAGTTAGGTGCTTTACTCTTCCTCCGACTTCAAGAAAATCTTCTGTGTTGATCAAACGCATAGGAATCTAGCCAACTTATTTACTCGTTTTGCCGAGTCTACGAAGCCATTACTTGTAACCCAGTCGCACGTAGGGACCTATCAACTTCTTGATCCTAGCAGAACAGACAATGTTAGCATTTCTCTTCATGGCTGATAGCAGAGGCTGATCTAACCTGCGGGGCAACCAGTAACACATGTGTTGGTCTGGCCTGTAAGGGGTCCTTTGCAACAGTAGCTACCACCAAGAGGGCGAATATGATCGTTAGAGACCGACTGAGTGCAACCGTTGCATGAGCCGCTGCCGTCGGGGAAAGTGCAAGACTTGAAACAGCCAAAGTTGGAACATTGGCTTGTGCCAGTGGTAACCTGAAGGTCGAAAAGCTCGGTTTCGTCGGGGCCACACGCCGCGTAGGCTTGAGCCGCGAGGAGGGCAACAAAAGGAAGGACTTGGAACTTCATTGTAGCGATAGTAGTTGGTGATAGAGACTCTTGTTGGGATGAGAATGGAGTTGAGACTTGGGTGGGTGTAGAGCTGAGCAAACCATGAAACTACGGTACGATCTGTTGCCCTTTATACGGGATGGTTCTTTGATGGATGGTGGACCTTATGACTGACTTATGGATAGCTCTATTAATGGACCTCTGCGCTGCCATACTTGATGGGGCACGCATTGGCGTCAGCTCGCAACTCGCATCGAGTCATTGCAAAATTTCCGTTTCGCGGAGTATTAGTCCTCGCGTTCGGCCCAGTGATGCCGTACGCCAGACCGCCTACAGAATGCATCACGTTCTTCGCAAGGAAGGCTGTGCACCATGATACGCCCTAAGAGTCTCAAACAAATGGCCTCAGCTTCCAGTAGTTATATTGAATCGCATTATGACTACGGAGAAATCTGCCCAGCAGCTTCGAGTAAGTAAGGTGGTAAGGTGCAAAGAGGTACAGGAACTGTAGGGGGCCTCTCCAGTCAAAGTCAATAAAGTTCAACCCTCTGACTGCTGTTTTACCTCTTGGCCCCTGGAAACTCGTCGCAGGGAAGACCACAAGGCGAGATCATGGGCGCACAGGGGCCCATCCACGCCTAACGTGTACGAATACCACGACTCATGACCGACCTCGCTTGGCTCGGGGATCACCGATCATCCCGTCCTACAATGGCTACCGATCAGTAAGCTCCGCTGACACCAGTCTAGAATTCTTCTCTGAAAAATTCCGATAGAGTAAACTTCTCCGTCGGGAAAGTCCCGACGTGCCGACCAGATGAACTGGTGTAGGGAAACCTTGGCACCTCCGTATTTTGGTGGGACGAAATAGAGTTTGGAGTTCAATCTTTAGCGGAAAATCGGCTTTGACGGGCATACAGGACCTGCTGCCTGGGATATGGGCTTCGCGTATCGATGAGAATACATGTATACCCCATTATCCGGGCTCGGTCAAACGCTTACCGGCCGCATCAAGTTTGTCCGAGGAAAGCGTACATTTTCGAGTCAGGGAGACATCTTCAAGTTGCTGTTTACACAGGTTCTTCACGAATACCCGTTAGTGCCTTTACGTTCGTCAGCAGGTTCAGACTTGACTGAAGAGAAAACACATGCCAGGGTATATGTGACAGCTCGCTTGGATCTCTTGTTCAATTGTTGCGTGTTAGGCTGGTGCATTCCAGCATGGCTCGACTTTGTCGTGAGAGAGGACGTAGAGAAGGCAATCGACATCAGAATGAAACTCGAGGGCGGAAAAGCTGTAGATGTATGGCAAGAGTCATGATTGACGGAAGTTCTAGTTCATATTGCGGCAACTACGACATGACTCTTTTCTTTCTTACTCGAACCAACCTAGCCCGAAACAGACCATTTGCAGCACGAGACCTCATTTTTGCCTGAAAAGATACTATCAGAAAAGTCGACGACGGAAATTTCAGGCTTATCAGTGACTTGAGAACTTACACGAAAGCAGAATTGTCTAGCAGGCGCTCCAGCACTTCACAGTCTCATAGCCGGGCTCGCGACAGCAATAGTTCTGGGCGACAAGCCACTGGTACTTGATCTCGCCCTTTCTGCAACCATTGCCAGCGCTATCTGTGCATCTTCCACTAAACATAGATTTAGCATTCCATTTCAAACACTATACACATAGTTCGGGCGTCGGGGCTTGGGTTGGGCCTGAAGTACCTGCCGAGGGGGCACGCCGAGCAGCCTGCCGAGACGACGGATGCCGCACCGAGAAGAAGCGAGAGTTGGAGAAGGATGTTCATTGTTGAAGTGGTGAATGAGAAGTTTGGGCTCGTCAAGGTAGAAGCCGAAACACTGATTGTTGATACAGATATGTATTCCTCTTCTGCAAATGTAGATGCCATCGACTTGGCTTATATACTATCGAGCTCATTCTATTTGGTCCCACCGAGGCTGTCTATCAGCTCAACTGCTTTGCAAAGGCGCCGCCATTCGGTCCGATGGACTGGCACCAAAACTAAAACACCAGTGTTTGCAGCAGTAGAAGCTGTCTTTAGATTACGTTCCTACGATACAGCAGATTTTCTATCGTTCTTGGCAAGAAAAGTCCAGGTGGCAGCGTGCTCTGACCAGATCGCGATCTAATCTCAAGCAACTGAACCCCTAAAAGGATGTGATCTTATTACCTGTCAACCTTCTAGAATAAATCGTACGGTTCAAAGCCGCAAAGCCTGTCATTGCTAACCCGTCTTGGCAAGCGTGCGATAGGCACGGTTACGATATTGGCCTTCCTCAACAGACTTTGCATAGTCTTCTAGCTGCAATTCCTTTTTGCAGTCGTGAAACTTTGTCTGTCGAGCGCTACTAGAAAATTGTGCTGGTGGCTAGATTGCGATTAGGATCGCGGTAATGCCGAAGGGAGAGTCTTCGCACCTCGAAAAGCTCGGCTACTGAAGGCAGCAGTAAAGATGGGAAAAGCCTCCGGTCTCCTGAAATTCCGCTGTCGGTCATTCTAAACCAAGCGCTCCAGTTAAAAACTCAGCCCATACATCCTTCATGAGGACTCAGCTTGTATGCTACCTTGCACAATAGACGCATGACATATAGATTCTACCGGGTAGGACAGGAATCAACATCAGCGACCATTTCTAGCAAGATGTGAATATCTAGGTATGGGAGAGGGCTATGTGCAAAAGATGAACTTATGGTCTCGATGACGAGATCGTTGACAGTAGTCTTGACTGGATTCGGGCAGTAGCTACATCATCCGATCACCTGTCGTCCCCTATCAGATAAAGTAATTGGGATGAAATACATGTCTTGTTGCCCAGATATCCACCCGCGGGCTGTCTTTTTGCCCCCTTGCCCTTGCTTTTACAATCTGCCTAAGGCGATGGACTGCTTTGCCAGTTCCCAGCTGAGCTCAGAGCCCACTTCCTCATATACCATGAACTCATTAACATAAGGCTCTCCGACTACCACTCTAATTCTTTCTTACTATCCCCATTGCAGTCCCCTTCTGCTCTTTCAGTCTGTGGTTTCCGCCACTCGTAGACACCGCCTCTCTTATCAAAAGCACTCTTGTCCCACGCCACCTGCTGCATGGCCTTTTTCACTCCAACATCAAGCAGAGACTCGCTCTTCTTCATTGGCCCATTGCCCTTGTCGAGGAAACGCAACTTCTCGTCCAGCAAAAGGTAGCTACCGGCCATCGTCTCATTATCCTCGGGCACGTAACAAGGCAGATGCTTATGCTTGCCGCAAAACGTCTGCCACTGCTCCTCCGAGATGAGAAACTTCCTTGCGTCACGCACCCGCGTCTCATCCTCGTTCTCGCCCTCAACGATCAGGCACTGGAATACCTTCTATCGGAACGGCGCCAATTGGGCAATCGTGTCTGCCATATCCTCGTTCCAGTTATAGATGTTGACGACAGTGTTGAGCTTGAACATAATGTTGTATTTCTTGCACCACTCGGCGATGCGGAATACCTGTGCAATGTGGTCCTTTTCGCCTTCCGCTCCGCCATTCTCCCCGCGGCCAATCTCCTTATTCGTCTCGCGAACGAACGAGTCACAGGAGATGGCCAGAATGTCCAGATACCGGCCGTACTCGCGGAGCCACTTCTCTTGGATCTTGTTCCCGTTGCTAACGATGCTGATACTTTCGAGATCGAGATCTTCCTTGCAGCACCGTAGCAGCTCGCCCAGGAATTTCGGATGGAGGAAGGGCTCGCCGCCGGCAACGTTGAGCTTCCGCATGCCGGCGTCCTTCAGTAGACGCATTCCATGCTTGGCTTCGTCTAGGGGAAGGATGTAACCTGACGTGTTGGTGTGGAAGCAAAATCCGCAGGCGTAGTTGCATTCGCGGGACGGGAAGTAATTGACAGAGACAGGAGCGTTCGGGTCGTCCACTGGGGGCTTGGACTTTGAATCATAATTGATCGGTACTTTTGAGGCGTCTTGATGAGGCGTCTCAGCGTGGCGGCGGAGTGAAAAATATGTTGTTGTCAGCACCACAAGGCCGACAACCCAAATGAAGGGAAGTATTGTTGAAACGGCTGCCAGAGCCGCTTTGGCGGTGACTGTCAAGAATCCCATGATGTTAGAGTGCTCATTGATTTTCTTCCTGTTGCTTCCAGATGTTTCCTTCCAGTAAATATTCGACAAATATTGCAACGATAGAATTCAGAAAGACAGGTATCGTGTATGAAGCTCAACTTTAGTGAAGTCAGGTATCGTTGGAGTTTAAAGCTTCCAATCACCACCAAGGACTTATTAATTAACCCCTCACATGCCGGTATCACGGGTGGCTTATGTAACGAGACAACTCTCGTAGGCCGTACAATTACGATATGGGACGGGGATGCTGCACCTTCCCTTCCGACGTTGCCAGACCCGCCAGCACACTATTACCGACCACACAAGCAGACAGCTCACCACCCAGCATCGCCATGGAAAGCAACCTTGCTCTGAATAGACGGGAGTTTGCAGTCATCTTCGTCCTCGGTTGGTCTTCTATCGGTCCTATTTGGTAGACAGAATGCAAGCCTGCTCACTATTTTGATAGGAGCTCCCGGCTCGGGAAAAGGCACGATCTGCAGCTATCTGTCCCGCAAACGCGGCCTGCGACATTTCTCGGTAGGAGATAATCTACGCACCTGGATGAAGGATGAGGCGAACCGCCAGACGCCTCTTGCCGCTACGATCCAGGATAAGCTAGATCATCAAGGATTCCTCACGTCGGCGGAATTAAACCCATTCCTGGGCATCGCTATCGAGGATGCAATCCGTCAAGACGAACTGAACGGGATATTGATCGACGGTTTCCCAAGGTGTGAGGAGCAGCTTACTTCGTGGGCGCAGTGGCCTTTTCAAGAACGCCTTCCATTGGTATGTTGAGGCGGGCGTAGACGAGATATGTGGGTGGCAGACGGCTGACTTGAGTAGGAGGGTCACCCAAAACCCGACATAGTCTTGTCACTCAATACGACAAAAGAGAACGCTGAAGCGAGATATCTCGCGCGTGGCCGTGACAAGAACGACAGCGGGGACAAGTTTACGAAGCGGTTCGCAGAGTACTTGGAGGAAGGGCCGCCTGTGGAACGACACTATCGAGAAGCAGGATTGCTAGTAGACGTAAGCCTTACCGCCTTTTTCTGCATTCTCAATTGGAATCCTTCTGACAAACTCTCAGATCGACAACAATGGCACCAAGGAGGAGAACATCGCAGTGGTAGAGAAGACACTGGGAGACAACGCATTGTGGAACCGTGTGGTAGGCCAGGCTACGGAGTCGGTGTTCCTCGTACCCCACTGAGTGCCGGATGACGCCCAATAGTCAATGTGTATACCGATCTTCCTGGGAGAAGTAAGCCAACACATAGCTTCTCCAACTTCGTCTCACTTGCTGCTACATCCGTGACCCGCGGACCTTCTTCTGTTGTATCTGCTCGAAGTCGGCAGGCGAATCCAGCAAGCTCATTACTACTTCATCATTCAACCTCTCATCATAGTGATTTGTCGAACACGCCACTGCCCTAGACTTCTGTGTCCTTATTGGTCTTGACTGGGCCCCGCCTCCTTCTCGCCCCGTCGACAATCACGCAGTATGATGCCAAAGTGAAGGAATACAACTTCGGCGAGAAGTGCTAAAGGCAATGCAGCCTTCATTTGAACCTTTCCACCTGCCAAAGCTAATTTACTTGGGTAATTCACAGACAACAAGAAGTCTGCTGTCTAATTACACACTTATCGATACCACTTAGTTAGTACTCATACGCCATTTACGAAATCGATCCCCCCTGATAAATTGTGTAACTCTGAGTAGGACAGTTGCCAGCTCCCGTAAGGTTTTACCAAAGATGAACTATTTGCAAGTAGTCGTAGTTATAAATGAAGTATTCGTAGATCACAAAGGCCCAGCCCAAAGTAGTAATATACCTCGATAAGTCCGCCGGGGTGCTTCCATCAAAACTCCTGGTGATACAAGGCTATGGAAGATATGTCTCTTCACTACTCCTACGACTAAGGAGAGAGGTCTAACAACCTGAACTTTACCTGCACGATCCTCCTCCAAACACCCAAGTGGCACAGATGCGGGTTCACGAGGCTTTTGTGCTTCGTAGATGGAATCCTACGTCAGCTGCATCCGAAGCGGACAGTCCCATACCAGGTTTCTGATATTTCGCCCGAATCCGAATTAAAGAGTAATCAGGTCGAGACGATGTTACGCTGAGGATCACCGGCAGTGGGCCAAGATGAGCCCTTGACGAAGCGCCTCAGCTGACATGTTATTCATGTCAAGTACGTGTAGTCTTATTTGGGGGTTTTGGCAAAGAGGATCCTAGGTCGATTATTCGAAGTGCATACTTAGTCAATCATGGTATTGAAGCTAGTTGTGGATATGGCGCTCGGTCATGTTCTGGTCTAGTAAGTATGTAACACAAGAGCTTGACCCACAACAACGTCAACCTACGATGGTAATGGGCTTGCTTCTGTTGCCTTACTCTCCAGAGTCTACGTTCATGGCCATGGACACCGTGTTACGAGGTTGGCTCTAGCACCGGGCGAAGCTGTCCAGAGAGTGACCGAGATGACAACAAGGGACTTCAAGTTGACATCGACTCTTCTTCAAAGACAATCAGTATGTGTAGAAACGTGAGAAATTCTTATAAAAGGTTACCTAAGTTCACTTGAAAGCTCTCATATCTTCTCTATCATCTTCACATCAACTCACTCACATCACTCAAGAAACCACAATTCCAATCCATGAGTCTACCACCTAATCCAAAATGTACGCCACCCAGATCTTCCTCGGCCTCATCGCCACCGTCTCGGCAATCGACGTCTACGGTTACCGCAGCAACGAAAAGTGCAGCGGCAACGACTACATCGTCTGCCGAAATGTCAACCCAGACGACTGCTATGTCCGCGCCTCGGGCGACGTCTTCAGAAGCATCGGCTTCCGCGCCATTCCGACCAATTGGAACATTATCGGCCGTGCCCACAGCGGAGGTGACTGCAAGAACCTAAAGTACGTCACCCAGTCCAACGGCGCGGAGAATATCTGCTGCGGCGGGAGCAACTACTCTGGCGGCAACTATGGCTTTGTCTCCAAGAAGCGCTCTGAAGGTACCTGCGCCGCTGCTGGGGGCTGCGCTTCTGTTACGAGGGGCGACTTGGTGGTCTTTGAGAATGGGCCCAAGTTCAACATGACTGGCCTTGATGATGCTCTTTACACTGAACTGGTAAATACACCCATTATCCCGTGAATGTGAGACGTTTCGCTGTCCGAAGTTATATATGCTAACATTGAGTTCTTCTCTCCTAGTAAGCTGTTACGACCCCTTTGTACTTCATATATCAGACCCCTGATAAGTATACCCTTCCCCTCTTTACTTTGCTAACATCCTTGTTACCAACAGTGTTTCTATTTGGGAGAACGGCAGAAGCGCGGATGAGATCCCCTCCAAGTTCGATGCCTACAAGCTCGAGTAGAATCAGACATGTCTCAACTAGGGGGCTGGCCAGGTCAGGGGAGGCGTCTAGACGGCAACTCACTCAGACCGCTTCATGGTCACCTCAACCCAGCCACGGCTTTCTTCAACTTCTCATACACATCTTTCACCATTTTGAGTCTCCAGGGCCAGTGTTGCGCGGAAACTTAGATAGCTAGCTTCTCATTTCAACAATGACCTATCTGTCTATTAATACAAGCGACGTCCATTCGTTCTTGCAACAACTTGACGTTACAACTTAAATATAGAATGTCACGCTGAGTCAGGGTTTAAACTGACAGAAATGGATGAGTTTGTGAAATATGATGTGCTACAGGATAGCTGGGCAGGAAGAAGATGCAATATGTATAAATTTCGTGGCCTCCGCAGAAGTTGAACCAGCCAACATCTTCAATCTCTTAAGTGACTTCCTCTCCCCAATCCACGTTGTCGAACACGGCGAGTGTATCTTCCAAAAGCCCAGCAACCAGGTTCACGTAAACACAACCATAGCCTTCCACAGCCAACGACAACCAACCGAACCCTCACAGAACCCCACAATCCCACAGTCCTCCTCTCCTACAGTCCCCTTCCAGTATCTCTCTCAATTCCCTCCACCACTCCAGAATCCAGTCCAGAAACCCCCTATCCCAATCCCTCCTATCATCACCAATGAACACCCCCCACCCCAACGTGCTAAGGTCCCTCGACACCAGCGGATTAGTACACCTACAAGGCAACATAACCCCAGCCGAAGCAGAAACCTCACCGGAGAGGACATCAAGACATGTTCGTAGTCTACACCGCTGCGCCCAGTCGGTTGTCTCGGTTGTGACATCTGGTGCTTGGGTTTGAGATGACATTGCTTTACTCTTGGCTTGCTATATGGTGCTAGTGCGCGAGCGGCGAGCGCATTGCGTCGGTGAAAGGGAGTCTTTTTAGTGGTGTGTGCGAGAAAGAAAATGCTGGATGCTGCTTGGAGACTTGATCTTGGTTCTGCTACCGGTATATCCGCGCTAGGAGATAGCTGGCAGCTTGCCACCCCAATGTGCCGGGAGAGTCGAAAATTGGGGTAAATTACGATGTAATCTATGTTGGGTGGTCTATTCTTTATCCCAGAGGAGAATGACGAATTAAGTAAAGTTACACTCAACTCGGCACATGTAGGTAGATGGTGGTGGGTGGCTTCAAAAACAGCCATAAGTGAGGCTGAGGACGCTGGTATGTACTCGAGTCCTACCAACTAGTCCTATCTCTCTAGGCTGCTAGTCCCGTGATGGATCCGCACCAGTTCAGTAGAACTTCGGCGCATTGGCAAAATCAGGAAACCTGTAATTCATGAGACAGGCGCTGCCTTAAGTGAAAATTTCTCTATCGAGATTGGTGTAGGAGTTGGAATTTCTTGCAATATCGATATATCATCCCACCTCAATGAGTATCAAGAGCAGTTCATAGGCGCAGGGTGACCTCTTGAGATGCTTTGCATCGTGACCAAGGGCGATAGAGCATGGAAAGAAGAAAAAGACGGTAATTTACGCTGGCTTCATTCAAGGTTTGTATGTTTTGATCCACCGTACCCGTTCCCCGGTGTCATAGTAATATACAAGACCACATTTTCACGTCCCACAGTATTACACGAATGCTTGGATACCAGTGATGGCACGGCCCAGAATGAGACCTATTGCTTAGATTAGTAACCAATGTCCAGTGTTGGGCCACGAGAGCAACTTACTGTGAATATCACTTTGTCCCTCGTACGTCTGCGTCACGAAGAGATTGGCGACGTGGCGCCCAATACCATACTCGTCACTAACAGCATTGCCACCAAAGATCTCCTGCAGTACGCGTGCATTCTGCAGCGCCCGATCGCAGTTCTGGCGCTTGACCATGCTAATCATTTCAGGCGTCGCCTTGCCCTCGTCCTTGAGCCTGCCAACCTGGATCGCGGCGACGGTGCCGTACGCCGCATCCGTCGCTGCATCGGCCAGCTTCTTCTGGACGAGCTGGTACTTGGCGATGGGGTTACCCTTGAACTGCTTCCGCTCAAGCGAGTACGTCCTGGCGCGCGCGATGCAGTCCTCGAGGGCGCCGATGACGCCCAGGGAAATACCGTATCTCGCGCTGTTGAGACACGAGAAGGGGCCTCGGAGTCCTTCAACAGAAGGAAACATGTTTTCCTTGGGTACGGGGACATCGTCGAGCTGGATCATGCCCGTGATGGAAGCTCGCAAGCCGTTCTTATTCTTGATGGGCGGCGTCTCGAGGGTGCCGGGCGGGCACTGAGAGCGTTCAACCAGGAACCCTCTGATCTTGCCTGTCTCTTGCAACTTTGCCCAGATCATCAACACATCGGCAATCGGCGAGTTCGTGATCCACGTCTTGGCACCAGAAAGAGAGTAGTAGCCTTCCTTGGTCGGATGAGGCTTGGCTGTCGTCTCCATGGACCCGGGGTCGCTGCCGTGGTTGGGCTCTGTCAGACCAAACGCGCCTAGCATCTTTCCCGTGGCCATTTTGGGCAGAAATCTCTCCTTTTGCTCTTCCGTGCCGAACTCGGCGATACCGCCCATGACAAGCGACGACTGGACGGACATGCCAGAGCGGTAGCCACTGTCGACTCTCTCGACGGCCTTTGTGATGAGTCCTCCAGCAACGGTAGACACACCGGCGCACCCATATCCCTCGATCGTTGCTCCGAGGAGCCCCAGCTCGCCCATCTCCTCAAGGATCTTCTGATCGTATTGCTCATCGCGGTAGGCCTCTATGGAGAGTGGTTAGTGTAAGCCGTGGCAGTGGCCGGAAAGGCAAACATACGGAGGACACGCGGCAGCATGCGCTCCTGGCAGTAGCGCTCAGCAGTCTCAGAAATGGCGACTTCCTCTTCAGTCAGGAGGTTCTTTGCGTTCAAGGGATCCTCCCAGTTGAAGACCGGGCCATCAGAGGCGGAAGCGAAGGTTCTCGCGGCGGGCAAGGTGCGCTTTGCGGCGCATCGTGTCGCGCATGTTCTCAAGGCGTTGCGATACATACTGGCTACTACTGGTCAATTGACTCTTCATCACGGTGGGATGGAGAGGAATCGTGCCGCCATCATGGCGGGAATATGGTCTCGAAGCCCGGGCACGGGGCGTCTTCCCCGCCAGTAGCTGTCCCGAGCAGCATCCGAGGCACAACGAGGGTGGTATCTGATTGGCTAAACGGTTGAAGATGATGATTACATAAGAACCGGTCTCGGCGAATGACGTCGTCGCGGGCTCTCTCTCCGCGTAATGAAGTGAAGCCGTTTTAGATGGAATGTGGTCGAGGTGTTACCCCCGTGCTAGGCATAACCCGGAATTGGGTCCGAATGGTGTGGTTCCCGAGTGCTAGATACATATCCCCGGATTGTCGGCTGCAATGAAGCTTTTCGGGAGGGTAGTTGGTGGTATGCACAGCCACAACCTTGACCGTGGGAACTGGTGATCGCGAGAACTGCCTGAGTCCTGAGCTGCTGCTAGGAAAAGGAAAAAGTCGGAGCAGGGGGTCAAGGACAAGAGTAGGAACAGGCTGCGTGCGGATTGGGGTTTAGAGGTTGAAACATGCCAGGGCAATGACTTGGCCCTTGGTTCGGCAGGAGCCGGCAGAGAGTTCAGACCCGGGATAAGATGCTCGAAAGGTACTTGTGTTTTTGGGCACCACTAGGTGCCCAAGTCAGGTACCGGGTTCAGGCAACACGTAAGAGCCGGACGCCATTCGCGGGATGGCTGGCGGGCAGTGATGGGATGGCAGATGCAAAGTCCAGAGTGCAGAGTGCAGTGATGTGATGTGAGGAATTGGTGTTGATGGTAAGTGACCTCCGCGAAGAAACATGGTGAGGGTTAAGCAAGAACGACACATGCTGAACGAGGTTTCAGGTGCAGTGTATCCCAAGAGGATGAGCTGATGCCGGAACCTGGGGTGCTCTCTTGCTCGAGAACTCATGCGTCGTTGTTGGTTGGTCGGCAAAGATGGCCAGACCTAGTTGAGAGAGATGCATGAGTTGTATTTTCTTTTGCCATCCAGGTAGATACCTATAATACCACATGGGCAGCCGGTCCGGTCGTCTAGATGCAGACGCTGACCAGGGAGCCACTTCGCCCGGGTTGGAAGATAATGAGGCTGAGGCATTTGCTTAGTCACCAGGTGGCAGTATCAAGCCCGCCACCAGTCAGCAATTGTCATCAGTTAGTGTTGATGGGAGTATGGCGGTGCACAGGGTACCTCACCGTGCTCACCCTTTTGGTGCCTCCGACTGTTCTTCATAATTGGAAGAAAGGGGGCGACAGAACCACTATTTGTTTGGTTTGTATGAAACCTGTTGCCTGGTACCTGAGGCTGATGGATTAGAGTCAATGGCACATAATCTAGTCATTGAATAAGGCGAACACCTAGGACTTTGATGGGTGTCATCGGTTTGTCGACCTTAGAAACAGTACTCGCTGAATCCCACGCTGAACGGACGGTAGGTAGGTACCTAGTAATGACCAATCACCAATCATAAATCATTAGTCACCAGCCACTTGTCCATTTGCTGGGCCTGGCTCCTGCTTCTCTTGACGCTCACAAATCGAATGGAATCCATGGAACGCAATAGGGCATCCATAGATCTGGTCCATTAATTCACGAGGAGTACCTCTGAAAGAAAATTAAGAGGAAAGGTACGGGCGGCTACTGGCCGTGACAGTGAATGGTGGAAATGGGTGGTGCCAGCTCGGGGCGAACCTGACGGGACGGGAATGGAAGCCACAACAACCTGAACCTCCACTGAGTTAACGCTGGGCAGCCTCAGTGCCTTTAAGCCTTAGGTTTGGCGCTCTCCTTCCCCCCTCCTTCCCACTTCCTGCCTTTCCCCTCCAAAGTGGCTCCTGCCTACCCACGACTCACCCCTTCCCGTCATTTTTCGCCAGGCCCGACCGCTGACTTTCTTTCTCTCCTTCCTTTCCCTCCACCCCATTTCCATCTCGACATCAATCTGTAACGGGACCGCCACGAAGCGAATCGATTCTTCCACGAACACCGCGTAATATCCCTCACGGGCGACATATCGAACGACCTCATAAACGCGATCGGGCTCTTTTCTTTTCGGGAGCATCTTCGGGGATAAATTCTTCCTCGTTCAGGTACTGTACGCCCCTCCCCACACCAGCACATGATTTGCACCCAAGACCGTCACATCCACGCTTCCCACGCCGCCTGCTGCTGCATCGACGCCGGCCACATCGAGCATCCTCTTCATCTCCGACATACAATATATATCGAGAGCCATACCAACACGAGCTTGTTTTCTTTGGCATCCCCGTGCATCTACGACGCGTACCTTCGCCGTTTCGCTCTCGCAGCCGACGCAAACGACAGACAACCAGCAGCAGTGCAGCCCACCACCCCTCCAACCACGTCTGCCCGCATCCCGCATCCAAAAAAGCCCACCACCGCCGACCGCTTTCGCTGACTTTTGCCCCTCACAACAACAGAACACTGCATTTGCGCTTCGGCGATCGACCATCTTCTAGATACCCCCAACCACAAACCACATTCAAAATGGCTCTTAAGCGCATTAACAAGGAGCTCACTGATCTCGGCCGGTATGTTCCCTACACTCTTTCTCTCATTTAAACTCGCAGCCTTTTTGTCGCAGCCCGAGACGTCAGGTGGGGCCATGGGGAGCGGGGTCTTCTTCAACAAGGACTGCTGCAACTTTTCAGCTCTGTCGGGCCACTGATGTTGACGTCGATGGCGGCATCGAGCTGACGAGTGCGATTCAAGAGATGCATAATGCTGACTTCTTTCCTTTGACAGTGACCCGCCCTCTTCCTGCTCTGCCGGCCCTGTCGGCGAAGATCTGGTATGTCGACTATATCTTTCCCGATAAGCGCCCGCTGTGGTGATGCCTTGAATCATGACTCAGCCGGGCACGAGATCACCTCACAGTTCCGACGATGGACTTGTAGACATTTGCTGACTGGTTTCCTCGCAGTTCCACTGGCAAGCGACGATTATGGGACCTGTAAGTTTGTTTCTCCTCTCGAGTGCTTTGTTGGTTGGACCTGGCCTCGGTACCCGGAACTCGGCCAGCTTCCCAGCTGAGAACAATAAACGAGATGTAAAACACGTTGCTGACAACTATGTTCAGGGCGACTCTCCCTACTCTGGCGGTGTCTTCTTCCTCGCCATCCACTTCCCTACCGACTACCCCTTCAAGCCTCCCAAAGTCAACTTCACCACTCGCATCTACCACCCCAACATCAACTCCAACGGCAGCATCTGCTTAGATATTCTGCGTGACCAGTGGAGTCCGGCGTTGACCATCTCCAAGGGTACGTCATCTCATGACTTGCCTCAAGGCTGTGTTATAGGCACAATGCTAACACGTGACAGTCCTGCTGTCCATCTGCTCAATGCTGACGGACCCCAACCCCGACGACCCTCTTGTGCCCGAGATTGCACACGTCTACAAGACGGACCGCGCCAGATACGAGGCCACTGCTCGCGAGTGGACTCGCAAGTACGCTATTTAGATGGGGCTCGAGGCATGATGGTTGGACGAGTATGACAGGCGACGGCTTTCCCCTATCTCTCTTCGACAGCTCTGGCGTACGCTTAGGTCAAGGTCATTGCTCTGCGTTGCGGTTTGGGGTCTCTGTCGTTTCACCGGCACACAGAAGACAGTTCGGCCGTCAAAACAAAACCCTTGACGGCGGATTGGCATTCTCGAGAAGAGGTTACGCGGGCAGTGTGAATAGAAGACAGACCGATCAGACAGTTAGCAGCACAGGTACCACTTCCGGGTTTTCAAACGGCAAGGCTTCATGTTTCTATTGCATTGACGCTGCATTGATGCGTACGTTCTGGTCGACACCGCAGAAGAGACGACCGGTAGCCATCATACCAAATTGTTTCCGTGATAACTTTGATATCGTTTGCTCGTGTCCCAGGCTTGGTGTTCCTCAAGGCCAGTGAAGGTTGCCAAATATCCATAACGCATGAACAGTGAAAAGGTCATGATTCGCGAGGGCTGGTCATCTTGAACCTTGAGGCCAGAGTTGATGTTGTTGCCCAGGTTTAGCATATGGGGAGCCTCCACAGGCTGCCTCCAGGACAAGTGATCGACGATAGGGGGCGATGTCAATGTAAACACCATCAGCATCGGCTTGTTCCAGATGCCGTGTTTAAAGGCCCGTTTAACGCGGGCTCTACTTGACACAAATCTTTTCTCATTTCGAACAGAGCGTAACATGTTTTCCGTTGTAAGGCATTGCGTATAGGTGTACCGGGTAAGACCGACCTCAGCCCAGTGATCTGGGACGCCGGCTCCGGCGACCCGGGGATCCGAGGATCATGGTGATGGGTTAGGGAAGGTGAGAATCGGGTAGATGTTTCCTGTGGGTACCTGTGTTTATCTATGCGCGATGGATGGTAGAGGAGGCTTGATATGATACGTGAGGGCGGGGTTATGTTGTGAAGTTGCCGATGAGTGTATGAGCCCTGGCAGGATGCCATAGGGGCAAAGCATTGCTGTGATATATCCTCAAGCGAGCCATGAATTGATTTGAGATTACCGGGATCGGCAGGAATCCGTGGAAATCTTGAGGTCGATAATTAATCACCAGAACCTCTGTCACCTTGTCTGTACTTTGTCACAAAGAGAATGTGAGAACGATTCTTGACGTGTTTAGCTATTCTCTTGCTCGGCGGGAAAGACGGATATGTGGCTCTTTGATGTGAAATCTGAGATGAGGGACATTTGAACTTTACGGAAATGACAGACGGCATGTTTACTCGAGGTGGAATCTAGTTTGAGATTCTGCCTTGGTCCAAGGCAAACGCCATTCACAGCTGGGGTTTCGCAATGAGAAGAAGAACCGAAAAGGCGAAGAAACTACGTCTACGAGATGTTTAGGAAGGAGACGGAGATTGGGTAATAGCTTCCAGCTTGCCTTTTGCGCAGCACGCAGGGCTAGACACCCTCCGACCTCGTCTCCTCCGCTACGATCCACGTGGATGATAGAATGGCTTTGCTGGACTGAGGGTTCTTCAACAAAGGCATGGCAGTGCGAATAGTAATCAGAGTGGTTTACCAAGGGATGATGATCGACCTTGGCAAGGCAAATCTCCCGTCCTAGTTGACCGGTATGAGGCATACCACTTCACGGCCACAGCTTCCATCCAACGATCCAACACTGAGATATGACGCTCAGATCCTTTCATTGGTAACGCTGGTAAGAACAAGCAACGTGGATTCAACGGGCGCGTTTGGAACATTGCCATATGCATCACATAAACGATGTTGCAAGAGGACTATAGACTAGGACCAGCTTCTGACAGGAAGTAGTGCCCTGCGGACTCGCCGTTGCTTGGATCTTCAAGTGTACTTTGTAGGGCCAGAAAACATGCACGACATCAGTCCAAACGAAACGTGTGAGGCCCAATTTGGAAGTAGTGGTGGTCTCCCATAGCCGAGGATGGAAAGAGAATCGTTTACCTTTACGTAGCCGGGCGCTGAAGGAAGATGAGATGGACGTGTTGTGGCAATGGAGAGGCCGTCCTTGCAGGGAAGGAAAAGGTGTTCATGAATCGAGCGAATCGACTATCCAGAAAGCGGCAACGGTGCTGGTATCCGTACTGTGTGTGCGGCTCTTTTTGCGCCGCGGAAGGGGCACGTGGTTTCATTTCCAGGGTGGAAAGGTGGGATTACTCGAAATGGCCAGTAGATGCGAGAGGGCCGCCGGGTAGGCAGAGGCGAGGAAAACGGGAGCCTGTGCCCTGCGTCTCCCGTTCAAGCGTAGGTGCTCTACTCGGATCTCGACACGCAGAAGGGGAGCAGAAGGGGAACGATGTTTTGAAGAAGGTAGGGCTGGTATTGTTTGAAACTTGATGATTTGAGGTCGAGGGCTCGAGTACTGCTGGTGTACGGAGTACGGAGTACCAGACGGCCATTGTTCGGGAACAATCGTCTCCAGCGTGGAGGGACGGGAGAAAACGGGCCTCGCGTTCGAGAAGCGCTCAGAGGAGAGGGCAGCGTTCCGAGACTTCGGATAGCTGTGCCGTGTAGGTCGACTCGAGGTGTGTCCGGCAGAGGTCGAGCGATTATCGCGTGTTTTGTAAAGGTGGGAATGGAGTCTGTTCAAGAGACAGGGGCTTGTGTCGGTTGGATTTCGAGGGGACTAGTCGAGCCACGAAGGAGTTCCTGGGCCGTGGTGAATAGGTGGTCTTGCTTGTTGAGCAAATAAGGTAAAGGGTTGACAGGCTGAAGAATGCGGGATGTGATTAAGAATAATTCCGAAGACTTGGAACTTGGAAGAGACACATTTGATGAATCTGTATCAGATAGATGGAATGAGGCTGATAGAGACATAGTTTGAAATGTGGGGATGCTCAGCCGCTGGGTTGACGATGACTTGCAGGTTCAGAGTGCGCAACAATTCGAAAGCGCAGACTCTTACAGAGACGGAAGATTGATAGCTTGACAAGGCGTGATTGGCGGGTTGCGTTTTTGTTCAGGATAGCGGAGTACAGATGACTTCGGCTTCAGTTGCATGCACTGGGGATCTTCACGCCAGACCTTGCAAGTCTAGGCAGGTGAGTTTGTAAGCAAATACATGCCATGAGCTCTGTGTTACCGATCGTTTGGCAAGACTATGTCTTGGGCCGCATTTCACGTAAGCGGTGGGCGGCAGCGTACCATTGAAGTTGGCTTGAGGTTGTCAATGATCTACGTTGGCGGTGCGAAGGGGTAGGACAGCATCAAATATGAACTGATTTTTGCATATGCCGCTACGTGGAGCTGACCCTGAGTGCGTAGATTGTGAATGATCTTCCACTGGGATGTTGAGTGGTTGACGGGGGATCAATCTGCGTGGTGACGGGACGAGATGTGCGGCGGGAGGCGAGCCAGAGGTTTGGCAATCAGCCGCGTATTGACAGATGGCGAATGTGCAGCCGGTGCTTCTCTGAATGTGATCCAGGGCAGGGCGAGTCGAGGGATCCTAGCCAATGAGAGTGCTAAGAATATTCCGGCGTCAGTGAATAGAGGCGGGAGGGCGGTAAGAAGGGGGAGTGAAATGTGAAAAGGGGGGAGTGTGTGTTTGAAGCCATGTGGTTTGCGAGACTGAATAGATGAAGTATTGGCTAGGAAGACTTGAGGAAGACAATAACCAAAGATGTTATCGCAAGTCTCGACAAGTGCCAAGTGCTTCCGAGGGAAAGCCAAGTCGGTTCCGCCGCTTAGTAAGGGGCCGAAGTGTGTTAAGCAATGCCATATACTCATGCTCATATGACTAACAGAAAGCACAAGAGAGTGAAAGGCCAAAGAGCGTACTCAATATGCGTAGTGTAAGGCACCGTACCGTAGCAGCGATGAAGCGCCACAATCAGTAGAAAGGCAGTCGAGAGTCGGGACTTGGGTTGGGAGAAAAGTTGTGAAATCACAATTGTGTCAAAGCATCCCTGGCGAAACAAGCTGTGACACGGGCTTAGGCGACGAATCGAGACGCACGCCCCTCTTTTGCATCTCCGAAACAACCATTGATCCAATCAGACGGATAGAAATTGACACCCGCCAAGGGTACGTATCGCATTCTGAAGCTCGCCCTTGTCTTGTTTGGGAGCCACTGCAGTGACGACTGACGAGGAATGGGCGACGAAGCGGCCACTGATTGCGTCTGGCTTTCGTCAAGACGAAGTGTGTTACTCCGTACTTGTTGACTGGGGGCGTATCGATGTGCAACTGGGCGGTTTGGAAGTTTGTAGGCCGCGGGGGATTATGGCCTCATTACCCACATGTGATGCGGGAGACCAGCCTTGTTCCAAACGTGGCCCAAACAGCAACGAGGCGTAGGCGACCGTGGTGAGGCGGAAGGGGCTGATGAGATTTCCTGCATTGCCCTATGGTAAATTGAATATCGACAACTTGTTCTTGTATTGGAGAGATTTTGTCGTATCTGACTTCCGGTGGGATGACCATCTCCAGGCCCAGGGGCATACAGCTGTGCGATGAAGCGAGTTATCCGTATCCATCGGTAAGTGTGGGTTATTTCGGCATGCTCCGTGATGGCAATATGGACTGCAGATGTCCAAAAGACTTGGCTTCGTGACGATTAATTAGCTGTACGGATATGGTCATCACCGTCGGCGGCGGCTCGTTGTCGGCCGAAATTCTTGATACGGTCAGCGTCCGACAAAGCTGAGCTCAACGAGAGTGGATTCCGGGAGTCGAGCACGGTAGATGTGATTGGCGGGCGAGGATGGTGATCCCAGACTGTGGCTGTCCGATTAAGGTAGGCTTCTTTCGATATTAAGGTAGGGAACCTAGTGGGTGCGCGATGCCGTCCAGCCCGTTCCAACGGCCTTGTGTCCCAGGAACGGGAACGAGGCCCCACAAAAGGAGGGCGGCGTCAGCCAGGAAGCGCGCGTCGAGGCCGGGATCATGACTTTTGGGGAGTATGAATGGAATGATGTGTACAGAGTATGGGATTCTGCGGTGGTGAGCCACGTTCAATGGGTAGAAGCTGAGTACCTATCAGTGTATCCGGAAAAGAAAAAGAGGGATAGAAAGAAAAGCCAAGACTCGGAAGACAGGCAGAGTCGGTGAGACGGATGGGCCATTGGGCTTCGTTCCCGTGGCGGGGTTATCGTTTTCGATTGGGCCCATGGAAGCAAAGAATCTCCCCACGACCTGGCCACCTGTTGTGTATTCGTGCTATGAAAGTACTTGGCTGGCGCTTGCCGGCCTTGGTTAACCTGAAGCAATGTCACGATATTGTTCCCAACTTGATAAGACCATCCGGTGAGTCTTGCCCTCGGCGACGACGGACTTGAACCTTGTACTTCTAGTACTTGCATGCTTACGAATACGGGTACAGAGAGGGGAGGGAAACCGAGAGGCACGGAAGGCACGAAAGGCAAGCGCAGATGCAGAAATGCACCGTCCCGAAGCAGCGCGGCAAGAACATTGTACCTGCATTGAGCAGTAGCCGATGATTGGCCGAGAACATCTCCGGACCCGCCTAACTAAGCGTAATGTGGCCTGGCCCCCTGAGGCTCTAGCAGCTTGGCATCCCTGCCCTGGGACCATGCTCAGACGTTTTTTTTTTTTTTGCTCCTTCTTCTACACTGTTCAACTCCAGTCCCCCAGCTCGAGTGAGTGAGTCGAATCCTCGATCGGGGTAAAGTGGCAGTGGCACGCGAGAGAAGCGTCCGTCCGCCGTCCGCGCCGGCCGAGTGATGACTGGCTGCCTTGCCGTGCCGTATCTGCGACGCGTTTGCGCCAGCTGCATTTCTGCGCCATCACTGCTCTGTGCGGATGGTCTGTTCTCTCTCACTCTCTACCGTTCACTCTTACTCTCATACTCACCTCATGTTCAGTCTCAGTCTCACCTCTCAATCCCGAGTTGCGTCGTCCACCCCTTTCCCCCTTGTTCCTCGCGTCTTCTTATCTGCTCGTTGACTTCGTTGATGCTATCTCTTAAACTAGTCGTCGTCTGTGGTCTCATCACGCATACCATCGTTCTTGAATACACACACCCATCCACCCATGTGGTTGTTCTCCCCAAACCCTGGAAACCTTGCCCTCATACGGGAGGCCCTGCGTCAACCAATACTCATCGATGCCCTGTCTCTCGAGCCACCGTAGGCATAATCTCGCAGGCTCTCGCACCATCTCGGCTTGTCACTGAGACCGACGGCAAGAAGTCCACCTGCATCGGCTTCCTTGGCTTGTTACCTGTCTCCGTACGTACCTGAACATGCACCTGTCTTTGACAACTTGATACTTTCTACATCATTCTGAATATCATAATGAATATCATTTATGTATCATTGAATCGATGAATAACATCTGTTGCTGTGTCTCTTGCTACATAAAAACGTAACTAGCGGATGCTCACTCACCGTTCGAGACCTGCGAGGCCCTCCTCCCCCTGCCCACCACACGATCCCCCCTATCCCTACCCCCCTTGTCCTGAAGCACCCCTGCCACCCTCCCCTCCCCTTGCCCCCCTCCACTCCCCGCCCTGAACCAGAACGCATCCACCTCACACACCTCTCACACTTCACACCCGAGACTTCGCTCTCACTCCTCTTCATCCTGTGATCGCCCACCTCCCGGACGCTGCATTTTTGACTTCCTTTTCCCCCTTCTTCCAGCGTCCATCTCTCACACCCCTTTCCGCTGCTGCAAGTAGGGACAAGTAATATCGCCAATCCTCTCGATCCCCCCCGCGAATACCAAGAATTCTAACCAGCCGCCGAGTGCAGGCATTGTGTGCAGGTAAGTGTGCGAAGTTCGAACCAAGCAGCGTGGCTTGTATCATCGACACAAAATCACCTTATGTTTCCTACACTCCCCCTGCCGCCCATCCCTCTTCCTCCTCTTCCACCAGCAGAAAAGCAGTAGTAGCAGCAGCAGCAGCAGCAGCAGAAGCCGCAACACTCTCCCGGACATTTTCTTCTGCGTCTCCAAAACTCTGTTGTGCGCCATAAGCCCCTCGGCCGCCTCTTCCTTCTTTTCTGCTTCCTCCCGCCACCTTCTGTCATTTACATTCCACCTCCGTGCCCTCTCCCACCACCTTCCATCGTTCTACCGCCTCGCGCGTGAAGCCGTCAATTTCGCTGACCCAGTGACCAACGAATCGCAGGCTCGAATTTCCGCTCTTTTTTCTGGGTTCGCGCGTGCTTCTTGGATCGACTCTTCTCTTCTTTTCGCCTACTTTCATTTAGATGCATTATCTTCTGCGCCCATTCAGCAGGCTCTGAACCAATCCCCAACGTTCGATTATACCCGCGACCATTCGCACACCGCCACCACCACGACGTTAGAAATTACCACGATTAAGGAAGGAAAAGAATCGACGGGGACGTTTAATTGAAATCCGAGAAAGAGTCGAGAAGAAGACCAACCCGCTACTGGGATATTTCGGATCGGAAGGAACTCAGCAAGAGAACGACCGTCGAAAGAATCCCTGGCTAGCGACAGCCAGACCGAATCGCCTGTCATGGATTACTACTACGCAGGCTCCGAGAAGCCCTCGGAACGATCAAGATGGACACCTCTTACTCGCATGCTTCTCTCTGGAGAGATGACGCAGGAGAAGCAGAAGGATTTGACGATGCGGGAGCGCTTCGATCGTTGGATGATTAACGAGGGATACCGAAGAGTGCACGTCTACCCACGCCCATTTCTCTTCACAGTCAACAGGTTCTAACTGCAAACAGATTCGTATTTGTGTTCCTCGTTCTTCACGGTCTCGTCTTCGCATTTGCCTCGGTCAACTTTGCCCTCAAGGACAACTTGCAAATAGCAAGAGACACATTTGGCCCGACATTTATCATTGCACGTTCGGCTGCGCTGGTGCTTCACGTCGACGTTGCTTTGGTCCTCTTCCCCGTCTGTCGCACGCTCATCTCTCTGGCCCGCCAGACTCCGCTCAACGGAATCATTCAGTTCGACAAGAACATCACCTTCCACATTACCACCGCCTGGTCCATTGTCTTCTTCTCGTGGGTCCATACCATTGCCCACTGGAACAACTTCGCCCAGATCGCCGCCAAGAACAACCTCGGAATCTACGGCTGGCTGCTGGCCAACTTTGTCTCCGGACCCGGCTGGACTGGCTATGTCATGCTGATCGCGCTCATGGGTATGGTCTTCACCTCCGTCGAGAAGCCCCGCCGTGCCAACTACGAGCGTTTCTGGTACACCCACCACATGTTCATCGTATTCTTCTTTTTCTGGTCCATCCACGGTGCTTTCTGCATGATTCAGCCCGATTTTGCTCCTTTCTGCACCAGTATTGGCACTTCTGCCATTGGTGTATTTTGGCAGTACTGGATGTACGGCGGTTTTGTTTACCTGGCTGAGCGTGTCGCTCGTGAGGTTCGTGGACGCCATAAGACGTATGTCTCCAAGGTCATTCAGCACCCCAGCAATGTTTGCGAGATCCAGATCAAGAAGGAGCACACCAAGACCAGAGCTGGACAGTACATTTTCTTCTGCTGCCCTGCTGTTTCTCTGTGGCAGTACCACCCTTTCACCTTGACCAGCGCCCCCGAGGAGGACTACATCTCCATCCACATGCGTGTTGTCGGTGACTTCACCCGCGCCGTATCGATGGCTCTCGGCTGCGAGTGGGACAAGAAGAAGGACGATGCCAGCAAGGTTGTCGGTGTCAACAGCGACTCCAGCGAAGTTGACCCCGCCCTCCGCCGTGTCTTGCCCCGTGTCTACATCGATGGACCCTTTGGTTCGGCCTCTGAGGACGTTTTTAAGTATGAAATCTCGGTTCTCTGCGGTGCCGGTATCGGTGTTACGCCCTTCGCTTCCATCCTCAAGTCCATTTGGTACCGCATGAACTATCCTCAACAGAAGACTCGCCTGAGCAAGGTCTACTTCTTCTGGATTTGCAGAGACTTTGGCTCTTTCGAGTGGTTCCGCTCCCTTCTTCTCGCCATTGAAGCCCAGGATGTCGATAACCGCATCGAGATTCACACTTACCTGACGGCCAAGATCAAGGCGGACGACGCGACGAACATTATGATTAACGACGCCAACGCCGACAAGGATACCATTACCGGTCTACGCTCGCCGACCAACTTCGGTAGACCCAACTGGGACATGATTTTCAGAGGTATCCGCAAGTTGCACTCGCCCGCCGAGGCCGGTGTATTCTTCTGTGGTCCCAAGGGTTTGGGTAGCACACTGCACATTTTCTGCAACAAGTACAGTGAACCTGGGTAAGTCGACATTCTAAGCCTAACGACATAGGACAACGCTAACCTCACTGAAGCTTTTCATTCGTGTGGGGCAAGGAGAACTTCTAAGCCAAGTTCGAAGAATAAAAGGCAACAATTTCGTTTCGTTTCCCTCTTCCACCATATTATTTGTCAACAATATCAGCGTCGTTACTTGCCTGTACCACTCTATCTCTGTCAACATTTATCAGATGTAGTAGCCATGGAGTCTGATCTACGGGGTTGCATGTTGTAGTTGCGCCGGACGCCACAGGACTGGGAAGATGCCAGGTATTGGTGACACGGTTGACGGCATCACAGGCATGCCGTCGGAGAGGAGGAGAAGAATTTGGAGGGCGACAGTGGGGAAGTGCATCGGCGGATGACGATAATCTTGGGCGTCATCCCCGCAACCCTTGTGGATATACTATTTACTACTACCGACATTTACATTGTACCTAGCGATGCCATCATCAGTATACTTAGACAGTTCTTGATGCAGCAGGGCACAAGGCTCTTGCAAAAGTCAACTTGGTTTCCTTCAGCTATATCTTCTTGTTGTTCACTGGTGTGTGTGTTTATGTGCATATGTAAAGGAAGAACTCCGAGATGAGGTGAGACGTGCCAAGCTCGAGCCTTTGCGGGATGGGATCCCCTTCCTCGAGTTCCTTCGCCACCGTTTGGACTGAGCCCTAGGGGTGGAAGCGCTCGGACGCACCGAGGCGGGTGTAAAGATGACGACGCTTGGGGAGGGCGTGCCTTGTTGGGTTTCGAGACGCCTATTGTAAAACGCTCCGACTGGGATGATGTCGGACGAACAAGGCGTGTTACATGCCGCGCGTGGTTACTGGTTGGGATTCCTTTCCGTAGGGTCGTAAGCCGTTTTTCTTGCATTGCTTGGCTGCCTGTTTGCTTTCAGGGTATCCGTAGGTAGGGGGTAGAATATGGTAGAGTGACTAGGGGAGAAAGAGAGGTACGGGGACTTTTGGACCGCGGGCGTGGTGTGGTTGATTGGTCCTCCTGATGTGAGTGAGAGATGATGGGCGAGGAACGGCTTGGCTTGGCTTGGCGATTTCGGGTATCTCGTTCTTGCGTCGGGGCAGCAAGGGGACTTTCTTGGTGACTAGGTGACTAGGTGACTGATTTTCACGTGATGCTATCTTGTCAATGAGAAGGGTGTGAAGGGTTGGTGTCTCCCTGCTTCGCCTGTCGCCGGAGGGTAGAGTGCATGTGCTTCCGTACCTGCCTGGCTGAGAATGTCCGGCTGGTTCTCCACCAATGACCCCCCCACTCCGGAGCCGGGTTTCGCTGCCGGATGGGTTGGTCCGGAGCGGCCAGACTGAATTCCTTGCGGACTTTCGAACCCGCCTTCACCTTGAACACCTTAGCCGGTGCTGTATCGAACGCGATATTCACAAACGATTGTTTCATGGGTTCAGGAGCGAGAAAGATTACTGATCTCAAAAGATAGTGGAGGCGTCGAAGACTGGATTGACTGACCAGCATGCTGCTCATTAAATGAACTTGGCAGTGGCATTCAGTGGAGGGTATATTCCTGGTCCCTCGGTGGCTCCCCGTGCCATAGGAAATGTTTCGAAGTCACCGGCATAAAAGCCATCTGCAGGACCACTTCAATTTCGAACTCTTCGCTGCGAACTTCACACGGACGGACCGGTTCAGTTGCAGACCTCGCCAGGGAGACGTACAGCATTCAAGCGAGTTATCTTGTCCCAGCTATCATATTCATCGATGCAACAAGGAAGTTCGGACTGGGTCTCGAAAAGTTCCATTCACTAACTCGGCTAGATACCGCATAGGTGTTGAAGGAGTCTTCCGAGCCTTTGGTGTCGGCGCTGGCATCGACGTTTGCTCTCACTTTTGACGCCCACAAGACGGGTGTATCGAATATCAAGAGAGTGCCGGCGCTAAATGACGAGGGCAAAGACGGGCAGAGCTGCGACGACGGCGACTGCGCCTACGATACAAGCACCCCAGACAACCCAAAGCCTCAATCTATTATTTGATGAACAAAAGTCTCTCACGCATTCCGGTACCTCGATGTCCTTGAATTCCTTTCGCCTCCTACGAATTGGCCTTACGATGCCTGCCAACATGAACCCTGGCAACTGCTATGTCCACACTCCTCGAGCCTCGATAAGTCTAGTCTACCATGCCATTAGGAGGTACTCTATCGTAGCCGCCGAGTCCCTTGATGAACACCAAGGGACCTCTTTATGTGGGGGGACCGAAGGAATCTGAAATGCTATCGTAGAGGTTCTTTTTACTTACATGTAAATAAGCACCAGGTCTCCCAGATGGTATAGAATGTACTACAGGAAGTACACACCCAACTCATCACATGTCTGACGCCTCCAACAGTCAACAGTCCATCCACTTCCTACACCCCACGTTCAAATCCACAGAACCTTCAACATGTCGTCTACGACCCAAACCAGATTCCTCATTATCTCAGACACTCACGACCGCACTTTTACGCCTGAAAGGATGCCACTCATACCATTCGACGTCCTAATCCACTGCGGCGACCTCCTCAAAAAATGGACGAATACCGCCAAACCCTCGCCATGCTCAAAACCTTCAAAGCACCACTCACACTCGTCATTGCAGGAAACCACGACTTCTCCCTCGACCACACAGCGTTCAAGGCCAAAATCGAAGAAGCCAACCGCATAAACGGCTTCCCGATCGAGGCAGATCTAGTTGAGCGGGAATTCGGCGGGTACGGACTGGCCAGGAAACTCTTCGCCGACGCCAAGAAAGACGGCATCATTCTCCTGGATGAGGGTACGCATGACTTCGCTCTAGCGAACGGTGGCAAGCTCAGGGTCTACTCTAGCCCGTACACGCCATCGTCATCGTCATCAGAAGGCTGGGGTTTCCCATACAATGAAAGCGAGGGACACAAATTCGAATTTCAGATGGATACAGATATCGTCATGACGCATGGCCCACCTCGTGGGGTAATGGACATGTCAGCGGATAAGAAGCGCATCGGCTGTCCAGATCTCTTTGCCGCTGTTGTCAAAATCTCGACCTCGTTCCCATTGTTTCGGACATGTGCACGGCGGCTGGGGAGCAAAGAATGTAACTTGGCGCCCCGAGATCTCTGACAAACCCTCACATTTTAGTGATGTTGATCATGAAAAGTCTCAGCTGGTTGGTAATCTCACAAGTCTCGGGGGCACCCGGTTCGAATCTGAGACAAGAAGATAAGGGAACAGAGACTGGAGCTCTACAAGGAGCACCGATACTGTAGCGCAGGATCTCTGCGCAACAACATGAGCTCATCAGAGCTCAAGAGCACTATGTTCGTCAACGCCGCGCTCAAGGAAGGCGGTGAATTGCAACACTATCCCTGGATCATCGACATTGATATACCGAGAAGCGAAAGCGGCGTAGCACCTAAGACTGAGCGGAAAAGGAGGAGAGAGGAATCGCCTCAAGAGCTCAAAGAAGCAAGGAAACTCTCGAATAGATCGTAGTCATTGACTTGTTTCAGGGCATAGCACGGCGTTGTGGCAGCTTTCGCGTTAGATACATTCTGTTTACAGACTTGCTCGCCCCGAGGTGAAGCTTCTATCATTCCATACAAGAATTCGATTCGAGACTTTTGAGTTCTTTCTCATTCCTTCGCTAAAGATATCCTCTACTTCCGCAACAGAATATATGTGTCATGAACCCTTCGAGTACTCGACATCACTTGGTGAAGTTTTGATTTCTTCGTATTGTCGGTCACAGACGTGGTTCAAAGTACCAAATGTTTGAAGAAGAACATGTTCAACTCGTACAAAGATAACAAATAAGCGTTGAAAAATTCAGTGGGAGGAGAAATGCTCCGAATAGTAGACTATCTGTTCCAAAGGAAAAATTAAGCAAATCTGATATCATGTCGACTCTTCCACCCTGCGACTGACGTCTCGGGGATGTGGCTTACCGGATCTGTAGGGTAAAGGATTTGGCAAAGCCTCTGGCAGAAACAAAGTGAGGCGAGCCAGCAGCATCTCGTAGGTCAGGCATACTGTAATGCGGGCTGATAACACCTCATAAGCCAGAGTTTCAGGCAGGCAGGCTGGCGTTTATGAGACAGAACCCAGGAGTGATTCGCGAAGAGAAAACACTAAATACCCAACCTCTGAGTTGCCTTGACTATCGGAGAAGTGGGAACTATTCTCCTGCCTCACTATAGAACCTCAGAGTACGATATCGCAGCCAATAGTAGAAAGTAGACATCTCAAAGTTCACCGCTGCGGTGCTGTCGCAGACCAATGAGTTCCAGCTAGCACTGGCAAGTCTGAACCTTGACTTTTCTCTTGTCAAGATCGAGCCACCCATAGAGTATAAAGCCTTTGGGGACACCATTTCCTCGATGAGAAAGCAAAATGCCGAAGAAGGGCCGGCATATCGCACCGCTAGGAAGCTCGACGCTCTCCTTGGTTCATTGATTGTGTCGCCAGATGCCTTGGTGATGGTGAAGGCCTACGGCGAACGGGTGTCTGAAACATCTTTTTCCTCTCCCCAAGGCCCTTGAATGGATAGCGTTTTCAGAGACCACGTCGGAGCCGACTCTACAATGATTTGGGCAGCTGCAACGTGCGGCAAAGGCACACTCGCTATGCACATTCTTGCGTGCATGTTGGCCCGCGTGTGGACTCCAGCTCAAGCTGCCTCGATATGGGTAGAAACTGTCGAGGATCGAAAGGCTCAGATTAATGCCGAGTGCGATCCTAAGGAGCCCTCGCATCTGCAACTAATAAGAGATTGCAACTCGGAAATCACACTGCCGAACTCGCTAACTGGAATATCGGTGCTCGTGCATGGCTAGCTGTTGTCGATAATGCCAAGCAGCGTCAACACACACACACACACAGCTTCGTCTAATCTCCGAGAACCTGTCTGTACCGGTCAACAACAGCTCGTCGGTGTTTTCCAGTGTCGTAAAGGCCTGAGAAACGGCAATGCATCCTGTCCAGGATCTTCTCAGCGGCACCTCCCCGACGGTGACCAATGGAGCAGTCTTGCTCACCTTGTCCTGTGAGGATACTGAGAGGGGCGAGGATCATGTGAGGTCGTTGAGGTAGTCAATCTGAATGAGACCCTCAGCTCGTCCGGCGACTGCCCATGGGGAAGACGAACCCTTTCAAGCAGAGGCCTTGGCAGGGAGCGGGCAAGAATGGAGGCGACTTCATGTCAAATTGTGCAAAAGTGAAATGTCTCGCACTTGTGAGTACAGAACGGGGAAAATGACGAGGAAATTCTGGAGAAATAAAGCTTGAATTGAAAGATGCATTCCTCAGGAATAACATGCGAGCCACACTCACTTGAGGTGAGGCACAGACTTTGTAGGAGAATCCGTCAAGCCCCAAAATGAGAAGCTGAGTGAGCGCGGCGTGTGCCTGGACTTCAGAGTGAGGTGTGGCTCAACTGGCGACTGGATTACTCACCGGCCGGTGGACGCTGTGTCTCTGGGCAATTTCCGGGAATTACAACCACTGGGTCCTTGGAGTCTTCGACGCCCGAGTGTCCCGGGCGATCCCCTCTTTCTTCTTTTTGGGGCAAGCACTTTCGAAGCTTGATGGTAAGAGATTGAGTAGCGGACTTTTCTGAGAGTTGATAGACTCCGAGCATGAGACTGCTCACTGCGGTAAGCTGAACTCCAGGAGAGATTGGGTCGTCTCGGGCTTTTCTCCCATCTTGAGCATCGTTGAGACCCGAGAATCCTTACAATCTGCTCTCGTGTCGCAGACGGATGTCGATCTACAGAGGATGACGCTGTTGACGAGCCCACCTCCCTAAACCGACCGTTTTGTAGACCTAGGTACTGGGGGCGCTGGCAGCTGCACCTCGATCTCGTATTCCGTTTCGGCTCCTTTCCTAATGTGTGTGCGCGCGTGTGTGTGTTGTTATGCGTTGTCTGCTGCAAGCGTCTGCCCAGGCTGATATCCTTCTGCCCACGCGCCGATCGCATGACGGGACGTTAACATCAGTACCCTACCCGTATGGAGCTGCAAGTTTTTGAAGATACGGATTGTTTACGAAGCATTGCTGAGGGCGAGACACGAGCACGGTCGTCCGCTACCACAGTACACCAGCGATTTTGATTCTTTTCTCGACACGGTGTGAACAGTTTTGGCGCGTGTCAATGTCGCGATACGGCCCACTAAGCGCCAAAAAGATCGATTGCAGCAGGAATTGCGCGAATGCGAGCACATGTGGCGCTAGCTGACGATATCAGGAATCCAGGGTCGTTTGACGCCCGAATGACCAGCGCCACGCCGGCGTTGACACGGAAGTGGTTTTATCGGCCGGGGGAGGGATTCAAAGTAATCAATCCTGGCAGAAGAAGCGCAACATGCATCATGATCAAGGGTCCTGGTGTACCCGAACTCTTGAATGTTTGCAACATCTTGAATCTTTGGATCACCGCGCAATGCATATGCAGGTACGGGTGGAAGAAACCTCGTTATCATGGCGGTTTCAACATGTTTTCTTCTTTTACGCTCGCTGTCGTAGTCGTCGTCGTGGCCGTTGTCGAGGCCTTTGGTTACTCAGCCATCGTATGTTGCCCACTTGGGTTCATCCCGCGGTCCGCATGATGGAGCAGGCCGCACGGGGGTTTAGCTGGAGACTGGAGTTGACGGGGAGATTTCGTTGACCGTCGCGGGACCAAGGCGGTTTTCGACAATCTCGTATTGCTGCTGATTGCCCAATGGAAGTCCGCCGTGTATCGCCTGGCCACCCATTCGTCCTCCCGAGTCCTGCTGCTCTTGCTGATAGCCATCGACTGGCTGTCGGTACTCTGCGTATGCCGTCTTTCAACCCAAACGGTATCAAGGTCGGACAGAGCGAGATAGAGACACGTTTGGGGGCGCACCGCGCCTCGGTTCTCATGGCAGGGTCCACTGCCCCAGGGGTTCAGGGACACCCCATGATGGCATGCGTGTGTGCGTGCGAAGAGCCCGGCCACCGCGGGCTGTCAATGATGGTTCTTGTCGAGCACTGCCATTGTAGCAATCAACGGGTATCCAAGCAGCGGCGCGCATCACCATCATAAACACTCTCGGATGGCGGGGAGAGACCTTGTCGGGGGACTTTGAGTCTCGAGTCCTCGACGGGCTTTTGTGGATTTTTGAGCCCTCGGTGTCGGAATTGTCGTCCCTTTTTGTGCCCCCCCTTGTGTGGTTGTGTCATTGTGTTTCCTACTTGGGCCTGTCCAAATTAAACATTGGTTAGCAATTTTTTTTTTTTTTCGCTCCGTCGCTCTTTGGTCTTATTTCCTTTGGGTTTGGGCTGCCCTCGAGCCAGCAGCAATTGACGACCTGCCGTTTGGGAGAGCAGCAGATGGAGTGGTTTAATTCCTCGACGCCCCTCCCGCCCACTCTTTTGTCTAATTTTTTCCTGTCACTTGTTCATTCGAAGTTCTTGAAGAGGGCCCCTCTTTCCAACCGTCGGCTCGGGTTCCTTCCCAGTATCCGACGGTGGAGAGAGCACGAAATAGAGACTCGATGGATCATTGTCAGGAGAAGCGCTGCTCAGTGCCAGAGTCAGACTAACGGAGAAGACGGAGTTCAGTAAGGAGTTCATCAGAGAGTCCTAGGAGAAGGGGGGGAAATGCCATGCACAAACCATCCATACCATTTCATGAGCCATGACAGATCAGGCAAAAAACCAGTAAACCGCGCCACCTTGGACGGGGGGCGCTATTACGAGTGGCTTTTCCATTAGCACCCGTCGGTCGGGACGCTAAGCTCGACGGAATCTGCACTGCTGCGGAGAGACAGGCACCTGGCTGGGACTTGTGCAGATTTGGCTGCATTGTGTGTGTGCATTTTGCATGGTCTAGGACTCAAGAAGGATGTTCGTGTCAAGAGTCAAGGGAGGGAGAAGTTGTGAAGTTGTGAAGACTACTCCATAGGTTGTACCCGAGGTGGGAGGCCTAAGAAGATACCGTAGGACTCGAACAGCGGAGGGAAGTCGCCAATCGATGCTAAAAATCAAATCGCTCTTTCCCGCACTTTGGCGTCTCCATTCCTTCCGCTAAAAGCCTTCTCTCGTAATCAACCGAACCTGACCCGGCGTGACCTAACCGACCTGATCCTCCTCTACGTCGTAAGGTACTCCGTACGGCAGCTCCCATTCCCATCTTCTCCCACCCCCGTCGATTGTGTTCATCCGTCTACTCGCACCGTTTCGTTTCTTCTTCCTACGACCGAATTGTACGACGCCATCCCCATTCCACCGTGTTTCGCCGCGGTGGCACAACACACACACACACACACTCACACTCACAACTCGTACTTACACCACACACACCTACCTACCTGCCTACCTCACTCACTCACACTCGTTTTCGACCCGCCTTACCTTACCCTAGGTCACCGCCGCATCCTCCTCCAACATCAATCCGCCTTCGACTCTTCGGCCCCCCTCCCCCGTTTAAACCTCCCGCTTCCCAACAAACGTCAACTTCAATCTTCACCACTGCCATTGCGCCCATTCTCGGTCCTCTACTCGTCGTAGAGTGACCGCATCGCTGCCATGCGTCTCGGATCAGCCGGCCTCGCGGCCCTACTCTGGTCCTCCTTGACCACCGCCTTTCCCTTCGTTGATAATGGCAGCAAACCCTTGCCTGTCCTCCGACCTCGACAAACCGGCACCGGCTCGACGCCAACCTCCACGACACCCGTAGCCACGACCTCGGCAGCCACGACAGCAGAGACCTCAGCCGCGGCAGAGGCCACCACCACCGTTACCATCACGACTACCGTGGGCGGCGGCGGCGGAGGAACAGTCACGTCGACCACAGTTTTCTTGCGTACAGTTACCACTACTGTGGTCGTCACGTCCACGACCTTCCAGACCACCACCATTACCAGCAACGATGTCGCGACCGCTACCGTTACTAACTATGTCACCTCTACTGTCCTTGCCAAGCGCAGTCTCAACTTCCTTCCCGCCCTCGACGCTCCGTTCGACGCCCCTGCTGCGCAAATCACACCCGCCGCCGAAGGCAACGATCTTCGAAGACACGGCGTCATCGAGAAGCGCGCTCTCGTCACCGTGACCGTCACCATTTCCGGCTCGGCAGGCGCTGATTCGACTGTTCTTGCCACTCGAACTAGCACCGTTCTCCTTACCACGACCTCGAACACAATTCTCACCTCCATGGTCACCAGCACTCTTTTCAACAACGCCCAGACCACAATCACTGTTGAGTCTACCTTGACCGTCACTTCCACGTCCATCGACACCGCCGCGCCCACCACCGTCGACAGCGGCCCGACGACCGGCAGCCTCGGCACTGCCACCGCGACCGGCGGCGCGCAGAGCACAGGCGGCTCGAGCAGCGGCGGCCTCTCCACCGGCGCACAGGCCGGAATCGGTGTTGGTGTCGGTATCGTCGGACTCGCTGCCCTTATTGGAATCGGATACTGGCTCTACAAGCGCCGCAAGGCCAACCGCCCCTCCCGCGCCGACCTCGACGACATGCGCGCCTACGACCCCAACGGCCCCGGCCTCAGCGGACCTAGCGGAGGAATGTCCGAGACGGGAGCTGGATATGGTGGTGCTGCAGGCGCCGCTGCGCTCGGAGCGGGAGCGGGAACGCAGAGACGGCAGCCCGTGCCCAAGCACCAGCTCTCGCCGCCCTCGCAGAGCGTGAGCCCCATGACGAACAGCACTGTCTCGCCCGCGGGTGCCGGATATGGATCCCGTCCGCCAACGGGTGGCGCGCAGGAGTTGGGCGGAACGAGGATTCTACCCGCAGAGATGGGAGGAGATGAGGTCGTTGAGATGGGTGAATCGCAGCCCAGGCCGCAGCAGCCGCCGCAACAACAGTCGAGACCTGCACCGGGGATGGCGTATAATTCGGGTCCCGTACCGGATGTCTACGAGATGCCTACCGAGAGGTATCGGTAATGCTATAATTTCTTTTGTTACGTGTGTGTAAGCTTTTTTTTTTTTTTTTTTTGTGGAAAGATTGGAGGATTTCAAAGATGGAAGAAGATCTAGGGGGGAATGCATATAAGGATCAAACAGAGGAGGGATTGTCATTTACCTGGACATTTTTGAGAAAGCGTTGCATCGAGTCCCAGGCGGGGCAGATTGGTATCAGAAACAGTCAAGGAAAGCAGGTTTCTAAAAAGAAATAAGACTGCCTTGGGGGATGGGTGTATTTCCACGTAGAGGATATTCGATAGATAATCTTCGTAATGTGTACGACATGGAAAAATTTGCATCGTAAGCCATCGCTGTGAGCTTTTGTGACTTCCTACTTGAGGTGTTGAAAGAGGCTAAAAATGGAAGATGGCATCCGATGCCTTTTTGAGAAAGATGGAGTAGTATTATAAGCCCGTTGGATCGGTCATACTCCAGCCTTTTTCGTCACGTCAAACGGCGTCCCGGCGGATGCGGCCTGCGTGTTGCGAGGCTTGCCGGTGGGAGCGTGGCGTGCAGGTTGGCATGCGACGGTTGCTGACTGCGTCTGGAGATGGGACGTGGAGTGGGTAGCATCCGCTTTGCTGGGTCTCACTCACGCAATGTATCATCGCCGCGATGAGACGGAGTTGGATGGTGTTTGCTTGTAAGGGCCGTGATTGCCGTAGGCTGCACGGGAGAGAGAGAGAGCGGGAGAGGCGAAGGGTTTTGAAGAGTTGAAGAATACTCTGGCTGGCTGAGCACGGTTTGTTTCTTGATAGGTGAGGCATGCACGAAAGAGAGCACGGTGATGTTTTCATGGCAGGGGCCAGTTGTTCATCCCAAGTTTTTGATGTTTCGTTTGGGAAGTGGTAGATGGGATGGATATATGTGTGTACGAGTGTACGAATAATTGCGTCCCTGGTTGTAACCTTTTGGTAAGTTGTTTTTGGGCCTTGGAGTCGCGGTTTGTCGATCTAGTAATGAGTAAGATCTGCGTCGTGATGTGACTTTGTTTTATCTAGGGGCACCGCTCCATTGCTTTTTTTATAATGTCGCTGCAGTTGGTCCCAATCAAGGGTTGCATTGAGTCACCAAAGTTGAGAATCTCGAGGACATCGTTGGCAATGTTGCGGAGTTGCACGAGACTCTCACAGGTAATTCTATGAATATCACTGTCGATCGCTTGCAGAAGCGGTTGGAAATCCCGCTTTGCTACCTCTCCTCCCGAACAACACACTACATACTCGGGAGTACGTACACTGGGCGAATCTGTTAGTCCCAGAGATTATCGGCGGCAAACTTACCGATGCTATTTGAGTGGCAGCTATCTCTACATGCAAGCCAAGACTCCAGACGCAACATCGCGATAACAAGTCTTGGAACTTGGAAGCAATACCGAGGACGGATAGGCTGCATGTCTTTTAAGGGTATCTGAGAACATAGTAAGAGTGCAGTGCGTCGCAGCAGATGCGCTGCACTTCTGCTTACGCGCACCAAAACACATAGCGCAAGGCGGTGCCACCACGTCGGGTATCTCCTACATTGACGGGCAGAACATAACACCGTGAGCGGGTCTCTGACAAATGAAACAAGCAAGAAAATCAACCAGACCAGCCTCCCGATGCGTTTACAGAGTGCTCGCAGCTCCGAGCTAGGCTCCGTGCCATAGTTACGTTCCAGGCCCCGGGAGGTTTGTCTTGGCTTTTTGCGGTCTTATCTGCACATGCAAAGATAATCCCGCCGCCGTGGGGGAAGTTAAGATGGGCGGGACGATGGAGGGGGAGGGGCTGGTTTGTGTTTCTCTCGATTATCTATGGTCCTCTTCAAGTTTTCTCACGCGCCAGAGTGTCTCTTCTGATGACCTACAACTTACTGTTACTTTGCATCATCGTCAATTGAGCCTCTTGTCCTACCAGTCGACAGCCCTTCGATTGATTCCAAACTCGGCTGACTCGCACAAGCGGCCTCGGAAAGTTGATAGCTATCCCAATCCCTCTAGCCCGTCAAGCTTTTTAGGCGGAGTTTTCGGTGACTAGTCAACATCGTGCCATTGTCTCTCCAGGCCCCGCCGACATAGGAACCGGAGTGGTAGGTTACAAAGAAGGAAAAACCTCATTGTTGCGCAGTCTGCGCAACACACACATACCCATCATACACATACTCACCCCGCCATTGAAGAAGCTCCAAAAACCCGCGGCCTGGTCCCTTTGGTGGCCCATTGACGACAACGACGTGGAATCTAGGGAGCCTTTGACTCCCTCCAACTCTTGGTTTATGAGAGTTAACTCGGGGCAACTCTAAATCTGCACCTTGTCAGAATTCATCAGCCCTCAGAGTATCAAGGCCCGCTCATACTCAACCTCGTCGCCGGCGCAAAACTCTCTCTCACTGAGCCACTCCTCGCCTCCGGACCACCCCGCACATCCGGGACATCGTAGAGTTTTTTCCCCTTCCGCTCGACCCATCGCCGTCACACCGGCATGACCACGACGATCATGGACGCCTCCGGCAAGGATCGCGTCGACGAAGACGCCGGCCTCGGCCCCGGTACCAGCTCCCCCGACACCGACGCCCGGGACTTGGAGCTCGCAGACAGCATCGCGGAACAAAAAGTCGTCCGCAAACTAGACATGCACATCGTCCCCCTCGTGATGCTCCTCTACCTCTTCAGCTTCCTCGACCGGTGAGTCTAAGAGTTCATCCTTATAACTTCACACTCGCACTCACACCACCCACAGCGTCAACATCGGCAACGCCCGCCTCTACAACCTCGAACGCGACCTCAACCTCCAAGGCAACCAATTCCAAGTCGCCGTCTCCATCCTCTTCGTAACCTATATCATCTTCGAGGTCCCCTCCAACCTCGTCCTCAAACTCCTCACCCCGCGCCGCTGGATCGCCTTCATCACAGTCTCATGGGGCATCATCGCCACCCTCACGGGGCTGGTAAACTCCTACGGCGCCCTCATCGCCTGCCGTCTCCTCCTGGGCGTCGTCGAAGCAGGGCTCTTCCCGGGGTTAAATGTCTACCTCACCTTCTTCTACAGCAAGCACGAGCTCGCGCTGCGCGTGGGGTACCTTTTCGTCAGCGCTGCCATCGCCGGTGGGCTAGGTGGCTTGTTGGCGTACGGGATCGGGCACATGGAGGGTGTTGCTGGGCTGAGCGGGTGGCGGTGGATCATGATCATCGAGGGTCTGCCGACGGTCGTGCTTGGTGTGGTGACGTATTTCGCGCTGCCCAACGACGCGGGGAGCGCGTACTTTCTGAGCGAGGAGGAGAAGGCGGTGTTGGTGAGGCGGAGGGGCAGGGAGTACGGCAACACGAGCAGCGCGCAGGAGTTTAGTCGGGGAGATATGGTCAAGGCGTTTATGGATTGGAAGGTGTGGGTGTTTTGCGTTGCGCAGTTTGGGGCTGACACGATGCTCTACGGTGAGACCTTTTTTCTCTCACTTCGTTCTTGATGTTTGTGAAGTTTGTCACTGACGCACAGCAGGTTTCTCGACTTTCCTCCCGACCATCATCAACGGTCTCGGGACGTGGACGGCGGCGCAGGTGCAGCTGCTGACTGTGCCGTGCTACTTCCTCGGCGCCGTGGTGTACATGACCATGGCTTTCCTCTCGGACCGCACGCAGAAGCGCGGGCTGTTCTGTGTTGTGTTTGGGAGCATCAGCGTCATTGGCTACGGTGTGCTCATATCACCGACGTCGAATGGGGTTCACTACTTCGGGTGCTTCCTTGTCGCGGCCGGGCTGTACGTTGTAGTCGGGTTACCACTTGCTTGGGTGAGTTTCCTCAGCTTTGATGTATCCGTCTTGTTGAAACTGACGATGAGGGTGTTTTTCGTAGCTTCCGAATAACTCGCCGAGATACGGCAAGCGGACGACGGCGAGTGGTATGCAGCTTACCATAGGCAACTGCTCTGGCGTCATGTCGTCTTTTATTTAGTAAGTTCTCCTTCCCTCCCTTCAAGGCTACCACACACGATGACCTTCTTTTGTCAACCAAGCTGACCTCCGCAGCCAAGCAATCGACAGGCCACGATACATACGCGGCCACGCCGTGACACTGAGCATGGTAGGTATGGCGACGTGTATGTACGGCTTCATGTGGTACTGGTATTGGCGGGAGAACAAGCAGCGAGAGGGCGGTCGCGTGGAGAGTAAGTATGCCGATCTCTCTGATGACGAGCTGGCGGAGTTGGGCGATGAGAGTCCGCGGTTCCGGTACACTATTTGAGGCAATGCTTGAAGACGTCAGTGGAATGACGGTTAGAAAGAGATGATGAGAGAATATGTCGGACGTTTGACAAGCGGTGAAGAGATAAATGCCTGGTCAGAATTAGTGGAGGATGACATAAAAGATACCCCCGTTGAAGAGAAGAGAGTACTCACTCAGGTGTCGAGGATCACTTGGTAACTGCCGCAACGTTTTGTGCCCTTATATCCACCTCTGTTTGGCCAAATTCTGGCTGCAGAAGTAGACCTAATTCGAGATCATCGACCAAATGCCGTTATGGAGCTGTTCTACAGTCCAAAAAACGACAAAATGAAAGGGACGAGACTCGAACTCGCGCGGGTTGCCCCACCAGGAAACAGATGTTAAGCTGACCTTAACCTGGCGCCATAACCAACTCGGCCACCCTTCCTATTGGTTGAGGTGATTGGAGGGCATTCTTTAATATATAGGTACCACAGAGAGGTTAACGATCTGTGAGCGCGATAACAGATCCTTCTCTAAATATTTCCCTGGACGCGCAAAAATCGGAGATCATCAATCGCTCAGGCCCTTGTTCCGAGTATTCTTTACTAAACAAAACACCTCAACTTATCCCTTCTACATCAAAGACATCAGCAAAGAAGGGCACAGCAAAGTATTGAGCTTGATTGACAAGCATCTCTGAGGTACTCCGCACCATGGGTAGTCTGAAGGATCGGATCTACATTGGCTAAGTCAGTCTCAGATACCCGATAGCGGCTCGCGTGCGGAACTCCAACAGTCAAGTACTCGTCGCCTCGCTCTTTCGCCAGCATCATCTATTTGAAGTAGGTGCAAGGATAACACAATGCAAATGCGCCGACTCAATACAGTTCGTTTAAACCATTTCTCCCAGTCCGAGTAGCTCGGCTCCGTTCCGAATCGCGGGGCCGCAGTGCCACAGAACGTCCTCGACTCGTTTTCTTCACTGCTGCCTAGAAATTGAGTAATTACCAAACACGTCATGCCAACGCTACTCCGCCTCGCGGCCCATATCCGTACCAAGAGCTGTCTTTCTCTCAGAATGTGTTAGCAGTGACAACGTCACAAGGGCGCATTGTATGATTGGACGAGTTGGGAGGGGGGTTTGGTTGAGCCGCCCGGTCGCGACGGGCTTGTCGCCCGGTTTCTGTTGGTGTCTTGGCTCTGATCTCATTCTCGACGACGGATGGGACGAGCCTCGTATAATCCGAAGCATCCTAGCTTCTCTGCAAACTGATGTGTGTTTGAGCTGCCGTTGATCTCCATTATCAACGAATTGCTGTACAAAAGTTACTAGCGGTTCGGATATGTCGTTATGGATCCTGCCGTGCTCCCCATCGTGTTTCTGCACCAAACAGCGGCATCTAGCATAAGTCATACATCAAATCCCTTTGATCAATACCCCTGCTGCTTACCAGGGTCATATGCCTGTTTCCTCATCGTGTATGCTGTTTGTTACCTCCTGAACCATGGTTGTAAAACCCTGCTGGGCTGCCGAGTACCCTGCCTCATCTGCACCTCTTTCTCTACGTCTACGTTCATCATCGGACTCGGTATTGATTCTACAAAGATGATTGTTGCTGCTTTATTCACTGCAATTGTTCTCCTTTCGCAATAGATCTCTCTCACAGTCTGTTAAGAATAACAGACAAGTTTGTCACAATGTTCCAATGGCAGCCTATCGAGGAGTTCGGCTCCATCACGAGGCCGGCAGGAGCCGCCGTAATCTATACCATTGTCACGCAGTATCTCTCCTCCAACGCCGCGGAACTATGGTCTGAGCTGCTTTGCTGGCTGCTACTGCCATTCCTCTACCGAAGTGCTCGACAAAACCCATACAGTCTTGGAGACAGAAAGACCTCGAAGAACAGCCTCCCGTCTCCTGTTCTTCGGCGTCCCAGTTTCGTGGTTGCCGCAGGCTCCGTATCCCTCTGGGTAGTTGCTTTTGCTATAGTTGTGGCCTCGGTGTACAGAGCAGAGTACAAGACTACCATAGTCTTCCTGGTCAGTATCATCCGTCTCTCCAATTACCCCTTGCTGTGCCTATCCCTCTTTCTAACTGTTGGAACTTCTAGCCAATTCTATCCCCGCTCCTTTTTCTCGCTCGCAAAGGCTTTTCCGGATCCGATTCCACGATATCCGATACTACGCCGTCAATCCGTCCGAAAATGCCATACTCGCTTTATGCAACGATACCTGGAACGCTTTTGATTGGAACTTTTGCGGCTTGCACACTATGTAGCTGGGATCTCAGGGCGTCTGCCTTCGCTGCTATTCCAGCTATTGCGATGCTTACCGTCTATGCGTCCTTTGAGCATGCTAGCGCAGCATGCCATGTACAATTTTTGCCGAGAGTATCCTTTCAGGAATCGGTCACTGCATTGGCTCCTCGGGTCGTGATCTTGGTCATTGCGTGCGTGACACTTGACGCCAGTGTTTTCGATTTCACGACGATCCATGTTTCGGCCACAGTATTCTTGGGCATTTCTAAGGCGTTGGCATGGTATTATACGGCAAGAACTGTACTTAGCTTCTTGTGATCTACTTCCTCTGCAAGTCTCGAGACTGACATTATCCGATCAGGCCGAACGCGCTTCTTGGCGCATTGCACCAGCGATAGAGGTATTCGGAATCGCGGCAACTCTTGACCCCTTTGCGCAAGCCTCAGAGTTCCAAGCAATCTCACATGTAGTGGTGTCGATACTGGCACTAGGTAACATGATACACCTGATACCCAAGCCGGCGAAGAGAGTTCCAACACTATGGGCGTTGGTTTTCGCTTCTCTCGGCCCCTACATCATCAATCTCTATGTCGCCAGCAACGCACTTTCTACAGCTCACACATTTGATGGCCACTCTGAGAAACATCCTGTGGAGATTCTCAGCCAAGAAGGAGACATTAAATTCCAACACTTGCTGAGAACGCAATCGACAAACTACACGGCAGCCCATGCCGATTACGTTCGTCGATATAAGGCGGAACCACCCCCGGGCTTTGAAACGTGGTTTGACTTTGCAATAGCGAATCAGTCTCCCATTATCGACAATTTTGATTTGATATTTGACGCTGTATCACCTTTCCTGAAAATGAGCGGCAAAGAAGTCAGCCAAGTAATGCGCTCGGCTTATGAAACCACGGAAAGTGATCTTTGGTTTTGCTCCTATTCGTCAGCACGAGCTACAACCCATTGCAAGCACGCATATCGTACTTTCGACAGAAATATTGCAGCTTCATTCAATAAGTTGTTGAAGGGAATAGATCTCAGCAAGGTCCCAGATTTGAATTTTCTTGTAAATCACCTTGACGAGCCGCGAATTCTCCTCCCCTCCCAGGCGGCAAGAAATGTGGGTGGCCGGTCTTCGTTCGTCAATGGACGCTTTAACTTAAAGAACATGTCGGGACGACCGGTCGGCAAAGAAATCACAAAATACTGCTCAGATCATGGTAGTCTTGCACTAAAACACACCAGGAACACACACGAGACGAACAACTCGACCGTCGAAACCATTGGTTTCGTGTCAGACCCGTCCATGGCTGCTGATCTGTGCCAGAATCCCCAACACGTCTCCTTACACGGTCTCATTGCAAGACAAAAGTCGTTCCGTTTGATTGAAGGACTGGTGCCTGTCCTATCAACTGGGGCTCTCTCCTCGATGGGAGATATTGTGTACCCGAGCCCGGCATATTTGGAGGACGAATTCCAGTATGCCGAAGATCAAGATATCGAGTGGGACAAGAAACGAAATAACGTCTTTTGGGCTGGGTCTAACACGGGTGGTTTTGCTGCAGATGGCCGTTGGAAGGATTACCACCGCCAAAGATTCGTGGCCTTGGCACAGAACCTGCAACAGCCCGAGAAACAGCACCACTCCTACCTGAAACTGGTCAACGGCGTGGTTGAGTGTGTGACCTCAAAATTTTTGAACAGTAGACTGTACGACGTCAAGTTCACGAGGTTGTTCCAGTGCCGGAGGACACAATGCAGAGACCAACACTCGTACTTCAATGTGAGGTCTTGGGTCGACAAGAACGAAGCGCTCCGCTCACGGCTCGTCTTCGATCTTGACGGGAACGGTATCAGCGGGCGCTATCAAAAGCTCTTAGCATCAAACTCCATGCCACTGAAGCAGACTCTTCTCCGGGAGTGGCATGACGAACGTCTCGTGCCTTGGACACACTATGTGCCGGTTAGTCTGGGCATGGAAGAGTTACCTGAGCTTATTGCATACTTCACCACGACGGATAGCGGCCAGGAACGAGCCAGGACCATTGCAATGCAGGGGAGAGAATGGCATTCCAGATCCTTGCGTGAGGTGGACTTTGCGATTTACAATTACAGGCTTTTATTAGAATTAGCGCGGCTACAAGATCCTAAGCGAAAGGAACATTGAAATCATTATCCATAGGGATTATTACATGAAATAGATGATAGACACGAGCTCTTTTCTAGTCAAGATACAATCAGAAAATAACAGAGCGTAGTTTGATCGAAGGTCCAAAACATGATTGACTATCGAATGAGCGACAACTATCCATGACTGAGTAAAGTCCAACACTACTATCCTCCCCCGAAGATGCAAAAGTACTTGATCAAAAACTCGCTGGCATACACGAATCAAACTACCAAGTAATTACTCAATAAACAACATGACAACCATCGTCTTCTGAAAGCGTCCATGGTCTAGATTCTCAAAAGCACGGTAAAACGAATCGGCATTGCACACCCCACAGCGGGCCGCTATGCGTTCATTCGTCCACGTGTCACGGCTTTCTTCAAGCTGTATGTAAGATAAGGTCAGATAAGTAACCATGCATCGGGAATCTTGACAAGAAATAACTGACCGCTAGTTCCACAAACCCAGTCCATGAGTCCGTATGCTCCGAAATTGACCGCCCCATTCACATGATGCTCGTCATGGGCTTCGTCTCCCCAAACAAGCTTAAGTTGCTCCCCCGTTGCAGAAATAAAAGAGAAGACCAAAGCTGTGACGAGCTTCATATCCAAGAATCTTGAGACGGATGCTATCGGAACTGCGTACAAAAAGAAGAAATCCGCAACGGACATGTAGCTGATGGTGAAGATGTGATGGTCGCCTGGGTTCTTGATCTCATGGTGCTTCGCGTGCACTCTATACAGGCCAGGAATGTGTAAGAGTCGGTGGAGGATCCAAAATACAGCATCCCGCAACACTAGACCGATCGCCAGCTGAGATATGAGTTCGGTCCACGACGGCAACTTGTATCCTTCGGGATATCCTTCCGACAACACCGAGTTGCTTCCCATGCAAGTTGCTATAGCGAGGTGGAGGGAATTCAATATGACGTGGTTCATTACGCTCTTGTTCAGAACTTCACGAGATGTTGCGGTGACGTAAGCAGGTCGCATCTTCTCCATGATCATCCCACAAGCGAAATATCCCACTTGAACGCCGAAGCTGCCGAGAACCTCAACGTAAGCAGGTGGACATCGTTCTAGAAAGGCGGTCATTGTCGCGGTAGGTGAAGGTAAATGCGCGATAGTCGAGTAGTGCCGAGTGTTTAGGGGCAAAGAGATTCCACTACCTAGCAGGATTAATCAAAAAGCCTAAGAGGCAGGGCGAGTTGAGCTTAAATATTTCTGGCTGGGCAGGGTTTGATAGTCGATCTCGACGAAGAACTTCGCTCCGCTTTTACCCCTCCAAACTAGCCCTATCATCCCCTGAAGCTAGAATTGGTGTCCAGCTCGTGACGTTGACGTTTACAACGTCTCCTTTTTGCACTAGTCCGATATGAGTGACAAGTCCGGGTCACCAATCATGAGCAACTTCATGCGTCAATTTGTCGACGATGGTGTTTGCGGGAACAATGTAATCCATCTCATAGAGTAAAATTGTGGTGGTTGCCATACTTCACATTCTTACCAACACCACTAATTCGAAATGACCGGCTGGCCCTGTGTGTCTTTCATCGGAAAGCTGGTGCGTGAATCTGCCCCCGTCATGTTTGTGGGTGTGGCGTCGATGTTTGCTTGGTTGCTGGAATCCAACGAATAAAACACGTCTGTGGCGCACTGGAACATTTATCAATCAGTCGGACAATAGATCATGGAGAAAAGTCTTTTCTCCTTTTGAAGACTGGTTTCAGGGTTGTTCAATGATTTTTATACATCGAAACTGGGAGGTGGCGGGAAAAGAGCCGGGGACTCGGGGTAGGCAGACCGACTTCCACTTCAGAAGTAACAGTGCTCTCATGAATGGTTAATCAAATAATAGATCTACATATCGGGTAGTTAGCAACATGAACAATGTTTGCTTCCACCGTTCTTCAACTGTAAGTCGCTTAAATGCAACAAGAATCTTGGGGCAAACCTCTCAAGATGACAAATGCTCAGATCAGAGCAACAACTATGTTTCTTTTTCTTAGCAACGTGAGGGATTTGAAAAAATTCTGCTAAGGGTAAATGACATGAATACGATGCCTCAAGACAGATAATTACTGCGTACTTTGCATCAGAAAATACTAGTAAGTGCTGCTCCATAATCCGTGTAAGATGAGTCCATCTTCTCAATGTCATAATCATTCCAGTAACCCCCGCCTGCCACGGCGTATTGCGAGAACCAGGTTTCGAATCGCTGCTGAGCCTGTGCCGCGGTCGTTCCTTGAGACGGCTTTGCATCATTGACAACCCATACAAGAGGGATCACCTTCATGCCGAGGGTAGTCTGCCATGTTCCAGGGTTGTTGCCAGACCCACCATCGTAGACTTGGAGATACACCCTATCGAATAAGCCTGGGTTTGCGGATTCAACTTGCGTCCTGACGTTCGCCCAGAAGCCGCTGTTGGTGTAAGGCGCAATGGAATACTGATACCCCATCTCCCCTAGCATCTGGGCAAAACTGACTGTGCTCGCCACGTCATAGACACCCTCATCGTCGTTGTTGAATGCGTCGAGGCCCCACTCTGCCTTCAAGACCTCAAAGTTCTTGTACAACACAGTATCAGAGCCTGTCCCATCTGCGTTGATCAAGTCGCGGATAATTTGGAATGTCGTGTCATGGGACACCAGCGAGATCTCCACTCTGTTGATGTTGGTTGTGCCGGTTTTGAAGGATTTAACCTTTTCCGCCAACGTGGTTCCGCCAACATACGAACCATTCGTCACCACGGGAGCATCGACTGCCTCGCCCGCGTCTCCGGTTGAGTAGTACACAAGATCGCCATTATCGAGGAGACCGATCCGAAAAATGAGGAGGGTGTCAAAGCCCGAGGTCTTGAGTGCTGTGGTGTTCGACTGTAGAACGTCCTTGAATAGGAAAATGCTCTTCACGCCGGCGGCGGCTGCGGCATCAGCAAAGAGTGACAGTAGCACCCAGGTCAGGGCACAAAGACCGATTCCCTTGAAAACGCTCATCGTCGCGCACAGGATAACCTGTTCTTCCCGAAAGGGTTATGCGAATACTGAGTTGCTTCAAACGAGCTGGCCAACTTTGACACGACGGACCGCGGGCTTTATGGACAATGCCAGTCCATCGCAATAACGAAAGCAATAGCTTCTTGAACTGCAGACGTAACGTAACAGATGCAATGACACGGCGGACCAGGACGAAAAGAGACTGTTGCGACTCTGTGGTTCGTCTTGATTGGCCCAATGCCCCGCTGCCAATGCACATCGGTATGCTCGGACTTGCTGAGGTTATCGCGCCGAGGGGTTGCGATCCGGCTGAGATAACCTGATCTTTAACTCCCATTAGGCTTTCTGCAACCCCTAATGTGACCCGATCACTTGGAATGCTACGATCAATAAGCGCTGGTTGTGTGACTTTAGGAAATCGCTCTGACGATGAGGAGGATTGGCTTGGCTTCCCCACTTGCTATCTGACACCTGCCTAGAACAGTTCTCAGTGCCGAAAATCGGAATAGTTACCCCTCTCTAGTGCGTAGTCATACTACAATTGGATCGAGTTTATTATTTGGATCATCCGGAACGTCGTACACATACCTAGAATGACGCTTATGATGATGTTCAGCTTAACAATAGCGTCATCGTCACCACGAAATATACCACCCAGTCTGATCACTAAGTTGCTTGATCACTAGAATGTCTCTTTCTTGAATATGCTAACTCAACTACATCTCTCTTTGTACAACTCTAAGCACCGCTGGCAAGTAGCATAAAACACCATGCTTAGTGGAGGCTAGGTACTTGAAGGGACATACGACAGGCCAGTATCTCTATGCCGAAATGAGGACCCATAACAGATAGCAAAGCTACGAATAGTACTCCACGTTCACTGTTCCAGCCGGTCTCTCGAAATGCCGAGTTCATCTAGTTGCGTTCAAGACAGCTTCGTATGATTAATGACTAGGTGTCTGGCAGTGAAACATGCCGCTGCCAGTCTACCGCTTTATTCCAGGTTAAACACTGAGCAATCCATCATCTCATTATACTATTACTCGATGTATCTCTGTATCAAAATCAGTCACAACGCATTTCACAGGACATAGAGAGTACTTACGCTCATCTCAATCTCTCCCTGAGTCCCGAACCCGAGTCTGAATTATCGACCTCAATTCCTCTCTCGACAGTGGAGCACAGTCATATCGGCTCTTGAAAACAAGTAACTAACCAACGGCGGAGGTGCAACACCAGGCGTCCACATCGGTCGGATGAAGGTCCATTGCTCCGCACCTTGCCAGATGAGTTCGACAACGAAAACTTCTACGGCACATGTAGGAACCACCACAGTCCGTGGGGCCCACCAGCGGACCTCATTGAGATCATAACCTCCAGCAGAGAACAGTACTGGTGACTCGACGGGAGCACGCTCAGAGTCATAGTTTATGAGGTATAACTTAGCCGAAAGAAGCCCGCACAAAGTTCGTTCCAGGAGGCGGATAAAGCAAGACCGTGGACCCGGTTGACTCTTCATAGACTCGATGTCTTCGGAAAGCCGGATTCCCCAGTCCTCGGTAAATTCGAAAGCGATGTGCAATGGCCGGGTGGCGTTGTTTCGAAAGAAGGGTCGGAGGGCAGAGAGAGCTTCTCCGACGGAGACATGTACGTCAGGTGCAACTTGAAAGATGATCAAATCTTTTTCAGGAAGGATGCTTGAACCGGAAGCGCTTGCTGTAAATGTGCTGTGTTGTGCAGGTAAGGCGTGGCCGCTGGAAGGGCTCACCAGCGTCGTGTAGTGCTTTTGAACAATGTCTCTGGACTCTTAACAAGCGGACCAAAGACCGGCATCGACACGATACGTCGTAGGGTCAGACTCGGGCCACGGACATCGTTTTTCTGGTGCGTATATGGGATTGGACAGTACGTAGGTCCTCGCTTGGTGTACCTGCGTTGGTACTGTGTGCCCGAGACGGTTTGACACAGTATCGGTAGTCCGTCTTTTGATAGAGAAGATGTGGAAACCCGGTGCTGAAAACCGAAGATTGCATTCCCATATCTTTATTCGCAGCTCGGCGGGAAGCAAGCCGAATTGATGGAAGGTTGTAGCCATCGTTGATTTGTGGTTGATTCGGATCTTGGCGGTTGATTTTTTGAGTCTCGACTCTCTGGTGTTATATTCTTCTCAGTATACGGTCTAAGAGACAAAACAGGGTGAGGGATGGTTTTGTGATGTAAGTTGTAGGTGCTGGAGAAGGGCTTGCACAAAAGCTTGACAGCTGTGCTAGCCACGACGCCACATATATCATGTACCTTTTGGCTTCATGACCTTTATAAGTCAGTCATTCATCGCTCTCTAGGCCAAATGGCTGAACCATAGGATTTATGAACTTTATTCCAAGAGCAGACTGTCTAAGTACCTTGTTATCGAGTAAATCCAAAGTTGCAATACGTGTAAGTCACAAAGAAGACAATGCTTTGGAACACTTCCCCTCGTCTTGAATACTAAAACCAAAGTATTCGAATTTGTTGAAGTGCGGCAGAGCTTATTGTAGGTTCTGTTACATCTTTGCTCGAGCTGTGAGTTGATCATGATTTAAGGCCTAGCAAACACCAGTGATCAAGGCACAGGTCTTTCCAAGCAGCCATACATCGTACTTCGAGGTTCGTGCGCCTGGCACCTCGCATCCGGACCTGATTGGCGAACTCCTTGCCATCAGCTGGCGTGAAACTCTTCCCCGAGAGACATGGATGCACCAGGACTTGTTCCGGGCCGGTTTGCCGCACACTACGGATAACAATTCTGAGAAAGCATGCTGCGGTAATTCGCTTGCGAAGCTATGGTGGGATTGTCGCGTCGGTAGGAACCGTATCATCCGTGGTTCTTGCCTTTAACCGTAGAACTAATACTCTTTGCTCTTCAAACTTGGAATCCCAGTTCCATCACTTCTGAATCTCAATATAACACATTGAGTAAGTCTGACGAGAATGACTCCGGAGTATTCATGCAGATCAAGTAGGTGTCAGTTGTCACCTGGTTTTTAAAAAGTACTGGAACACGTATCCAGACATCTCAACCTCTCAAGATGGGACTGACATGAGCAGAAGCAGAATAACTCAGCGGATTCGAATGTGCAATTCCTAGGGAATCTTCTCCAGCCGTAATGCTGCCCTTTCTACCCAACCGTGGCCTTCTAGAAACCCGCCCAGTGGAGCGACAATTCAGAACGCGTCAAGCTCATCGCACTATTCCAGAAAAAACCACATCATCACTGACTCTCGAGCACATCCCAAACAACCTCCTCATGAACAACATGCGTCCCAACACTCAACGCCGCACCCGTCATCAACAACACCTCACAAGGCAAAGCCCGATCCCCAATCCTCACCGTCCGCCTCCATCCTTCCCCCTCCCTCCACTCCCACCTCTCCGCAGCAACCTCCTCCCCGACCCTCGAAATCCCCTGACAGAACCGCCCCAGCCAAACAACCATACCCCGCGCCCTGATCGACTCATCCTCGAACTTGAGCACAACACACTCAACACCCTTCTGAACCTCGCCCTCGGCGGCGGCACCAACGAGCGGAACCGCAACGGGCTCAACGTCCTTCCAGAGCTCCTCGTAGTCCGTCTCCCGGCCGTTGGCAGGGTTCACCATCCGGCCCTTTTCGAGCGTAAGCCCGTCGGGCTGCTCGTACATGTCGCCCTCGTCGGCGGCGTTCTCAGGCTCCGTCGTGCGCGAGTCGATCCAGTGCTCCCAGCGGGAATGGCGCACCTCGACGCCCTGGTCATCGGTGCGGGTGGACGATGACGAGGTTCCCGCGATACCCCATTCCAGGCGCTCGACGCCGTGCGTATCTTGTTGCGGATGTCAGCCTTGAAGTGTCAAGTAGTTGTGGTGGCTTCGGGGGTCCTAAGGTAGTTTGGACTTGTGTGCCACTGCACTGGGTGTGGTGATGGGATCTAGATGTTGACGTGGGAATTTACCTTGCACGCCATCCACGGTTGGCGTTTGCTTCAGGATGCGGAGGTCTACGAAACGGCGCTGCGGGGATGTGAGCACCACGGTCGACGTCGGCTCGCTCGCCTCATCGGGGATCCAGCGGATATGCTCGCGGAATGAGATGCTACCCATTGTGGTGAATAGAAAATTTGGAAAACTCGGAGATGTGTCTAAGTTGTAAAACTGACGCTGGCTTTCAGCTGAGGTTGCGCAATGTGCAAGGCAAGGCTATATGGTGGTGATGGTGGGGTGAATAAACAAGGTCACACGGGCAAGGTGTCGATTGAATCGTCGATGTCGCGCAGATCTCCACTTTCAGCCGATGAAAAGCCTCACGCCGTCATCGCCCGCCGATCCGGAGCCTCCCCCAGATCTGGGCGCGTCCAACGGCTTTCCAGCGTGTTTAGATACATCGCTTTGGAATCTTTATTCTCAGTGTGAGGTCTATGATCTACGTCTATCTCTCATGTCTCATACTTTTACAACCGTTCCCTCTCACTCACAATCGCGCTTCTTCCACCGGAAAAGCAGTCACGCGCCGGCCCATCACATTGCGCCTTGCGCAGCCTTCTCAAGACGCTCGACAATGCCAACAAGACCCTTTACCTTTTCTTCACAGTCAATCTTGCTCTGCTCCTGCGCCTCGTACGTCTCCCGTAGTCGGTCGACCATGAAAGGCTTCAACGGCGCCCTCTTGGCGGTCTTGTAGTCGTAGACCACAATGTCCTCGAAACAGCGGGCGGCAGGGCGGCGGTGGCCGTCGGAGATGAGGAGTGCTTCGAGCAGGATAAAGTCTGATTCGTATGTCGGCTTGGAGACGAGCTTATGGAGGACCGTCACGTGGTCCGGGTAGGCCATTGGCTTCAATTTGAGGAGGTTTGTCAGTATGGGCGATCCAGGGTGTTTGATCTTTTAACTTTGTCGCTGCAGCGCCAAAAAAGCACAGCGATTTCAGGTTGCTGTTGGTTCACACTGATGGACATGGCACTCACAAACTTGTAGTCCGTCTTGATACTTCTCATGATGAGGCCAATGTCCCGCGGGCTCATGAGCTGGTCCCACTCATCCTTGTGCTCGGGATCCACCGTTGTCGCAAAGTTACGAAGCCAGTTGACCCGCGCCGATTCGGCGTACTTGTTGTAGACGACATTGTTTACGTGACCTACGGCTGTGAGATTGAAAATGACGGTTCATTCGAGAGGCGAGCCATACCCTGTAGCGTGTCAGTTCATCTGCTCCCTTTCTTCGTGGAACCGAGGTCGGGTTCAACTCACCATTGCATCCTAGTTTCCATCGCAATCAGCACCGAACTCATCTCATCTCGGAAAGCCCCATGATATGACCAATAACTCACCTGGTCTCCCCAAGTCACTGTATGCCTGTCAAGGCCCCTCCATCCGGGACCCGTGAGGAACCCTTCCCGTCCAGCGAACAACTCCAACCACTGCCCGTCAACGGCCTTCCGCAGAGCCGTCAGCTCCTCCTTCTGCTGCCCGCTGAGATCAAGGCCGGCACACCGCTTGATGCGCGCCTGCAGCTCGGAAAGCCACCGTGGGTTCAGCGGCGGCGCAGATGCTGGAGATGAAGTGGCGTCGGCGAACCTCCTTGCTGCGGTGGTCACGAATGATCGTTGGAGGGTGTGAGGCGTAGAGAGGCGGGCCAGGCCGGCGCCGAGGGCGATTGAGTTGCGCATCATTGGCATTACCGCGGGTATCTATTCTTTCGTAACGCAGAATGAAGAGAAAAGAAAAGAAAAGGAAATGCTAATGAAGCACGAAGTAAAGATTTTAATTCCAGGGCCGGCGAAAGGTGGATGACGGGATAGTGAGGAAATTCGGCTTCCGTCGGCTACGCGTTACCAGTTGGTGCAGAGCACAGTAAGAGAAGGCAATCTGAGTGCTCATCGGGTGGAAGTGGATGTTGGAAGTTGAATTTGGCCTGAAGGCTGACCCTCCCCAGCGGGTTTCTTGTTGCAATCCCCGGGCTACGTTATTGCCGCCCGTTGGTTTGGTCGGTAGTTGTAGGGCGCCCTTTGTGCTGGTAGGGAGCGACAGGACGTGGGGGGTCCCGGCTAGGACTTTCGGTATTTCGAACTCTTCAAGTCATTGGGTACGTTGGGGTAACTTGTTAGGTAAGGAAGGTACTCCGTACGGTCTCGAGTAAGATGGCAAGCAGGTTCTTGCTTGAGGTTGGTGTAGCAGCGCAACTTCCGCGATGAAGTCAGCTTGAACAGTGAACAACGTAAGAGGACTTGCTCTCTAGCATCGTTGCTGTGTCTCTGTACAGCACCCGGGGTCAATCCGGCAGGATCAGATGTTCAGCGGATTGCTCCAACAAACAGCTCGCAGTCTCGCACAGATTTCCAAGAGTAACTCTGCTATACCGAGTCAGGCCTAGCCGTGAAGCTTGTTCCCTCGCGTTTTGGCGGCGAGCTTATGCTTCGTTTTAGAAGAGGAAACCCCATCGTTTTGCAGCCTTCGATTTTTGATCTGCTCACCGGAATTTAGCTCACGACTCACTATCACCTTGATACCGATGCACCCAATCAGCCACAGATCACCTTCCAGGAGTCTGTATCTTGAGTTTTGCTAAGTCAGGCTGGAGTTTCTCTTGGATATGTGGCGGTGCATGCAATGCAACATTGGCGCAACCCCTCTGCGTCTCTTTGAATCGACAATTTTGTTACATTCGCCTTTTATCTAAGGGGTTTTCAATCACCAGCCCCCGTTCTTCGATGAAGATTGTCCTTTGTTGAACCTCGTAGCAGCGATGAAAGCAGCCACCAACAAACCTCGGCTGTATCCGATCCGTGAGACGCGCTGACGGGTTTTGGGGTCGGGAAGAATTATCCAGGTGCATGCCCCTCTCCAGGACCCTGAAAAGAGATGAGGTAAGCAAACCCGCATTACGTAACTTATAAGTGGAACCTACCTGCTTCGCGTGCTTACCTAAGTGCGTCTACCTTAGTGTATGTACAAGGAAGCAGGAACCAACCAAGCTGCCTCCTGCTGCGTCCTGCGCGGCGGGGGGAACCTGGGCGGAAGGCAGCTCCGAGCTGCAACGGGAGCGGTGGTCATAGCTTCCTCTCCTTCCTGCCTTGCTTGCCCCACCTTCCAGATCAGGGAGGACACCAGACCGACCAACGACACTGCAGTTTTGCCAGCGCGCAAACGCAAAAAAAAAAAAGCCCAGTGCGTATTTTTTGGCGGCGCATCCGGTTGACGCGTCTGTCTGGTTTGGAGTCTCTGCGGTGGTCAAGGAAGGGAAGAAGAGCTTTGATATACGTTTGATCTTCTTTTGACTTGCCTCTATTCTTTCTATTCTACGTGTATCCACTCGCTTTCCGTCATGCTTGTTGGTCTGTAGGTGGGTTGCGGAAGGGTAAAGATGTACCCTCGTGGTACACGCGTCAAAAGTCAAAACATTGAAGTCGCAGCCTCGTTCGAGTCTCTGAATCAACTGCGATGCGGTTGAACAGACTGCAGGCTGCAAGGCTCCAATCAAAGAGTCTTTTATCCGGCACTATGCATGTCAAGTATACTATTTACTATCATGTCTTGTGCTTTGAGCGAGTCGCCCTTGACGTGGCAGGTGGGCGCCCATTCAGCGAGGCTACCCGCGAGCCTGACTGCGGATGCTCAGTTCTCGGTCATCAGACCACACGATTGCCAAGATGAATATGATATCGATAGCATCATAGAAATTCTCGAAGAAAGCTTCAATAGGTCCAATGAAATACCGATTACTACCGTTGACGATGTGGTTTGGGGCGCAAGATGCTGGGCGGTGGAAAGGGGCACCACGTGACACACTGGCATTCTCCCTATCTCGTCACCACGATTCGTAGGTCGCGAGGTTGCCAGCTTCTTTGCCAGACAGGTCTCTTGCCTGGCCTGAATCTTATTTGAGTCATTCTATAAACCAGGCTTGACAACTGTTCACAAGTTCCAAACAGTTTCAGACAAGTTGACGATGTGTTGGTCGTGCCAGTTTGTGAGGCGGTGACGGACGGACGGACGGACACACGTGTTCTGCTCCTCCACCTTGGGCAGACATGCGTCAATCTGGAAGCGCCAGCCCGGAGAAGAACAACTTCGATGCAAATGGGAAAGAAAATTGGTCAATGGGCGAGAGTTGAGGTCTCAGCAGTTTACAACGGGAATTTCATCATCATTTACGGGCGTGCAGCGATGATATTCCGCCTTTGGATGGAAGCGCTGGTGAAATGTGAATAGCTTCCATCGCGTCTCTTGCACCGGTATGTAGTATTGGCGCTGGCGGCACGGTGCCAGCCTCAAATGACCCAAAAACTTCTGGATCAACGAGGTCAGTCACTGCGATACCAAAGACGACGTGACCGATGAGTTTAGACAACGTGGCGGACATAGGCAAGCGGATGAGGCGATGCATCCTATTTCACCGGTCGCGTGGCCCCATCGCGATGGTACGAAACGACATACTCGGTGTAAGTCAAATCGGCCCAGGGAAATGATAGAAATTCAACAAAAATGTCGTCGAGCAGATCGTCGACCTAGATGATGGAATCCCGCGTTTCTTTGATAATTTCTATGGTGCTGATGATGATTGTGACGATGGTGGTGCAACATGTGCGGATAGCTTCAATTTGGACGAAGCGCGACCGAATCACAACAGACGAGGTTAGGGACTGGGACCATGTGCGCGATATCTGGGCCGCAACACGCGATAAACCGAGTAAAAAGTGCATCGGACGATGAAGAAAATTTCAAACAACATAATGATAGGATCAGTGCGAGATGGAACCGAGAATCAGAGGCAAGATGGCGGATGCGACGGACGGCATTGGCGGTCGGAGGTGAAGACGAAGATGGGCGATGATGCCAAAACCGGGCATCTCGGCGGGGGAAAGGTATGAGGTTGCGAGGGAAATTGGGGCCGGGTCGGAGAACGGTGGATCGGCGGATGCGAGACTCAAAAACGTGGCAACGGCGTGCAATGAGTCATTTTTCGTAATGGAGGGTGAGTAAACGGGAAGAAGAGGGAATCAAGAGGGACGAGAAAGAGGAGAAGGACGAGGAGAGAAGAGGGTGGTTGAGGTGGGCGATGAGAATGAGTTTGGTGGGAGATGGGAGACCCGCGAACGTGTGCGGCATCAGAGACTGAGCATTCGGGACGGGGAGGGGAAGGAACCACCTCACGGTCCACGGGGACCTGCCGGGGGCAACAGGAGCATCACGGCGAGGAATTATTTGACCAATCAGAAAAAAGGAAAGGAGAAAATAAAAAGACGACGGATGGGAATATGGAGGATAAGAAAAGGTACAAGGGCGATGTATCTTTTTGTTTGCCTCCCCGTCCCGTCTGGTGCTTTATGAATTCTGAGGCAATTGAGCGTGGCAGAAAACATGGCAGTTTGGATGGGAAAGAACGGGCGGGATGGGCGATGGGCTCAAGGCAGGAGTGCAGCGGTGCATGGCAGGTGCAGGTGCCAGGAGGGTGGAAGAGGGAGGGAAAGAACCATGCACCCACCTCCTTCCTGGGAGTCTGGGAGGGCTGATCTTGAACTGACGGGAGGAAGGCGTAGAGAAGGTGGATGAGTTCGCGCCTTCCGCTGTCCGCCATCCAGGGCATCCGCCTCAGTTTGGTGAGCTCAGGAACTTTGGGGGGACCGTAAGGTAAGGTAGGTAGGTACTGTGGCTATGGCTCTGCCCTCATCTCACTCTGTCGTTCTCGTGAGTCTCATCTCACAGACTCACACACCCCAAACTCACTAGGAACGGCAGTAGAAAAACACCAGAGCACTACCCCGGCTCTCTTAGGGCAGATGACTGGAGCACCCATTGAGGGGTGTAGCGTGGCGACTGGCGAGAGGGGATGTGCTGGAACTATTTACCACCACTGCACTCACTCTGGACACTCAATTCAGTGCCTTCCATCAACCCTGGGGCGGACAGGGAAGACCAGGGACCCGTCCAGGGTGTGACAGCGGAGACAACAGAAGCCTCAGAAGCTTCATGCACAGTTAGCCTGGGGCTGGGGGCCGGGGGAGCTCGAGTGCTTCCGGCGACGGAGGAACTGGGCTGATCTGAGCTGAGCTTCAGTTGAAATGAGGAGTGAGGGGCGCCGCCTGGCCGCCGTCCGCGTCTTCCACCAGCTCAAAGGTCAGCCCGTTCGACTCAACTACCCGTTACCGTTTGTTTATCAGAACAATCAGTGATGCTGCTTGTCGAGTTGAATACCAAAACAGATACTGCAGAGAAGAAAGAACCATATCAAGGGGGTAAGAAAGAGGCCGTGGACCGAGGTGGGCGAGGCCGTGCTGGAATCTGTCACCGGCCGAGGATTTCTTAGAACACCCACCATCGCGCCGGCTGTAGTCCTGGACACGTCCAAAATAGACACGCACGTCTCTTCCGCTCCCGCGCTAATCGGCGATTTAAGTCGAAGAAGATACGCCGCCGACGGATGAGGATAATGAGGTTGAGCCGGGAGAGAAGCGGGAAGAGACTGGGGATACAATGAGACGTGGAAGGCAAGACAAACGGACGTCAAAGGGCATCACTTCAAAGCTATGGGCTCCGTGGCATTCTGTCGACTGCCTGGACAGTAGAGCTGCCATACGCCGCTCGTAGTTATGGAGTAAAAGTGCTATATCGACTTGTTCAGACTCTGCCAGATCCAACGGGAGACATCTTATAAGTTTATTCTAAGCAACCGTAGCCACTTGATGGTCTCGTTGGGGTATGAACCGAGTGAGAGAGTGAGATGCGAGGAGAAGAAAAAAGAGAAGGAGAGAAAGAGGGTGCTTTCTTTGAGAGGGGGGGGGGGACTCGGGGGTGAATGAGACGCGAAGTGAGAGTCTGAAAGTTGAGAGGGGGAAGGCCCAAGGCCCCCCCCCCCCCAGTCCGCGTGATTTAGCGACCGTCCCCCCCAAAATGGACGGGGGATTTGGAGGGCCCAAAAGGCACCCGCACCAAAAAGATGGACTGGACGGGAGGAGGAGAAGAAAAAAAAAAGAAGGCACCTCAAGGCTCACCCTCAAATCCAACGCCCGCGCCCGCGCCCTCGTCCCCAAAAGTTACTGATTGCGCACCGCGCCCAACGGCCCCCGCCCATTTATAAAAACAAGCCCCATCCCCCTCCACGCACGCGCTCCTCTCCACCCTCTCGTTCCGGATCTCTTCACCTCTCGTCTCTCTCAACCACGACGCGTCGATTCTAATTTTCGCAACTTCTCAAAGTACACTCGTCTCCAAATCGACTTCAATCCCTTCTTCGATTGAATCCTGCTTCATAGCAAACCTTCACGCTTAACGCATCCACACAACCCCCCAAAACATTCACAATGCCTCCCAAGAAGACCGAGGGCGCCGCTGCTGCCCCCAGCAAGAAGTCCACCCACGCCAGCTACCAGGTTTGTACCTCAACTGGTCCGGCTTTTTGCATGATGCGTTGGTTGCTAACTCTCCATAGGACATGATCACTGATGCCATCGTCGCTGTACGTTTTACCGCTCCTCCATCTCCGGCGCAAATGGGTACGCGATCGGAGGACCCACGGGTCGGGTCAGCTGCCTTTCGCACCTAGTTCCCGTGACCTTCGATCGCGCTACCACCCGTCACCGCCACGATGATGGACCACCCACTCCCAAGTTCCTCTTAACTGACTCACCACCCCTCCTACAGCTCAAGGACCGTAACGGATCTTCTCGCCAGTCCCTGAAGAAGTACGTCAAGGCCAACAACCAGATCAACACCGTTAGCGACAACATGTTCGACTCCCTCTTCAACAAGGCCCTCCGCGCCGGTGTCGAGAAGGGTGTCTTTGAGCAGCCCAAGGGTGCGTAACTGCCTGTCTATCTCTCTGTCTACCATCTTCAATTAATACTGACATTCACCAAGGTCCCTCCGGTGGTACCAAGCTCGCCAAGAAGGCGCCTAAGCCCGCCGAGAAGAAGGCCCCCGCGAAGAAGGAGGCCAAGGAGCCTAAGGAGAAGAAGGTCGCCGCAAAGAAGGAGACCAAGGAGCCCAAGGAGAAGAAGGCTGCCGCTCCCAAGAAGGCCGCCGCCAAGAAGGAGACCAAGGAGGCAAAGGAGCCCAAGGAGAAGAAGGCCGCTGCCCCCAAGAAGGCTGCGGCTGAGAAGAAGGAGAAGAAGCCCGCCGCCAAGAAGGCTGCCGCCGTATGTTGTCTACCTAGTTATATCATCTGTCCACTGCTAACATATCTACAGGCCAAGGAGGAGAAGCCCGCCGTCCTCAGCAAGACCAAGACTGGTCGCGTCACCAAGACTGAGAAGAAGGCAGCACCCGCCAAGAAGGAGGCAAAGGAGCCCAAGGAGAAGAAGGCCGCTGCTCCCAAGAAGGCTGCCGCCCCGAAGAAGGCAGCGCCTAAGAAGGCCGCCGCCGACAAGAAGGAGGCCAAGGCTGAGGCCCCCGCTGCCACAGCATAAAGGGTCACCTCCTTACGTCCCCCACCTTGAACGACGTTGCAGTGTCGACTAAATCTGCTCGGCTCTATGCACAACTGTTTTTGTGTCACGAAATCTTGTCGAAAGGCGTTTACGGGAGTTGTTATTTTAACTAACTGGGAAAGGGCAATGGGCCGGGAAGCGTTGGAGGGAAACCAACCTGGGGGGGAAAACGCAACTGCGTTGTCTTGTGACTTGTTTTTGTCTTGCTGGTCTTTTTTACTATATGTTGCGGCTACTTTTGATCGAGCGCGACGCGTGGTTCGGGGGCTTCATGTTGTCTTTGTTTTTTCGAGAGAAGATTCCCGCGTGCTTGGCGGGTTGCCTCTTGGGTTTCCCGCTTTGCCAGCACGAGACGGATCCCCCTTCCAACTACTGTAACTATAGCTCGCGCGATATACCAACGATGGGAGCCTTTCACTGTTCATACGATTTCTCCTGATTTTTGTGATGCTCGAAACGTGACCCCATCGCGCCAAATTTTACGATTTGACGATTTGTACAGCCCACGGCGGGACCGACTGAGGAAGCCTGGTCAGGGGCATGGCAAACGCGGCGTCCCGCTTGCAATTACCGGGTGGCTCTGAAGGAAATGATATTACATGATGCGAATTGTTTCCCGTCTTGTTTGATGCTCGCCTGGAACTTGGCTAGCTTCTAGGCACCGAGATTCACATCTCTCAACGAGGTGCGAGCCTAGAAAAGGGACAACTTGAGAAGAAGAAGAAGAAGAAGAAGAAGAAGACCGTAGACTGAGCAGGGCCCTGGAGTTTCGGAGTGGAGCCGACGCGGTTCATACTTCCCAGGGTCGTTTTTTTCTTGTTTACGTTTTTGGACATGCATTTTTCCCAAGCTCCCTACCTGCGCTTCCAATTCTCCTTGTTCTCCCCTGGTCAGTATTCGTCGATCTAACCGCCGGACGGATCACCGCGACTGCGCCGCCCGAGACGAAAGGACCCGGAAAGAGATAAGGCTGTGAGGGAGAAGGCTGCCTTGGGAAGTTGGACTCAGAGGGGAGAGAGGCCTGAGAGTTGCGTGGCGTCGGTGCCGTTGGCCGGCGTGTCGGAGAGGTAGGTAATCTGTGTCACGTGCCCTTCTCTTTCGGAGCGCGATGGCAGGGAGGAAGAGTATCTTTTGTCATTTCTGGGTGGCTGTTTTCTTGAATACAGAATGATCTGTGGTTGGTTTTATATGTTGAGTCTGTTGAGGGTAGGTAGACGTGGCATTGTGGTTCTTAGAATGTCCTCCAGCGGAAAGCCATGGTGGGTTTGTTAGTGGTCTGTCTGACTATGGGACCGGACGTGTCTTGGTCTGAGACGAGACGCGCCCGTCGCTGGTGATCGTTTTGCAGCCTGGCATATCATAGTCCCGCTATCTTCTCTATCAACGGTATTGCAACAAGGTCCGTTACGTGTTCGCTGTCTGCGATAGTCAAGTGCGAAGATGTGAAAATGTGATGAGGTATGGGCGAATATGGCCCTTTGGAAGCGTGATGATTCGGCGCCACGTCTTCCCCTCAAGTAGATTACTCTTGGTTTGAGCCGTGAGTAAGGAATTGTTTGACCAGCCGTTCAGATTGGGGACGGTCTACGTGCTCATGTTACGTAGGCGTGTGTCGTTCAGTACCGGTATTATCTTGGATTTTGAGTTGGGGAGGATTGTTGCGCCGGCGTGCGGTATCCTGGGAACCCTTCGCCCCGGGGGGTGGACGGACTGGACGGGTTGACACGTGCGCTGAGGAGGGATGGCGCCACGCTCTCTGCTGGTTGCTGATCCTGGTTGGTGGTGGTGCTCACTAAGGATGCTGTGTAGGCGAAGACGACTAGCATCGGCGTTGGTTACACGGTTTGGTATCGCTCTTCTTTGCAGATAGCTGATTTTGTGGTCATATCATTGACGGCCAGCGACTTGTAGAATCAGGCGTATGGTACTGCTGCGGCAGTTCGGTCTGGGGATAGATAGATAGGTAAGTCCCGGGCATGTTGGATGGAGATGTTCACATGGGCAACTGAGGAGGCTGCCCTCGAGTGTGTTTGACAGCGTCGTTCTCAGTGTCTACATAGCAGGATGAACAAGAGTTGATGGAGGAGTCTGAGAGGCGGCGGTGCGGGGGAACGTCTCGGGGGAAGAGAGGAGGAGGAGTGTCACGGGCAGGTGTAACGGCGTCAAATGTCGAGCTCGGAGCTTCTTCAGAGAATGGCAACCTGTTGAGAGGGAGGTGGAGGACTTGGCCGCGGCTCTTCCGTCGGCCCCTCTCTCCGTGTACATCTCTGTCTCTGAGAGGTGTCTCTTGTTCCTCTGTCTGGTGGGTAGACTGTACGTTGTCACGTTGATGCTGGTCCGGTGTTGGCGCAGGTACGGATACATACTGCGTACTGCTGCAGAGCCATGTATGTATTGGAGTCGTCGCTCGGCATGAGGTCCGGGCTGCTGTCAGCGCGTGGGCAAGTGGTGCAGAGCGGTGCAGTGCGGTGCAGTGCGGTGCGGTGCAAGTTGCAGGCGTGGACGGTGACAAGAAGTGACGTGGATAGCTAGCCCCGAGCTTGCTTTCCCATTGGTGTTCCTGAAACAAACCTTGATGTTTTGGGGGATTGGCGGGCGAGGCGTTGGCATCATACCTGAGGTAGCAGAGTGAACATCGTGGAAGTTGCATTGCGGTGAGGTAAGCAAGGAGGGGAGGGGCAGAGACGACGAGACAAGAGACATCCTGGGAACTGCAAGTGTGAGATTCGGACTATCCGCAGAAGCATTTGGTACGGATATAGGCATCTCAGAGAATCTGGGTGCTGGTATTCAGAAGAGTGCGAGTTCATGCTGGCCTTCCCCTCACCTGTATCCATACGTGCCAAACTCCGTACACAGCAACGTAGCGATCCATGTCCCGGGATCCCTGTTGTCAATCCGGAACGGCTTGAGCGACAGGTGCAGGGGGCAACCGTCCAGTTGGGGGCGAAGCCCGGCATGTCGAGGATTGTGAGAGTGTGATCTGAGCGTTAAAGGGTCCTGTAGGTCATACGAATGCCCACACGTAAGGGGACCATGGACGAGGGGTTCTCCAGGAGGGGGTTGATGGTTGTGTTTGCCCTGAAGAGTGAGGCGGCACAATCAGGTCTTTGCAGAGACCGACCCTTGAGACTGACAGAGAAGAATCTGAAGAACGGGGAGTGAGATGCGAACAGAGGATGGCCGAGGCGGTGGAGAGTGAAGAAACACAGGTCACCGTGAGGCATGAGGCACGAGGCATAAGATCACACGTCTGTGAGCTGTGAAATGTGATTGAGTATCCGTATGAGAGAGAGCACTGGTGAACGACTGAGTGAGTGAGTGAGAATGGTCTGGCTCGTGCGCACCTAATCCTCCCGTCCGTTTCGGGGTATGTGGGGGAGAATGTTGCTGAGGCAAGGTACCGGGTACTTACACCATACATGCGACTTGTACTTCGTACGGAGCACTTGGATGATGCTCTTTCCTCGATGGTGCTGACAGGAACGAAGAAGGAGGAGGGACGGGGAAGAAGGTCGCTTCCTCTCTTTCTGCCTGTCTCTCACTTGCGTCAGCCTCACTCACTCCCGTCAGTCTCGACTCTCGAGGCAACACCTCAGGTAACCACCTACCTTGGGACAGTGCTTGCATCTGCAGCTGCCTTGGCTGGAACAGCAAAAGCTGCACATCTGGAACTTGTTCTCCCTCTCACCCTCTATCATTACCTTGGGTACTACCTCAGGCACCTTCAACTGTCATTCTTACGTGACAGAGGTACCTGGCTGAGGTGGAAACAACCGACCGGCCTTACCTGGACTCGGGCGATCTAAACGGGACAACACAACACCAAACGGGCTCCTCTTTTTCATCATCGCCCTACGAATACCTACCAGGTACCGCCCGCCGCCAGGTTCCATCGGCCCCCATTAAAAGTGTCGTCAATCACCACCCAAGGGCCAACACCAGTGACCAACCCACTTCGCCCTTCGAAAACCAGGTACCTAGGCACTCACCTACCTACCTTAGGGACGATAAGCAGATAGCTCCCCCTGGCGCTGGTCTTATCCGCTCCTGCAGTGTATCGAATCGCACCGTACCGTCCCCTCGGACTGACGTCTTGTTTCTGTCCAATCTCATCTCATCATCCACCAACTCCTCCGTTCCCCGACACACGTCCAGTCCAGTTCAAACCCAACTTCTTCTATCCGCCAGCAGCAGCACTGCCACCACTACACACCACTTCTCTCCCCACGCCGTATTGCTGCGTCTGCGGATATTACCCTCGTACTCTAGGTTGTCTACTCTCGTCGTATCTACCAGCACTTATCAGCACATCCTCATCCATAACCGCAGCTCTCTCAACGCAACATCATTCCTCCAGTCGGCGACTTGGTAAGCAACAGAACCTGGACCCCTCGTTTTCCCCATTGGGTTGTCCGTCATCCCGAACCCGAACTCAATCCGCCCTTCCACCGTCCCTTACGACTGATGTACTTGCCAACCGATTCTTCCGGTCGACGAAACTGACGCTCGCCCGCAGTGCCCGTGGCCGTACCCCGTACCCCGTACCCTGTACCAGTACCTTACCAGCACCAATAACCCCTACCCCTCGATCTACCCAGCGATCCATCCGAGACCCTCCGCCTGCCCAGCCTGCCTGTCCTCAGTCGAACCTCAACGAGTTCGAATCGGCCACTGAAGTTTCGTCGTAGCTGTTGCTGTTGTCGTCGTCGTCGTCGTCGTCGTCATCTTTGTCGTCGTAGTTTTCGTCGCACCACCCTACCTCGACAGCTTCCCCTCGGCCATCACGACGACAACGTCCGCGTCTCGTTCTACCGAGACCTGGCCATGGCGGCTGCCTAACTCCTCCCTCGACAGGATTGTACGTTACAAGATAAACCCGCCCATTCCGAGCCTTGCTCGTCGCAAATATGGCCTCCGAACACAACCCCTTTCGAAGGAAGTCTACTTCCACCTCACTCTCCATCTCGACGCCTCAACCTGTCTCTACATCGGCCTTTCTCGAGTCCATTACTTCCGGCATCTCGAGGCAGAATGGCCCTCCGCCTCTCGAGGCTCGGCCAGCCAAGCCAAAGGTCGTGAAGAAGGTTAGGGTTCTTTCGCCGCCACCTTCGTCGCCTTCCTCCCCAGAATCCGTACACAGCAGAGGCTTCGGACGCCAGGACGACAGCAGCGACGAAGATTCCCACGACGAAGACAACCACTTCTCAAAGCGGTTTCCCGAGCTTCCCGGCGGCCTGCCCGAGGCTGCGCCGCTTCGCATTGCCAATGCGAGCAATACACCCGATAATCCCTTTGGCAAGACGCTACAAGATTTGGAAGGCTTGACGGACGGGAAGCCTTCATCTGGCAGTTCGACCAAAGCCATGGACGTCAATGCCTTCAAGATGCTCTTACTCACCGGCCAGGCCGGTGCTGGAACACCAGCCCCGCAGAAACCAGTGTCACAGGGAGACAAGGCGCTTAGTGCATCCTACGCTGCACCAGAGCTGGAAACACCGCGGACGTCACAGGATATCGCGGAACGCGGTGTTGACGATCAACGTTCTCTTCTGGCATCATCTCCTTCCATGAAGAAGAAACCTCCGCCACCTAGCTCAAGGCACGGCAGGAAGATCAGCGTGCAGACTTCAGGTCATCCGCACATATCCTCAGAGACTGCGTCGCCCATCTCCCCGTCTGACGTAAACAAGCCTCTTCCGCCCGCTCCAAGCAGTCACGGCGGGGATGACACGGAAGATGTTTTTGCTCGTGAAGCCGCTGGCAAAGTTCCGGAGCTGGACTCCCCAACACCCAGCTCAACACCCGTCCCGGCTCTCCCGGCGACAGGCAAGAGACCGACACCTACCCCTCCACCACGGCGGGGCCACGCACGGAGCCAGTCCTTAACTGCCAATGCTGGGGCCAACGCTCCGAGTGTGCCAAGTTACGAGGCCGACACGCCGCCTCGCTCTTCGATGGAATCACAGCGGTCCAGGTCAGAGAGCTTCCGAAGCATCAACGCTCCGGCTCCCCCTCCTCCTAGGCGTCCGCATGCATCGCATCGGCAATCATTCCAACTAGGCTCTCCATCTACTGGTTCATTCCACGGCGCCAGCCCAGCACCGTCTGACATTGACACCTCTACATATGTGATGGAGAATACTCCTCCCAAAACTTCTCCGCCACCACCACCACCCGCGCGAAACACTTCCATACGCCGTCCTCCCAGCGTCAGGAGCATTGAGGCTCCCAGTAGGAAGATCAGCGGGGGCAAGGAGAATGCTCCCCCACCACCACCACCGCGCCAGAGGGGCAGTAGTCGCGGAAGCATGGACGGATATGGTATGAGGCGGACTAGCATTGACAGTACTAGGGCCATGGGCAGCAACGTCCCAGAAGAGCCCGCGGCGGAGGATGATACAGCTGATTCAGGCAAGGGTGCTGATATCCTCGCCGACCTGGTCGCTCTGCAACGAGAAGTGGACGCCCTGAGGGCAGCACAAGGCAAATGAGGGCACGGTCAAGGCGCTCTATAGATATGGGAGTTGAAATAGACAACAGCCTCAAACGGACTTACACGCTCTGGAGGGGCGGCTGGATTATCTTAAACGGGGATTGTACATTTACGCACGTACCGAGATGCGATATGAAGTAATGGAATGCTTATGAGTTGACGTCCATGGTTTTCACGGTGCAAAGGGCTGTTCGACCCGTGTTCCAGGTGGCTGGGTCCGCGAGAGTTTGGACACAGTCCTTGAGCTGGCCAGTGGCTCTCGACTTTGAGGCCGAATAATGGCCTGGTAGGCCACAAGGGTATGGCGAATTGAGTTATTGGATATCCGAGAAGTCAAAAACAACACCAAAGCGGATACGAAAACCTAGCGTGAGAGTGACATCCAAGCTAATAGTGATTCTAGAGTCTTGGCCCGCGCCTTGTTTGCCAGAATGGGAGAGCATGCTATTTTCGGTGGCCGTGGCCGGTCCCTAACGCCCCGTCGGCGTCCCGGGAGAAAACTCCGTCGGAGCTTAGGGCGGACTCTGAGCTGCCGTTGAAAGCTGGAGGTATGGAGGCCGGCGGTGGTGGAGACTTTAGAGGTTCGTTTTGGTGATGCTGAACGAGGCTGTCTAATGTGTAAAGGTGGGATGGTATTGGTGGTGTGTCGGGGACTTGGCGCTCTCATGCAGATGTAAGGGATGTGGGATATTGGGGTTCGTGGTGTGGTGTGTACGTGATTTTGCTATTTACATGGGGCTTTTTGTGGTTGCTGTATGCGCTGCCCACGGGACATCATTGGTATAGAGTTTTGGGAAAGAGTGGTGCCCTAGTGGCGCTTGAAAAACCTTGGTTGTCTTGGTTGGTGTTCACTTTGGAGGCCCCCGAGGTAAGTTGATGATGGAAGGTTTTGGATAGCTTTGTTATAGAGGGTAGTACTAGAGCATGAGATGTAAGGTTGGATTAGACTTTCAGCCCGGGGCAGATGGAGTTCTGGCCGAGGAAGTCTGATGGGGCTTTGTCTGGATGTCTTGGTTTACGGGGGGGAGGTGTTGCGTTTGTCAAGGTGAGATGAAGTATTGGATGAGGTGGTATGTTACCTTCTTCAGTCGCCTACTTTGATTGGATCGCGATAGTTGGCATGGCTGTTGTTTTGTGTCGCTTTCGGTATGCTGAAAGGATGTGAAACTTGGCGGTGGAAGTCACATTTCAAGCTACCTACGAAGAAGGCTGTGATGGGATGCCAGACTTTGGGTGGATTACATTGGAGGGCAATGGAGCAGCTCCTCTAAAGGCTTGATCGAGCCGAGGGGTATGTGTTTATTTTGATGTGATTACTATTATTATTAAATCCGAGTTTGTCGAGGGAACTCGAATCTTCTGATCGAGGTGGTAGAGTGTTGGCATGGGTACGTGATTAAGATACGAGGAGAGCATGAAGCATCCGAGCGGTCGGTACGAACCTTGGAAGTGGATGGCAACCACGAGCCTTTGAAGCTTCTTTGGAACTTAGCTCACCAAGGGCCGCGACTCTGCTTTTGTCCATTATTTTCCATGGGGGGTTTTCCCCCCGTCACCTCGCACTCCCAAACTTTGGTGGAGGGAGAGTTTTGATGTCATCGCCGGTCTAGATGGAACGCGCCGTGTGACTAAACACCATCCATTTACCGTTCGGCATGGGTATCCGGTGCGGGATCCGACAGACACTAGGCAACATTTACTCCTCCAAGAAGGAAATCTTGAGAGAATCAGATATCGAATTTAGGATTCCCCCAATGGGAGCCTATCGCAAGGTTTGCTGCAGGGGCCGCGAGGGAGTTGGTTCCGAAGCTCGGGGAGCTTAGCTTGATGATGGATAGTTTCGTATATATTGGCCCATGATATTCTTCTACTGCAATCTAGGCCTGGATAAGCTTGTTCACAAAGCACTAGACTTCCATTCATATCAAGACTTGGACTACATACATCATATCACAGCATCATCCTTCGTCACCTATCGTTTCCTACCTACCCATCACCTCAACGTCGAATTATTCTCAACAAAGTCAACATAGCCAATATGTCGTCCCTCATCAACAACCCAGCTCCCCTCTACATGAGCCCGGAACTCACCAAGAAGAAGCCCATCATCGCCGGCCCGACCACAACCGCCGCAGCTTCCACAACCACCGCTGCCACCTCCTCCTCAAAGTCCCTAAACGCATCAGGTGACAAAGCGAATCTCATCGAGTTCTGGCGCAACCCAGAGGCCGGCAACATCTACCGACACGCAGAGCACCTCACCTCCCCCGTGACTCCCTGCCTTGTCGAGCACTCGAAGTTATGCCAGACCGTGTCCTCGGCGTCGGCCAGCACAAAGATGATTCATGTCATGGACATGTGCTGCGGTACCGGGGTGGTGTCGTCGTATATTCAGAAGATGATGAGGGAGTTGCCGGGGCAGCAGAGGGAAAGGGTGAGGTTGACGAGCGCGGACTCGAGTGAGGCGCAGCTGGGGGTTGTGAAGGAGAAGATTGAGAGGGAGGAGTGGGTTGGGAGTGAGGTCAAGCAGGCTGACATCATGGTAGGCGACCCTTCCTGGCTCTGTTTTCGTTTGACTTGGAGGATACTGTTGGGTCAGTTGTGACTAACGAGAGCAGAACATGTCATTCCCTTCGGATCAGTTTGACGTCGTCATCGTCGCCATGGCGTTGATGCTCGTGGCTGATCCATACACCTCTCTCAACGGTAAGTGCTCCTCCGTATCTACGTAAATAGGATCTTGAAGAGGAACTAACAAATCGCATCCAGAATGCTACCGCGTCACCAAGCCCGGCGGCACAGTCGCAACCTCGACCTGGGTAACAGAAGGCTGGATCCCAGACACCCGCGACGCAGTAGCATCCCTCACCCTGCCCGGGCCAAACCAACAACCCGTCTCGTGGCCGCAGTCCTCCATCGAGCTGACCTCGCTCTGGGGCCCCGGCGCGTGGGAGTCCCCCTCCTTCGTCAAGAGCATGTTCACGGCAGCCGGGTTTGTGGACGTGGAGGTGGACGTTGTGACCAAGTGGGTGCCGTTCTCGGGGGTCGACGAGTGGTGTACCGTTTTTCAGGCGTTTATGTACGGGGTCATGGAGAGGTTTTGGACGAGGGCGCAGAGGGAAGGGTTGAAGGGGCGGTTGATGCCGACGTTGAGGGCTTTTATGGAAGAGAAGTATCAGGGGCGGCCGTTTGAGGTTGAGAGGACTGTTTTGTTGGCTAGGGGGAGGAAGCCGGAGTGAGGTTTGAGATCGGTGCGTGTTGCGTTGATGAACGTGGACTTATGGTTTGTAGACATACACATGGTGGGTACATGTTGAATCATGTCGAACATTGATCACTGAGTACCATGTTGATTGGGTCGGACTCCATCTAGAACAACTTGGATTCGACCTATCTTTGACGGCTAGGTCAGCGGGTATCATGTTTTCTACGGTAGTGTTGATCATTAATACGTGGATTGGCATTTTCGTCCTTCTCAACAGGCGTGAAGAAGAAGTGATTCACCTCGAAACGATTTCCGACCAGACCCATGCCGTCACATACTTAGCACATCACAAACTCAGACTTGCATCGCTCTTTCGATGTAGAAAGCTAGACTCTAGGCATTCTAGATGGCCAAAATTTCCCACCCAATAAGCGGCAAAGGACCGAAGCAAGACAACTGATCTTTTAGACGAATTAAGAAGCCATATTGCAAACCATATCGTTACGCAACACTTCTCACTTAACCATAACGCATACTCGCTTTGAGAAGTCATGACTGATCACCCGAATTCCTCGCGTGGTTAGAGGAGAGTGTGGTAGGGCTGTAGAACTGGCAGAACATGAGAACTGACAGAACTGATTATAACTAAATAACTCGTATGACATTCTGATGCTATGAACGTATGAGCTCCAACTCAATTGACGTTTCCTACTATACGTATTTAAATAAACCTTGGCCAGTCACGCATGCGACATGCCCAACAAACCCCTTGTGTGCGGCCTGTCGTCAGCCCCACTCCGGCGGATGTCTCTCATCTGCGGACCCAATCTCCGAAGCCCTAACTCGATCAGGTCCATATTCACAACTTCCGCAGAACTTCACAATCAATCAATCCACGGAAGGGTGGCCGAGTTGGTTATGGCGCCAGGTTAAGGTCAGCTTAACATCTGTTTCCTGGTGGGGCAACCCGCGCGAGTTCGAGTCTCGTCCCTTTCATGATGTCCTTTTTGGCTGTGTTACAGCTCTTACATTGCATTTTGGTGGTGATGGGGAAGTTTTTCTAGTCCAGACCGAGCTATTCGTTTGCTCAGAATTGCAAGATTCTGTCACCGGTGAGCGGTTCGTGTTTACCTTACCCAGGTAGACTAGCCGCGGATAAGTACCAACACTTGCAGCTGAGACGCACGGTCTTGACGTGTTAAGTATTATTACACTCGTCAGACTCATGTATACAAAGTGATTTAATGTATCACACCTCCTTCACTCATCACTCTTTGACCGGCTCCCCTTGGTGTAGAATGCACCTGTCGCTGCTCTAACGTCCTTGGAGCCCTGCGTACCACCTCGACCTCCAGGCTTGCCCGTCACCGACTGCGGAATCTCGTGACCGGTAGCACTGATCCCCTCACCAACTCCGGAAGGTCTTCCCTCTTTGGTGTCTAATGCGTTGTCTGCGGCGCCGTGTAGGGTTGTGGACCCGAGCTCACCGGCAGCTGAGGGATCTTGGTGCGGGTTGGGAACAGATTTGATGATGTTCTGCTTGCCGGCATCTCCAGGAACTATCGTCGACAGTTAGACCAGCTTCATTTGTATGTGATTTGCGGCGTGCCACATGCTACAAACCTTTGGTTCCGTCCTTGGCCATGTCATAGAGATCACCTCCTTGCTTTGCGTCCGCCATGGTGTCAAATGCGTCAGGTTGATTTTGAGAGTTATATTGTGGATCACGCAGGTAGTCGATGGAATTGTGAGTGCCTGATGAACCTAATGAACAGTTTAAAAGAACAAAATGAATAGAAAATGAGAATATCCTTGGGCCCTTTAAGACAGTCCTGAGCAAGCCACAGTGAGGTAAGCTGGTGGTCTGGTGTCATGATGTCATTAAAGGTCATTAAATGGCAATCAGCTCTCCAACGTGACGTCAAACAAGACAGACGGTCTGGGGACCATTGATTCGGATGGTCAAATGTGTTAAATTGCATCATCATGTTCGAGGAAAACCATGACTGTAAATGCAAAAGGCTTTGTTCTGCGTGGTTCTTTCCAAGACCCACATTACGATGTCTAGCTTGTAGGGGGTCATAAATGTTGTTCAATGCTGCAATTCGCGGGCTGCACACCGTCACACAATATATCGCACGGCATCGATCGCACGGCCAGCCAAGTACAACTCAGTCAGAGTGATGAGCCTAGGCATTTATCGCCGAAGCCTAGCAGATAAGCCGCTTTTTCTTCAGGTACATCAACTCCTAAGACATCAATGTGGAATAAAGAGTATAAAATGCAGGTATTATATGGGTATTGGGGTATTCTATTAAGTTTATATACTGTTCATGGTTGCTCAAACCACATATCCACACCCATCATCATACATCTTGATTGTTCATAATATACATGAGCATTCCACGTGACCATCTTCTACTGTTAAGAGGATGGCAACTGTCGCAACAGTTGTCGCCCCTTCTCCATTGTGTATAGACATTAATCGTCGTTCTCAACTTGCTTCACTCCCTCACTGTTCAAAACCGGCTGATCGCGATCCAACTCGTACATCTTATCTTCCTCAGCATCGTAGTGGCGGAAAGTGAAGTAAAAGATGCATCCCACCACGGCAGATGAGCATGCGACACCGGTGTACATCCACAAGAACTTGGGATCAACGGCAACGGAAACCAGGGCCTCGGAGATGGCAGAGCCAAAGGCGTTGGTAAAAAGATAGATACTCTGGACGAAGGACTTCATGTTGGGCGGGGCCTTGGTGTAAGCATACTCAAGACCGGTAACGGAGATAAAAATCTCAGACAGGCCGATGAAGATGTAGGCAGGCGTCTGAACGGCGATGTGGACGTGGTTGGGAAGCGATGTGCCTCCGTTCATTCCTTCAGGACACTCGCCGGGAGACTCGTAACAGGGGCCGGCGTTGTAAATGAGGTGTTGCACGATTGCTGCGTAGGCCAGGCAGATAGCGCCGAGCCAGAAGCCGATGGTGATACGCATAATGGGCTTGAGCTCGATGCCGGCCTTGCGGAGCAGTGGGTAGACGAGCTTCTCGAGGATCGGCGTGAAGATGAGAATCGAAATGGGGTCGAAGTTTTGCATGAAATCGTTCGGCATGCCGTGTCCCTCCATCTGTCCAGCTTGGGTGACGAAGTTGGTCGAGAACTGGCCGTAGCAAACCCAGAAGATGGGGTCTGGCAGTCGTGTTAGCGTTGACTTTCAAGCTTTTGGCTTGCATCAAAACACAGCCAGAATTAGTTTGACTTACAGAAAACGAAAACCTTGCAAGCTCTCAGAGCACGCTTGAGCTCCTCGACGAAGTGGTCGTTCCAGGGGACAGGCTTGTCCTTGCCGTGCTCCGCACGCCATGAAGGCTTCGCAGCGTCCATGTTGCGAGCTGCAATCATCATGCCAAGCGCCTTGAACGCATCAGTGATGACGGAGCCCTGGGGAGGACGGTTGACAAAAGTCTTGCGGCGAAGCACCAGAGTCGCGATACCAATGTTGAAGACGCAGAAACACATCAAGTAGGCGGTCCAGAAGCCCTTGTACTTCTCCATGAAGGGAGTCGCCATAAGAGACAGGGAACCCAAGTTGATGCACCAATAGAAAATCATATAGATGCGCTGGTATGTGATGGCAGGATCGATGATAACTCGCTCGCCGTTTGACTCGGTCTTGATGGCCATGACACGGCGTTGGTACTGATCGGCGATCAAGGGAGCAATGTTACTCTTGATACCTCCCGTGCCGAGACCAATCACGATAATGGCAACAATGTAACCGGGGATTCCAGCGCCATTGGCCATGGCCACCGGCAAGGATGTTGTCCAGAGGATGATAAGACCAACCCAGTAGAAGGCACAGAAGACCAAGATGGTTTTGTACTTGCCCAAGTACTGGTCAGCAATGATGGCACCAAGAATTGGAGTCACTGAATGCTCGTGTTAGTGAGACCATACTGTTTGCTACCGGCTAGCGAAGCGGAAAGTGATGTCTTACCATAGCAGAACCATTGGAAGAACAAATTCAGACCAGTTGCGGCTTGGTGACCCATTCCAAGACCCTTGGGACCGTCGGCTCCATTGGGGTCATTGTTGATGTAGTTTTGGAAAAGACCTTGGGCACCATAGTAGGTGAATCTCTCCGTGAGCTCGACAACAGCGATAAGAAAGGCTGAAGCGGGGAGATTCTCTCCAATACGACGCAGGGATCCCTTCTCAAACTCATTGGGCTCGGCACCATCAGGTGTAGGTCCCGATTCTGAGTCGGCGGAGCTCAAGATTTTCTTCTCGGGGTCGGCTGGCGTGATGTAGCCTCCCGCGAGATCAGTCGTCTCCTTGTTGGGCAAGCGCTCACCCAGCGTCTCATGGAGCCTGTGAATACGAGTTGTCAGTGCCAGATCCCCTTGGTGTTAGACCGATGGTATGCGCATTGTTACGTACTCTGCCGCTGTGTCCTCGTGGTTCTGGGCCATTTTTACGCAATCGATATCTCAAGACAGGCCCGATAGAGTAGCTGAACCAAGGGAAAAAGGAAAAGAGAGGGAGAAGAGGAAGAAATTTTCGAGAAAAGTTCCAAAAGGCTGGCCTGGTGGGGAGCAATGGAGACTCATTAGTATCACCACTAGATGCATGCCCTTACCCTCGGTGTCGGACGACTCCGAGGCGTTCGCCGCCCAGGGCCCATGTTTCGATGTCTTCTGTTTCCACTAGAAAAGTCTTGCCCGAGTCGGGAACGTCGCCCCAGGAACTTTTGCAACCATACGCCACAAGCCGATGGCCGAACCACCTGCCGGACTCCACTCGGCCGAGTGAGCCGATCTTTTTGATTGATAATAACGGACACATCGGGCGACATACGAGAAAATAAGTGGTCCGCTTGGCAAAAGGCCCGAACGGGTGGCGCCAAGCGAGGTTAAGGGGAATAAAGCGGCCATAAATCTGGCTTTCCTATTGGTCTTGAACCTCATTGACGATATTAGTTCATGCTGCCCATACCGAGGTCCATCAACAAAAGGGCCTTGAATCTGGGGTTTTGGGGTTCTACAACGTTACTCCGCAAACGAGAGTCTGCGGATAAGACTGAATCATGCAGCTGCTGAGGAAGCTATCGTTAGCTGCAGGAACCGGATCGTTTGTCAATGGAAGTCTCCTGTAACCTTCCCTCGTTGGCAAAGATTTGCAGCTGTGCGTTGTCTGTCTTACTTCCTTGCCGTTGAGCCGGCGTTAGTTCGACCGCATTTGGTAGCTTGAGCCATCTTGCGCGCTCACAATTGTAACCTCACGACTCTCTCTGCTGACATCACGCAAATTTATCAGGAGACACTCGGGCACATCAGAAGCACGGCTTTTTTGTGATCTTTTGCGACGTGAGGCGCATTCTTATACGTGAGGGACTTTCGAAACTTCCACTTTCTGGCAGCTTCCTCTTGTTCACCACTCCTTGCAAAATTTTCTCCGATCTCCACGAGTGGGTCAAGAGTCAAATCTCGCTGCATTGAGGCTCAAAGGCAACCTAATTAGGAGCACGTGTCTAGTGGACCATTAAAGCCAAAGCCACACGTGTAGAATAGCAAATTCTGCGCCAGACACGTCAAGGCAAATTTAAGGTCTGGATGTGCGAGGAAATCTGCCCAGGCGGAAACATGTATTGGGCCTGATGAGGATGGTCCATAGATCGCATGTTCGATGGGTCTGTTCTCCTCTCATGCCTATCTTGCGGCTAACCCTTTTTTTTCGACTTTGCCTGGCAATTTTTATCGGTATTGAGCTGTTCTTCGTTGTGGCTGCATATTGCAAGGAAACAGAGGTGTATTTCCTTGCAATAATTGCCTCCGAAGTCCATTCCATTCGAATTTACCGACAATGCCTGACTGTTAAAAGGCTTAATCAGCATCCAGGTTTCTCCGGCAATCTTGCCGATATCGTAACAGTCTAGCTTCTATGAGAAGATTTTCACTAGGCATGGCAATTATGTGATCACAATGAGCATTATTGGAAGTTTTGAATACATTGAATCACATTTCATAAGTTCAATCGGCTACTGATTCTTCTACTGGTCAGAATATTCTCCGAGCCAAGAGGTTGAGGCTGAGTGTGGGCGGCAAGGGCCGCAGCCTCCGATGCAGGAGCAGGGAAGGGACTGGCGGGGCCTTGGCAGCACGCCATGAGAATTCTGCCGAAAGCCTAACCGAGTGGCTGGGCAATTACAATCTCCCTTCACCCCAGAAAGTCAAAACTCGGAAGAAATCTGGGGAAGCTGCTGATCAGGGCTCAAGAGCTCAGTGTTCGTGAGAATTGTGGGCGGATGCGCCGTTCGTAGCCGTTGCGAGAACTCCAAACCATTGCTCCCGAGACTGCTTATATTATGGACGCAATAGCGTTCATCGAGCATGATATTGAATGTTCAATAGAGGAAACTCTACCTGTGCCTGACTCACGAACAAGCAAACCAGCTCAAATGATTCTGCTCCAGACTAGATAGGAAAGCTCTATTCGTTTGAGCGCCTGGCTTCCGTGGCACAGCGTTCGTTCAATGCAAGCACGACATAGCAGAATACCACACTATGAGACTGGGAAGATCATGTACTTCCTTTCAACCCGTCTTTGAAAAGAGTATGGCAGCTCTTAACAAAATAAACATCAAAGGTTGGACACTGCTACTTGACCAATTCTGCAAGTGATTCAAAGTCGGTCGTAACTCATAAATTCTTATTCACTGTCGGGCGCTGCGACTGCCAGACCAATGGTAGGCTGCGCTTCGTGGCACAATTGAACCAGCAGACACCTCTGTGTTTTCTCAAAGATGAGCATTGGTAGATGACCCAAGAATGCTTACGCTATTATTCTAGATCATGTGTGATGTTTGCATTAATTAACGAGACAGGTTGCGTGATTACAGAGACTATCAAGATGCTAAACGGTAAATTACCATGGAGCTACTGCCTCAAAGGGGTCAGACTCACTAATTAATAATTAACACATGAGAT